CAAACAGAAGCCGGCATCGTTTCGCTCTCCCTTCCGCCAGATTTCACGTGGGTTGGGCCTGCTGCCTGTGAGCGCTGTCAACGGCTCCAGACAGTTGACCTGTCCCGCACGGACATTGAGCCCCTGGTCATTGTGTGCAGCAAAGCAATTAGCCGACATCCAGTCTGTCCTAAGTTGATTCAAGGAGACCCGCTGTCGGTCACCGCTTGCATGACACACTGCTGTCCTTCAAGTGCATTGCAATGACATGGCTTGTCAACTTGGCAGATAAACTTGTAAGCGCCCCTCCCCACGGAGGGAGGCCTCAGGATGCTGTTCGTCTTTTGGACAAAATCTCCTGGCCTGCCTTGATCAACGCATGCAGCAGCAAAGCAGTAACAAAGTTGTTGAGGGACAAGAACTGCTGAGAGTTTTGTGGCTGTATTGTAACTCTCTCTTCACTTCAACAAGGTGACTTGTGCAGAACCTGCGCACATAGCGCCTCGACTCGTGCAAAAAAAAACAGAAAACCAAAACTCCCAAACAACCTAACCAAACACACAAAACCACCAGAAAAGAGAAGCAACCTGTTGCGCAACTCATGTGGCCATGGAAGCCGTCTGAGAAAAGGTGAGACAGGAGCAATGAATCATGGCAACTTTCCTCAGTAGTGGCCAGGCAAGATCGGCCAACGCATGCACAGCCCCATGAACCACTCGAAAATGGGTGAGACAGGGTGAAACGCCGTTTTCCTACTGGGGAGGCCCTCTGTGGCGGGACCGGTTTTTGCTAGGGTTTTTGGACCCCAAACTGGTGTCCAGAAAAATAACTTTTTTCGATCCCTTGAAGGAGGAAAAAGTTTGGAAAACCTGTGAGGGTTGAGAATTGCTGGGGAGAAGGCGTTTGGCCTGTATGATGTTCTTGATCGAAAGCAATCAAGCTTGTGGTCTGTCTTAATTTTGGATGAGAGGAAAGAAGGGTGGGGAGATGTTAAGCGAAGGTTTGGCACCGTGGAGCCTGTCATGTTTGCGTATGTTTACAGGAGCCATCTCTGGTCGTTCACTATGGCAAGGAAACCTTGTTTCGTTTTATTTGACGTCGTTGTTTGATGCATGTTGTGAAGGATGGGGTTTTGAAAAGATATTGTTGAGGTTTTGAGCTCGCGTCCTTGATGTTTGTTGCAAGCTACGCCAGGCTTCCGCCCGGGTCCCGGTTCCATCTTAGCGTCAATGTTCAAATTTTCCCTTGCAACGCGCTATATAGGGTTTTTGCGGTTACAATCTGGGTTGGGTCGGACCGTCTATTACAGTGCGCGGCACCACCTCGGTACCACTTCATTACGGCTCGGGCCCTTTATTACAATGCGCGGTACCGCCTCGGTACCGCTCGGGCCCTCTATTACAATGCGCGGTACCGCCTCGGTACCGCTCGGACCCTCCATCACAATGCGCGGTACCGCCTCAGTACCGCTCGGGCCCTCTATTACAATGCGCGGTACCGCCTCGGTACCGCTTCGGTACCGCTCGGGCCCTCTATTACAATGCGCGGTACCGCCTCGGTAGCTCGGGCCCTCTATTACAATGCGCGGTTCGCCTCGGTACCGCTCGGGCCCTCCATTACAATGCGCGGTACCACCTCGGTACCGCTTCGGTACCGCTCGGGCCCTCTATTACAATGCGCGGTACCGACACCCCGTTTGCGTTTTACAAAGTTTTAATTGGATCGGAGTGAGGAACTTCCAAGAAAACACAAAGACCAACAGAAAGCCACGAAACGCAACCGTAACATTGTAGTCCCGGCGCTTCTTCAAACGGGGCGCTCCACACTTGCCTTCGCGCTCAACCATTCTTAACAAATGCTCGGGCGTGGGCTTGGCCATCCGAACCACCTCGAACAAACCTCGGGTGCTTCTCAAACGTCGGATGGGAGAGCACGATGGGATGGAGATAGTTTTAAGAAGAAAGTGACCTTAGTAACGATGGCCTCTACCTTACAACGATTTTGCTGTGCTTTGCAACACGCGCACGACATCGCACTTGGATTGAGTTTAGGGTCTGACGTTTCGTGTTGGCTTGGCGGGTTTTGCAGATCCTGTTATTAGGTGTTGAAAGACATCCTCGCAAAACCTTCGAACTGCTTGTTTGGAACGGTTCCCCAAAAGTTGCTTGAACCTCCAATCTTTTGCCTTCGTGTGGGGAAAAACGTCTCGGCAGACAGTGGGGTTCACTGGTCCATGTGGATGCCTCACACATGTGGATGCCTCGCACTTTGGCATCAAATTCTTTTGAGCATTTGGTTTGCCCGGAATCCCGGTTCAGTTCATCCAATCTTTCATAATCTTTCTGTGTTCGTTGATTGTTGCTGTCCGTCGCTTCGCAAGTGCTGATTTGGTGGTCAGACTTTGCCCCGTGGCCAATGCTTGACGTGCACAAGTTGATATGCGCATTGCATGCATACAAATTGCAATGTTTTTGAGCAGGTTGTTTTATCCCCGCTCAAAGGTCTCGGAGTACAGCAACGACCATTCAGTTGTAGTTTCTGGCAGATCCCTGCCTGGATTTGTGTCGGACCTTGGGGTAAAACACCATGTTCTTCAATGGTTTGTGACAAGCTAGGTAACCGTAACACATACCTTTTGAAATTTTGTGACAGTTGTGGTTGAGTCGTCAATAGGGTCAGTGCACAGTATGTTGGAAGAACGTTACAAACAACGAAACACGTTTGTGCCGAATCCATCGCAACTGCTCAGAGTAGAGGTTGGCGTCAGCACCCACTTTTTGCCCAGCAAACACCCTTTGCAGCACCATTGGACACCCCAAACCACCCAAGCCATCTCAGATATGGAACCACCTCGTAGCTGATTTGGGGCGTACCGATGACGTTGAGAATCGAATGATCCGGCAGATTTGCGCGATTGTCCTGCCCTTGGTGAGCAGCTTGGGCGATGAGAGCTGTATACCAGGTGGTGTCTCAGCCGAAGACCGTTCGTATTTTCCAGATGAAGAACCGCTCCGGGTCATCCATCTGGAAGGCGCCTCAAGCATGTTGTTGACCGCAGTGGCAAGGGTTCTCATTGAAGAAATCCTGGGCTATCATGTGTTGGTGGGCACCAGCACCAGTGCAGAACAAGCCTTGTTGGGTTTGGCTGGATGTGAATTGACGGGCCGCTCTTCCCTTTCGTGCCAAGAGCGCAGCTTGCACCATGTGGTTATCAACACTTTTGGACGGAGCCTACCAGAGAATCCCACTTTTCAAGAACTACTCCAGAATGGAGCTCAACAGAGGGTCCAGGTGCATTCCATGGGCTTCCTACAAGAGCAGCGGATTTGGATCGGAGACTCCTTGAGAAGATCTGCTTTCGAAGAAAGGCTTCTCCTGTTGGATCACTTCAGGCGGGGAGAGGGCGGGTTTTGTCTCAGTCCATCGACTTGGATCGGCACTGCGACCCGAAAAGTGTAACTGCAAAAGACTGTTTTTCGGGTAAGAGAATAACACTTTTCTTTTGGAGTTACTAATAGGCATGGCCGCCATGGCCTCCAAGCTTTTGTGAGGGACACCGGGCCTTTTTTGCAGAATGCCTTGATCAGGCCACTCGTAACTTCACTCCACGAAACGATGTGAGTTCCACTTCTCCCATCCTCACGATCACTGAAATCCACCGCAGGGTTGAGGGGTTTACGTCAACGTTTGGTGGTGAGACCTGGTCACCAGACCCCTAGCAAGGCACCTTGCTACTAGTAGTAATGGCCTCCACCTACTAGCGATGCCCTAGTAGCGTCCTTGCTGCTAGTAGCTCTTGGCAGGACCTACAACTCTTCGCGACGATTGGCTTCGGCTTCTCGGCAATCAGTCAGAACTTTTCGACCTTGGACCCCTGTGAGACTAGCTTCGGTACCTGGTGTTTGGAGGCCCGCTCGGATGGGGCGTTTGGAAGCAATTCTGACCCCGTCCCCCCCGCGAAGCGCCCGCTTCGCGGTTCGTTCCGTGACTCGGATCCACTCCTCGGCCTCGACTCGAGCGAGGAGTACTTCAGCAATGCCTCCGACGTGAATCGCTCCGATCTCACTGCCTGCTCCGAGCTCGGTGCTTTCGATCAGTACCTGGCGCTCACCGGTGACGCGGACGGGGTCGTCTACGCGTCGGGGTCATCCACTCTTCGCTGTGTCAATGGGGTGTGGTGGCTGGCGCCGGCGTGTCGTTTGGCACCTAGCGAGTGCATCCCACTGCTCCTGCGTGCTGAGTGGAAGATGTTGGCCGTGATGGTCTCGGCCGCGAAGCACAGCATGCCTGTGCGTATCGGACACGTTGAGAGTTGGGAGAGGTTTGTGCACCTCGTGAAGAACGTGCCTGTGCTATATTCTATTGGTGGTATCCCGATACAACCTTCATCGATCTGGAACCTCAAGAGGTGTTTCTGCCCGGTGCTATTGCCACGTCATACGCCAGCATCGCGGTCACCGCGGCTTTGGAGGTGCCCCCCGGGAGGGGGCCGGCAGCCAGAGGGGCAGCCAGAGGGGATCAAAAGTATTCAAAACGCATCAAAGTACTCACTCCCACACAATCTAGCAAACAATCTAGGCCCCCCCGAAGATTGAATGGCATCGAGCACTGCACTCTTCGAAGCTTTTCTTCGGATTGAATCGATGTGGGGCTGCTTAAACCGCAGGGTCCCGAGCCAGTTGGGTTCCTAGTAGGGATGGCCTCCACAGTTTCGAAGCCAGCTGGGTTCTTCTGATTCCTCCTTTCCTCCACGGGTTCCTCAACCTGATTTCGAGATGAAGTTCGCTGCTTTCACAGATTCCAAAGCCTTTTTCAGTAGTTTACATCCATCTCCAGTCTTCTTCCCTGCAAAAACCATGGCAAAAACGGTCCCACCGGGACCCTGGGTGCTGCCAGCCGCCTGCCAGCCGCTTCGATGTCAGACGGGTGGACGTGGTCGACAGGTGGTCGACCGGTCCCATCGAAGAAAAAGACCTCGCCGTGATTCACTGCAGGTGAAAGCGCCAAGAGTGCATGAATTCATGAAGAGGATGTCCTTTTCAGAAGCTGATGTCCGCAACCTATCTCTAGTACCTGGGTGGCATTAAGATTCTTCAGGCGATCCAGCTGCAGATTGTGACCTCCCGTTGGAATGTGAGACTAGTTTCAACCAGTGACTAGTGTAGTGAGTAGTGGGACCACGGTCAGACCGTTTTCGCTCGCGGAACAAGGCCAAGATGAGCGCTCGTGAGGCGGCGTGCTGTTGGCTGCAAGCCAATAGCCATTGGAGGGATTGGATCCCGATGAAACCACTTTGCAGATCTGGAACGGTCGCACATCCATTGGGCTATTGCGTGGAGTGAGCCTTGGACACTGCAAGAAGCTGCTTCTGTCCATACGATGCACCAGAAAGCATAACAACAAAAAATTAGGGCCAAAACAGTACCTGACCAGAAGAGAGTTCGCCGGTCAACTGGTGGCAAAACCAGGTTGGTGGATTCGTACGTTTGGCCCCTTTTGACCGGTTTTCAACGATGAGGTCTGGGAGGCTCCAGCTGCCAAGACGGACGGATGACCTTGCAGCCGGGCTTTTACGCTCACCAGGACTGTGGACGTAGAAGCCATCCTTGGAAGGTTTCTATTTTTCTTTTTTTGTGCATGGTGTATTTTTGACACAGGATGCTTTTGGGATGCTTTTGGGATGGTCACAGGAACACCGGGCAGTTTGGATGTTAAGGTAGCAGAGGGGGGCGTTGAACCAGACCACTTGATTCCTTTGGTTGTTTGCTGCACTGACCATTGTCCTTGGATGGACAAAGTCTCCTTTCGACATCCGTGTCTCCTTCGATGGACTCTCCAAGCCGTGTTGGACCATCCTTTCCATCTATTTTTATGGGAACTTCCTTTCACCTCTTCGTCTCGCTTCTGTCTTCACTGTTCCTGGCCGCTTCGCCGCCAAGCGAAGCACACCCCTGCTTTCCGTCCCAAAACGCTCTCCTCGTCCGTCCGTTCTCCGTTCGAACCCGGTGTCCGTCCGTCCGTCCGTCCGCCGACCCCTCGGGCGAGCGCGCGCGCCCAACCCGCGGCCGCGAGGATTCGCCGGGTGAGGTTTTCCAATGCTTCGACGACGTGCTGCCCAAGCTGCGCTGTCCCGGCGGAGCGCCGGGCCGTTGCGCGGTGGGCCGCGATCCCAAGAGCTTGGCGTGTTCGGCCTGTATCGCGGGCTACAGGTGCGGAGCAGCACAGCACCGGAAGGTTGAAAGCATCTGTTTTGGGCAGCTTTTAGGGAGGTCTGAGTTCAACCAGCCTGTTTGTTTTTGGGTTGGAACAGATGGGCATTTCCAAGGGTCATACTTCACCGAACCTAGTAGGACTCGAAGCTCGGAACACTTCGTTGGCCTTCGTTGGCCAACTCGTTGTTCAAGCCGCTCGCTCGCCCCCCACCAGGTCGCATCAGGAGGGCTGCATCTCGTGCGAGAGCCACGGCGCGTGGTCACACGTCGTCGTCCTCCTGTACTTGGCCCTCCACGTGTCCCTCATTGGCGTCGTCGCAGCCTGAGCCGAACCGAGACTCACGAGACAACGAGACGATTGGTCGCCACGACCGGTTTGACGGTCCGCCGAAGGGTCCCCGACAGCGGCCCGACCTGCAAGTCCGCCGCACTCATGACGAGGCGGTCGGTCGATGGCGGTCGTCGGCCTTGGGAGGATGGGCTCCGCCCCCCGGCTCCGCGAGGTGCATTTCCTCTTCGTGAAGGCGAACTCGAGGAGATCCACCTCCACGAGCCTCTTGCATGCGGAGATCGGTGTCTGCGAATTACTCACCTTCCTGCAACTTATCGATCCTTGGGGCGAGTTGACAGAGACGGAAAGGGGATGAAAGGGGAGAGTTGAGAGAGTTGACCGGAAAAAAAACCAAAGGAGCCTCCTTCTCCTCCATCTTCATCCAATCTCCTCCATGCACGCGGTGAAGCTGCAGGGTTTGAGACGGTGCAAACCCCCGAGATCGGACGACGAGGGACCTCACCTGAAGCGAAAAACGGAAAGCTCATGGATGGGGGCCAGCCCCGTAAGGATGACGATGAACTTCCTGTAACCAAACAGGTGGTTTTTCTTCACTTCCATTGCATGATTCTAAGATATTTAAAGGAATGTATCCTAATGAACTAGTAGCTTCTTGCTACTGGGAACAAGAAACTCTTAGTAGCTCCTGGCATTTCTACTGGGAGCAAGAAGCTACGAACGTAACAGATCTATTCGTTTCAGGAACTCGGTCTTCTTTTCTCTGCGCTTGGTCCGTGTCTTTTCTCCGCCCGCCCAAGGCCTCGCTGTCGCAACGCAGAACAGGGCGGATTGTGACTCACACCGTCATTTTCTGGTCTGTGATGGAGCAGAGTAGGCACTACCCACACCATCCTGAGAAACATGGAGTGGTAAGGTCTACCATCCCCAGAAACCTTTCATGGCTAGAGCATCACCACCTCCCCTTTCTGAAACCGCAGTTCTCCCGCACTGGGGCTGGCGACTTTCGGAACCTGACCTTCTTTTCCGACCCACCTCTTCGTCCCCACCAATTCGCTTGCCATGCGACGCGGCGGCGACCGGGTTGGTCCACGTCGACCGATCCCCCCCCGGCGGGAGAGGACCCCTGACGGTCAGGTCTCTCGACCGAGGTGTGACACCCCATGGCTTTTCGAGGCGGTCGGGGTGGGCGGTCGGGGTGGGCGGTCAGGAAGTGATGCAGACCATCACGGCCTGGTCCAATCCGATCGCCTGGCTGGACATCTTTCAGCCCGGCTTTTGGCAGTCGATGCCGGTGCCTGGGCGGATGGGGGAAGTCGATTTGGGACGGTTTTCGTGAAGGAAGGTTTTGGCTTCTGCGAACGCTTCGAAGTTGGTGGTTTTGGACCGTCAAAACTGGAAGAACGAACTTCGAAGTGGATTAGTGGTCGTTGTGCCAGTCACTTTCTGTTTATGACTGACATGAGTTATGTGTTTTGTGCATTTCTTGCAGTTCATTTGATGCCAAAACAGACGGATCCGTGAGACCCGGGTGGTCGGGACGTTTCTCAAGGCACATGATCCAAGTCAATCTGGGTGTCGTCGTCTTAAAAAGGGAGACCTCCCCAGTCAGTTCGGCTCCCACAGCAAGAAGGAGAATAGACCCCCATGTCCGGTTCAAAATCTCGCTACTGGAAGGCACACCCCTTTTGAAGTGATTTTGTTATTTTCCTTTGGGTGCATGACTCCGTCCATTTTTGAGCGAACTTGTTTGGGGTCTATAGTCTATAGTCATATCCCCTTAGAGGTTTAGGGTGAGGTGCCCATGAACCACTCCTTGTGGGCCCTGTGTAGGAGCAAGGACGCTACTAGGGGCTCCTGGCATCGCTACTAGTAGCAAGAAGCTACTAGTAACAAGAAGCTACTAGGGGCTCCTGGCCTTACTACTAGGAGCAAGGACGCTACGAACGGGGTGATTTGACTTCTTTGGACGGTCCCAACGCCCAAACCTGGTTGTGTCAACCGGTGAAGGCTGCGCGCCGTTTTCGAGGAAACCCATTGCATGGCCCAGATGGACACGGCGACGAGGCCGCTGAGCTGCGACTGGAGTCGTCGGTGGAGTCGCCACGTCTTCGGTCGAGTTATTTGGTCTCCAAGCCTCGGACACGCGCGTCTTAAGCGTGAGCACAGGCGTCGAAAACTGAGGTATGCCGTCCAGACTTTGCTCGTTCCTTTGTTCTTCATAGTCGTTCCTTCAATGTATCACCTTCTCTTTATGATCGGATGGCGCGACTTGGAGCTCCACCTCCTCGGGAGGACGCGAGCGGCTGACGTCGCGACGTCGTGTGCGCAGGAAGACGAGTTGGAAGTGAAAGGGGATGCAACACCCGAAGCACCCTGAGAACTTCGGGTCCTTGATCACCGGAATCATTCCAAATCCAATGAATCCAGCCATCAAGCCGAAAGGAAGCAGCGAATGTACATGGCGTGCATGTGGGCGTCGAAAGTAGGCTGGCTTGGTGGCGTTTTGGCCTTGGCGTGTGATGGCTGTGATCGCTTTGGCCTTGGGCTTGGGGTAACAGACAGGGCACCCCAGCGGCACTCAGTTCGCTTCCGCCAGGACCATTGGCACCATCTTCGTGGTCTTCTTCATTGCCATGATGTCACCTGCCGTCCGACTCCGCCCGGTTTGGACGAAGCCACCGTTTGGGGGTTCTGAGAGGCGTAAGGCCACGTGATTCGCTCATTGGATGAACTCAGATCGGCGCCAGTGAAAGAAGAACATGTATCGTTTTGTCTATACAAAATGAATGCATATATTATAGACACCCCAGACGTCCAACTATTAATAGGCGGGTCATCCCGAACCAACGAAGGATTTTACACTACAAAACCAGTTCTTGGAAGTCTTGGGTATATGACATATGTATACCCTAGGCTTCCAACAACCATTGATTTTGAAGAGTCACAAAAGGGTGGTTTTTAGTCCCTAGGTGAGTGGATAATGGGCACCCCTATCCTCCAAGTTCGGCACATTGTGACTCCTGGTTCATGGTTGATACCGAACCACCATTGCTTTACTGGAATTTTACACTACAGCAACAGGTCAACCGTGGCCCTCTTCGATACAGAAGATGAACATGACTGGAGATTTCTTCACAAATTCGATGCTTTGGACACCGAACCATCGATGCAGAACTCCTCCACCGCTCGCTGATTCTCGCACCGACTGGGCCCGACTCGAAACCCACTCGGAGGGACCAGGACCTGACCCGCAGGGACCTCAAGGGGACCAGTCTTCTGCAGGCAAACACAATCAGACACAATCAGACACACCCACCAAAATGGTTTTATATACATCTCAAGTCCTGGGAGGGGGGGAAAAGGGGTCATTTCTCAAGAGTTCTAGGACTTCAGAGGCCTTTTTTGTTCGACTCATTTCTCCTCACTTGTACCCTCTATACTGAAATCACCTCCACAAACCGGCACAGAAGCTTCCGTCCCGCCCTGTGCGAACGAAACCCCCCTCTCCGTCGCACCGAGGTCGTGGCTTCTGGTGCCCTTCCGTTGTCAGACGCATCCGACGGGCTTCCGGACTCTGCAGGCCGCCCTGTTCTCCCGTTGTCCGACGCTTCGCAGCGAAAGACGGACACGCGGCGTGACACGCGGACGGCTTGGACGGCTTCCGCCTCGCTTGGAGCGGGACACCTCGCTGAAAGGGGTGTGGGTGGTGTGGGTCGTTTTTTGGGGTTTCTGCACCGGAGGGACGGAACAAAGGCAAAATGGTACAGTGAAAGATGGAAAGTCTTAATTCTTCTTCTTTTCAGCCAAACATCAGTTGCTATACGCTGTTTGAGGATCATATTTGGCCGTGCGGCAATGTATGGTCCTAGTTGGTCCATAATATAAGTGCAAGTGTTTGACCTTGCACTGGCCACATCACAGTTCCCATTGGATGTTGTCGTGGGATGTCTGTCGTCTTGTCTGCTTCTTTTTTCATGTAGCTTTTGACCTTTTGACCATGGCAGCGCTTCTCCTTTTCAAAGGGTCCCGCTTCTGGGACGGAGCATGTTTTTCGGTCAAGCATGGTGTGACTCGGAGGATTTGAGTGGAGTTCCTCTGCGTTCCTCGCTTCAACGATGCATTGGACCCGTGAGGGGTTTGCTGGGATTCCGGGACCCCTGGTTCGTTCTCGTTCGGCGTATCACCAAGCACATCAGATCCAGGTATCGTTCGCTAGTCTGAGGTCCTTTCCATCATCTCTCGCATCATTTTCAGCAGATTCTTTTCGAAAGCTCTTTTGCCCACGGGTTTCCTCTCTCCTCACGTCATATAATGGTTCGAAGCCTTTGTGTGCCTCTGTTCCCTCCCTTTGTGCCTCCGCCTTTCCGCGGGTTTCCCCGCCTTTCCGCGGGCGATGGCAGGCCTATCCGGAGATCGCCTGCAATTGGGAAGACGAGCATCTACAGATGGTGCTGATCTCCGGAAGTGGATCACTCATACCCTTGAGCTTTTTGGCCATTTGCTTTTGGCTCATGTGTCACTATCCCAGTCGGCTCCAGAACGGTGACACCAAGTTCACCAGGCGCTCAAACACCCCGCGAACTTCGCAACGTGGGGGCGTGGTGTTTGCAGGCACACTTTTTGGCAGATTGCCCCAAACACTGCTTGGACCCGACAAAGAGTTGGCAGAGGATGGCAGAGGTTGAGTTACATCAAGTGTCAATCTCTTGCCAGGCACAGATCGTTTATCAACAGCTTGCGGGCAAAATTGTATTCTATGAGAGCTCCAATGGCGATGTTTTCCTTTGAGAACGCACTGCCATTTCTGGGGTTCACGCGTCCGTCCTGGGTAGACCTCCAACCTGTCTGGGGTTCGTCGGACCGACGTCGATCCACATGACCTTCGGCAGGTCATGTGCCTTTCTCTCTCTGCGCTTGAGACCAGGGGAAGAGTTGATCTCGCTCTTCCTGCTGGGCCGCAACGTGCCGCTCGGCTCGGTCTCCTCCGAGGTGTTTCACCTTTTCCAAGGGCGTGCAGCTCGGGCGCGCGTCGTTGAGCAGCGATGCGAGGGAGTGGCCGCGCCAGGGGCGGGAGTTGGGGGTTTTGACCCTGCTGAGGTTGCTGGTTCTGTGTCCTGTGCTACCATCGGGCCGCAGGGCAGGCATGCCACTTGACTCCACAGTGAGGTGGTCGTTGCAGGAGAAAAAGGGTGGTCCGGAGGTCTTGCGGGGTGAGTTCTTCCGAGTTTCGGTGGCGTTCAGTCACAGACCTACTTGGGGCCGACGTTTGGCGAGGATTTATGTTTCACACAGATGCCTCTTTGCACAGTACCAAGAAGAGAAAGAGAGTCCGCTTCTTTTCCGCTCCAAACATGTCGGTCCGATCGACCAAACATGGTCCTTTTGCCCCACTATATTATAACTTCTACCCTGGTCTACTGAGTCTACTGGATCAGGGAGAATCGAACGTTGTAACGGACTCCAGCGGCTCTGGGTTTTTCATGGACTCTTCTTGGGTCGGCAACTGGCCCAACGACTCGTCCAAGGTCTTTGTTGCTCACCGTGAGCTTAGTGGTTACCGTTCTCCGGTTGCCCTGGCGCGCGAAGGGCTCCAATTTCATCGCGCCTGGGCGAAGATGTCCCTCCGGGTCGCGCACGCTCGGGTCCGCGAGCGCTCAGTCGTTGCAGAGAAAAATCATATTTAAAAACACTGGCCACAGTCAATGGCCACGCCCTCAAACCTTGTGTGTGGGTGTTGTCCTCCTGTTGTCCTCTTCTTGTCGAGCCCTGTGCCCCCTTCTTGTCCTCTTGGTGTCCTCCTGCTGTTCTTTGGCTGGCACACCTTGTCCTCCTCTTGTTCCCAAAACAGTTTTCGGTGCTGGCCAGTCCAGGCTTTGTTGGTGTTGGCCGCGCCAACAGTCCGGGTTGGGCTTCGACTTGGCGAAACCGACTGTTCGGGTCTGTCTGTGCTGACAAGGCCCACGTTGTCGGCCCTTTTACCACAGCCTTGTCTGGGCCTAGCCCGCTGCTTGGACATGCCGCTTTTTCGTGTGGCACCACCGCCTTGTCCAGGTATGTCTTCGTGTGGCTATGAATGCACCAGTGATGCAGTGTTTCAAATTTGATATCATCCTTCGGCTTTCCCATGATATATCCTTTCGGTTGTGCCATCTACTTTTTCCTGACATGGAAGCGCTGAAGGATCAGCGAGAGGAGAGGCGCACGTAAGTTGAGGAAAGGAGAGGAGAGGAGAGGAGAGGGAAAGGACAGGAAAGAAATGGAAAGGAGAGGAAAGGAAAGGAAACAAAAGAAAAGGGAAAGAAAGAACAAGAAACAAAAGGAAAGGAAAGGGAAGGGCAAGTAAAGTAGAAGTGAAAGAAGGAAACAAGATGGAGCCCACGAGCCCGAATGCAAACACGTACTCGAAAACATACGCCCAAACAATTCTTGACACTGTTGTAGGAGACACTCTTGTGGGGCACTCTTGTAGGACACATTCTCTTCGGAACCTTTGTGGACACTCTTGTGCACTCTTGTGGTACACCTTGTATGACGCTCACTCTTGTAGGACACTCTTGTGGGACACTCTCGTAGGACACTCTTGTCGAACACTCTTGTGGGACACTCTTGTAGGACACTCTTGTAGGACATCCTTGCAGGACACTCTGCTCTTGTTGGACACTTTTGTGGGGGCACTCTTGTAGGACATTCTTGTGGGACACTTTTGCGGGACACTTTTGAGGGATACTCTTGTATGTCACTCTTGTGGGACACTCATGTGCCTCTTGTGGGACACTCTTGTAGGACACTCGGACACTCTTGTGGGGCACTCTTGTAGGGCACCCTTGTCAGACACTCTTGCGGGGCACTCCTGCAGGACACTCTTGTACCTCCTGTAGGACTGTCTTGTGGGACACGGAAGCCCTTGTAGGAAACTCTTGTAGGACACTCTTGTTATGAGATTGTTGTAGGACACTCGTGCAGGACACTCTTGTGGGACTCTGGTAGGAAACTCTCTTCCTCCAAAAGTCACACTTCAAGTCGGCAAAACGAGCGTTTCCTACGAGACCTCTTCCAAAATTCCCTCGTCAAGTCTCCAAAGCGAGCGTTTCGCATGAGACTTCCTTTAAAAGTGACGCGTCAAGTCTCCAACACGAGCGTTTCTACAAGACGTCCCCCAAAAGTTTCCACTTCAAGTCTGCAAAAGGAGCATTTCGTACGAGACATCTTCCAAAGTTCGCTTGTCACTTGTCAAGTCTCCAAAACGAGCGTTTCGCACGAGACTTCCTCAAAAACTTAAAGTCACATGGCAAAGTCTCCAAAATGAGCATTTCGTACGAGACTTCCTCCAAAAGTCAAGCGGGAAGCCCCAGGAGCACACACATCAAGCATCCCTGCCAAGTAGTTTCGCGATTCCAGCCCCCCTCACACGCCAATCCCAATGTCAAAGCGACATTCACCTCCACCACAACTCACAACCTCACGATTCCCTGCGCCTGCCACGAAAAATTTGCATAACATCCCCAAAGTACTGCGCCTGCCACGAAATGTGATCTCCGCCACACCTCGCAATCATAGGATTTCCTGCATTTCTCACTAAAACTGCATTTTCATACCCCAAAGGCCGCGCAAAGTACTGTGCTTGTCATGTTAGCTTCAATAAAAGTTGCACCACAACATACGTTTGGAATGATTTCGACGTGTTCTGAGCACACACCCATCCACCAAAATCGCCTTTTGAGCTGAGAAACGCAAATCCCAATGTCACGGCCACGCCCAGCACCCCAGAAACACTACCCTCCACACGCCAATCCCAATGTGACTGTCCAGAAAACTGCGGATCTCACAAAACGCCGCGCCTGCGCAGTGAATTCATCGTCCACACTTCATCCTCCTTCCACCCCTTTCCTCACTATTTCGCACGAATCTGACACGTCGTGCTTCCGTCCAAAGTCCGCTCCAAAAACTTCTCCCAATGTCAGCGCCATAGCCCCCTACTGCGGACGGTTGCAAACGGTTGACAACGGTTGCGATCGCTCAGACAACGTGTCGCGAACAAGGCTCTACCCCCAGACCCCCAGAGTTAAACGAGAACCCGAAAAGGAAACAAAAGGAAAGGAAAAGGACAGGAAACAAGCAAGGAGAGGGAAGGAGAGGGAACGGGAAGGAGAGGGAATTTAGTTGCGCCATCTGTTGGCTCAACCATCATTGTTGTATCACCTTTCTGAATGAACGCGCAAATGTACCTCTCAAATAGGTTAATAGAGTTGGAAGTGGGGAGATGCAAAGGCAGCGGGAATCAACAGGAAATCAAAAGGACGTCAAAAGAGACCACAAGGAAACCAATAGGAATCAGCAGCAAATCAAAAAATTTGACGGCAAATCAATAGACACCACCAGGAAACCCGTAGCAATGACAGGAAATCAAAAGGAATCGACAGGAAATCAAAAGGGCAGATGGTCGCAATTCTTTGGGTTGCGCCATCAATTCTGAGCACACACACGCAATGACCAGTGAGAGTTCATTTCCCCTTGTGCCATCTATTTTTCCTGATAGCGTTGGTGCAAATCACTACCCACAAAAATGTGTCCCGAGGTGTCACCTACCCACCCTCCCGTTCTTTCCGAGTTGTTAGTGTTACTTTCAGAATGGTGTTTACATTTGCAGACGTTCCCCCCAACATTAGAATTCAAGGAGTTGACATTTAACAATCTTGCTGACACTGTTTGGGGTCTATGCTGGCCTATTCGTCCTGTTGTCTTCTGGTTGACACCGGCTTGGCCGTGCCTGCCAGCCGACCTCCAGACCTTGTCTGTCTGTCTGTCTGTCTGTCTGCCAGTGCGTAAACATGACAACATGCGAACCGCAGAAAGCAACTTGCGTTTTTTCCCAAAGCAGTTTGCCGCTTTAGGGTTCTCTCTTAGGAAAGAAGCGCTGGCCACACTGTTCTCGTGTCCTCTTTGTTCTTCTCTCGTCCTCCTTGGCTGCGCCCTGATTGACTGGATCCGGAGCTTGCCCTTCTTTTGTTCTCCTCTTGTCCTTTCAACTCCAGAAAGCAGCCCTGTCCGGATGTCCTCCTCACCTCCTCATGTTCGTCTATTGCCTTACTGTTTTTGTTCATCCCATCATTTTGTTGTGTCTCTCTTGTCCTCCCTCCCTCTTCTCCTCTTGTTCTCCGTTCTCCTCTTGCTCCTCTTGGGGCGCTCCCCTCATGTTGTCCTGTTGTCCTTTTGGCGTTGTCCGGTCGCAGCTTGGCCTTCTTTTGACCTTTTGTCCTTTTGTCTTCTGTTGTCCTCCTCATGTCCTCCTTTGGTCTTTCTGTTGTTTACGTTGCTGTCCAAGGCAGGGGCTGGGGCTGCGGCCGCTCACCACACAAAAACAATTCGGTCTATGCTGGTATCGTAGGAAAAAGAAGCTGGCCACAGTGGTAGGCCGCGCAGCCAAGCCCTGTCCGGTCTTTTTGGCCCTGTCCCCCTCATGTTCTTCAGTTCTTCTATTGCCTTCCTGCAGTCCTTCTTCAGGTGTTCATTGGCCGCGGCTGCCACCGCCGTGCCGTCTCTTCCTCTGCTGCTCTTGTTCTCCCGTTGGCGTGCTCCCCTCATGTTGTCCTGTTGTCCCTTTGGCGTTGTCCGGTCACAGCTTGTCCTTCTTTTGTCCTCTTGGTGTGTTCGTGTTGTTTTCCTTCCCTCATCCTTTTGTCCTTTGTTGTCCTCCTCATGTCTTCCTCTGGTCTTTTTGTTGTCCTGCTGCAGTCGTGCTGTTTACGTTGCTTTCTAAGGCAAGGGCTTTGGCTGCGGCCGCCCACCACCACAACAACAATTCTTGCTGACTAGGCTGTTTGGGGTCTACGCTGGTATAATTGGGAGATTCGCATCGACGTCGTGTTTACATCGACATCACCCACCTCAGATGATGGATGTGATATATGATATGATGATTCTGTTATTCTAAGGATGTGCTAATGCATTTTTGTGCCCTCTTCATTCTGGACTTCTATGGCGAAGCTCAAAGCAACGATCCCTTGCCGGTGACGGTGGCTGTGATGCTGGTGCTGGCAGCCTTCTTTGTGACCATCATCTATGGATTTGCCAGGTACTTCCTAGTGGTCCGCAAGAAACCTTTCAAGTTCTTTCTATGCCATCACAAGTCAGGAGCCTCTGGGAAAATTTTTTGGAGGAGGTTCTCCATCCGAGGGAGGAGAAAAAACAACTACCCTTCCTTTTTCCCAAGATCCCCCTGGTAGGAGATAGCATGGAAAAAACCCTGTGAAACTGGTTGCATTTCATGGCTCAGAACAAGATCATCGCTGACTGCCTTTACTCGTCAGGATCACATATCGACACCTTCACTTCCCACGTGCACCAGGTGTCACAGTTCAATGCCGCGAGGCGCACCCCTCAATCTGTTTCACTCCAAAAGCCAAGCCAGGTACCAGGTACTGACGTTCTCTTTTGGACCCCAACTCTCAAATCCACGATGCTGCTCAGGTCATACAGCAATTTCCGCTCTTCGCCCACCAATTCCCCCGCGCGGTCTCGGGTCAAGTTCTCTTCATTTCGGTTCATCCAGGAGCTGGGAGCCTGGCTCGGCTGATCAAGATGGAACTGCAACGAAGGAGCCCGGGCGTTCAGGCCCGTCTTCCGTCTTCAGCGGTTGCGCGAGCGTTTGGGTGAGCTGTAGAAGTGGGATGTGACTGAAAAGACCTTCAGAGAAGGAGTTCTTTGGAAATAGCACCGCCTTGATGGAGAATGGGCCACTAGGAAATCCAATATATTGGTGTGTAGCACCTTGGTGTATACATTTCTTTAGTCTCCTTTCTTCGAGATAAGGACTTCTGAGAGTCGTCTCTTTCTGACGACTCTCACGAAAAACTCACATCAAACTATCAAACAAAACCATCCAGATTTCCCGGTTGTTCATCATCACGCCACGCCAGTTGTCGCAAGCCGATTCGTCCGATTCGAACTCCACAGATGGCTGTACAAGGCACCTGGAGCCTGTGCTTACCTGGAGGTGGTTGAGTCTATTCTGTTCATTTTTGGTGGGACAAAGCAGGGTCCTAGCGGTTGAAAGATCCATTGCCAGATTCTTGGGTTCAACCCCTGGAAGTGAGTCCGATAGTCTCTTGAGACCGAATGTGGTGTGCTGGTGGATCTTCCCCTGCATTTGGTGGTGATGTGTTTTGGAGGGTGGGGAGGCTTCAAAAAAGCCTTCTCAGAGACTTGACAAAGGAGCAAACCAAGATGCAATCTGATCTCCAGAATTTGGTGGGCAAACCTCTGTTGCTCTTGCTTGTAGACCAGATTTGGCAAACCTCTTGGTTGGCAAACCTCTCCTCCGACCTCTGTTGCTCCTTGCTTGTAGACCAGACTTCGTTTTGTTTGCCGCGTTGTCACGCGTTTTCAGCGTGCAGAAGGTCTTCTTGGGCTCGGAACAGTTGACGGATCTCACCAAGCCCTTGTGCTATGTGGCCTACGAGGTGGAGAATCTCATCTTGTTGGGAACTGCTCAGGTTCCTTGGAGAGTCATTGGATCGCTCCAACAAAGAAGTTCCTTGTTGGTTCGCTTGTTGGAGAGTCACTTCTTTTTCAACTCACACATGGACGGCGGACGGCTGTGGGCTTCTTTCCGGACTCGTTGGGACCTCAGAGCAGAGAGCGGAGATTTGTGGAATAGGAGGAAGAGGAAGTGAACTGAGGGATTCGAGCAAGCAGGTTTTTTCATGGTCTTTACCACAGAACCATTCTTTTAATGGTCTTTGAAGGCCTAGAGTGAACATTGGGAGGAAGCAACTGGGTTTCCCGAAGCGACATGCAGAAGAGATGTGGCGGGATGCTTGCGCGATCTCGTCTGAATGTGGCCCCCTGCCTAGTCAACAGAACATGGAGTTGAACATTCTCTCTGTTCATTTTTGAGAGTAGTTCTGGTGATGGCATGACCTATAGGGTCATATTGGGGTCAAAACCCAAACACAGCAAGAACATAGGCCTTGCGTCATTTTTGTTAGCCAAAGAAGAAGTAAAAAACATAATGGCAACCTTTTTCCGTCGTCCTTTTCGCTCTCTCCTTTCGTCCTATTTTTCCGTTTTGGAACGTTTTCCCAGGAACGTGACGCCGGACATCGTTTTTGCCGGTCTTGACGCCACGATGTCCAGGTCTTGACACAACGCTGGTGTGTGGCTGAACTGGTGATTGCGCGATTGCAGAAGATCAATTCCGTTCTGCCTCTCGGAAGTGTGACGTATGGACGTGTTGATACAACTTTAGACATCCATTTAATATATATATATATATATTATACATTCTTCAGGATACCACATTGACATGGAAGTGCACGCATCCGTGTCCCTTTCTGAGTCTGAATGTAATGTTCTTTTGGGGTATCTAGGGGGTTGTTCAGTAAAGGCAATGGTTTGGAATCCTAGTCCAACCCTGGCCGCGAATGAAGGTTGCACCGAGAATGTGTCAGTGAAAAAGACCCGTTCTCTCTTCCTCCGCGTCCAAACCGAGGATCCCGTTGCCGGACTTTCGCATGCCCGATGCCACCTTCATCACCAACTACATGTGCCCTGGCGAAGACCGGTGACCTGGCGTCCCGGAGTCTTTTTCGTTGAAGACGCGGTGAACCGCCAACTCCTGAACTCGTTGTGCCCGACACGAAGGTTTCACCACTTCCAAGGCTAATACATCGGAGAATGTATTGAGTCGCTGAGTCATCCACCCGATCACTCGAGCACCCTGTGCCGCCAGGACCAGTGTGCCGGACATTAGCGACCTGGCACCTCAGCTGCATTAGGCTTCAGTTGAGCCACCCATCAATGACAGACCCTTTCTGCAACAATCCTGGTGAAAAGGAAGGAGGACACGATCCAATTCGCTGAGACTTTCAGCAAGGCGTACATCGGAGCTGCATCCACGTGGTGTGTTTACGGGGTCAGCGGGTGCAACATCGGATTCTGCTGCCAGGTTTGTGGCTGGTCTTCCCCGCTGGTCTTCCATACGATCGGTCGTGGCACTGGGTGGGAGACATGAGTCGAGCAGGGCCGGGATTTGACCCACAGGAGTCGATGTCCTTCAACGGAGCAAATCAGTTGGACGTTTGTAAAGCAAAGAATCTCGACTTGGTGAATGGCAGAGGTTCTCATCTCTGACAAGGGGTTGGGGTCTCTGTCTCCTGGAAACCAGGTGAAGGAAGGTTGTGGCCTCGCCTCTCCCAGTCATGGCCTCTGGCCAGAAGAAATCCATTCCTACTTGTTTTGGGATTGACCAAAGAACTCGAAGAACACCTTCAAGAAGAATCATGAAAAGACATCAATTAGGTATTCCTTCGATGTTTTCTCCCTGGGTCTCGCTACACCTAGGGCTCTTTCTGGGCTTGGGCGTGGAGATCTCCAACGAAAGCCTTCCGAACAATGACGCAAAAAATCACGCACGAAACAAACGGCGTCACGCTCTAACCGAAGTTGCACCACATCTCCATCTCCACGAATGGCCCAATTGACCAGTCCAAGACGAGTCCCGGACTCGCCCTCCGTGTCGAAGCTCCGACATGTCTGCGGAATTGGCCTTAAGGCGTCCTATGGCATCACGACTCATGAGATCAAAGATACCATCCTCTGGGTCTGTAAGTTGCCCTGCCTGCCGCTGGGCACCTTGGAACCTGCGTCCTTGAACCTGGTCCTTGGCGTGCTTGAACCGGATCAAAACGGCACCGAGCTACACCTGAATGAGTCGGCGAGGGTGGCGATCCTAGCGGATCCGGTACCCTGGCGAGAAGGGAAGAGAGGGCAGAACAGAGAGGTATGAGGAGATCTATAGATGTAACTATTTGGTATGATTTACATGGAGCATTCTAATTGTTTTTTGCAAGATCTGGATACTTTTGCATACTTCGCATTCCATGCCTGGATCTCAGATTCAATCCTCCGCACCAGAACAGAGTGGCTCGGCTCGCGGCGAGTCGAGTTAGGAGAATCTTGGAGCCACTGCCACGGCCTATGTGCTGTTGGGCTTGTTGGAGCCCCATCTCAATGCATTTGGACTGGGATCTTGCACGGTGCTGCGGCCAGGGCAATCTCCCAGCAGAGCTCCTCGGAAGCCAGCGTGGGCGTCTGGGGTGCTTTGAAAAGGAAGGGACCAATCAGAACGACCCCCATTCTGCGGTTGCTTCTTGCATCAATATAGAAACTTTAAGTGTACAGTTACAGTATCCTGTTTCTTCAAAAGTGCGGTTCTTTTCTCCTGTACCCTGTAAAAGGTCACAAACAGGGGCTCCAAAAAGGTAACTTTAAAGAAGCTGGTATACTATCATAGCACGAAGGTAGTCTACTTTATTTTTATACACTTATTCAGTATATTTAATTAACATGACTTGCAAGATGCAAGATTTCACACTTCTCAACTAGCTTTGTGCTGCTTTCTCCTTCCTTGGAACCAGCCTGCGTGTGACTGACATGAGTTCCGACACATGCCCTGCAGCTCTGTTCGAACTCGCTGAGGGCGTGGCCTCCATGCTCTTTCTCTGCTCAGAGACTTGCTGGGCCTCTGAGCAGATCGTCCAGTGGCTCTGCAAGGCCTGTGAGATGCCGGAGTGCTTCTTGTTGCCGGTCCTCATCGGAGACCACTTCCAGTTCCCGAACGCGGAGGTCTTCAGTGACTTGGGTACAGAGATGAACACAGGGGGGCAGATGGAGGGACACATGTTACGTGGCGGGAGTGTGGGGAGGTCTTCTTTTTGGGTGGGAAGGGGGAAACGAAAGTGATGATGGGCAACACCTCTGTAGAGCCAAACTGAACAGTCACAAGGTTCTGCATCGGGAGGACTGCATCGGGAACTCAGACAATGCAAGAAAGGCCAAGAAGGCCATCAAAAGGTGTCAATCAGTTTCCAGCACCTCCCTGGAACGGGCGAATGATTGGATGGAAAACACTTGGGCTGGGGATCTAACCAACCGCACCCGACCTTGGGTGGTGCTGCTGTGATTTTGGTTGTTCCTTTTCAGGACTAGTCCTGCCCTGAAACACGTGAGCTGCGTGGGGAGCTGATGGGTAGCTCGGTTTGAAGCGACAGGCCTTCCAGACCGCACAAGGTCGAGGACACCTAAAATCAGTCCAGTGCGACGATGCTTCTTCTTGGTGAAGTAGAGGAAATGCCTCGAAATCAGGTCTCCTAGAGGTCTCCTAGTCAACCCATTCCTTTTAAAGTCTTTGACTCCCAAAAGCAGATCAGTGGTCCTTGGGGGCACCGTGAATGATGGCACCACTGACTCCGCCCGGATGGCACGGGTTCAGCGAACCGCTCGAGGTCGCCTCCTCGACCAGCAAGAGCTCACTGATCCGGAATTTTATGAGACCTTTATCGAAACCGTCTTCCTTGAGGCCGGTGGTGGTACGTTCCACCGGGCTCACGGAGAACCTCGTGATTCTTCACATCGGCATGGACGGTGATTGGGGGGCACGCGATGTGGCCCACAAGAGAAAGAGCGCTCGGTTTCGGTTGAGAGACGCAGACCATCCATGCTTTCGAGCTACGGACAGAATTCAATCGTGGATGACCCCGTTTGGGGGTCAGCAACGTTTAGCTGTTGAATTCTTCCATCCATGGAGTGTCTGGGAATTTCCTGGGTTGAGCCCCACATGGATCGGCTGTGTGTGAACCCGGATCGCCGCGGATCGGATAGCCTGGGGTCGGGGAAGCCCCTTCCAGGCCGCAGGGACTTTCACTCCAACCCTGGCGGCTGGGTTGGACTTGGAGCTGCAAGCGGCGCGCCTGTGCCACCGGATCCAATCCAGGCTGCGGCCCCGCATCGTTCGGCAAAACAGTGCGCTGGACAACGCAGGCGGGTGTGCTTCAGTCCGAGGGTGTGGAGGTGTAGACGTGTGGAGGTGTAGGTGTGGATTGACAATAGTCAGGGCTCAGGCCGAAACTGGACGGATAGGATCATTTGTGTTGGCTTTCTAGTTCATCCTGTCCCCAGAAAACCCGTCTCGGTTCACGGAAATCGTCAGGGCGGGTTTGGGATGAGATCGTTTTCTTTTTCTCTCCAACCACTCCAATCGACCAGGAGACCTTCTCAAGGCACAATTCAAAAGGCAGGGCTCTGTCTTGCAGAGACTGGCCAGCTTTCTGATGCCCAACAAGCGCGAAGCGGAGTCCAATGGCCTGCATGCCTCCTCCTCCGCTGGCTCCTTCTCCTCTGGAATGTTTGGCAGTGAAGAGGCTCGGCCTAGCAGGCAGGACGAGCGAACAGAGGGCGAAGCCGAGCCGGGGTGTCGTTTTCACCCTATCCTCTTATATACTCTTTTTCTCTTTTGCACTCACTCTGACTTAAGTACGTAGGCACCTACTTAATAAAGCAAGGGCTGTTTATAGATCAACTACTAGGTCACCTGCTGCTAGCTCTTCGGACGCAGGATAGCCAAAAAGGACCGCGGGCCAAGGAAGATCTCTTTGACACTTTTTCTCGTCGAAGCACGGCTCTTTGTAGCGACCGACCCGAACCGACTCGCCGAGACACGGAGACCACACCCCAAACGCCGCGACACGTCCCGCGCAGACGCGCCGCGGTGTCCCGTCGAAGCATGGTGGGCCGTCTAAGTATGGACTCGGCTTACCGTGCAGCTGACCGGCTGCAGAAGAGGTCGTTCACGTGATCGGATTGGCTGGACCGCCCAGCTACACTCGTTTCAGGCCAGATCCCGATGAGGAGACGACATCTGTCTCCTTCTGAATGCTCTTCTCCACATGGCAGGAATGGAAGAAATGGCAGGATTCTCTTTCATGATCCAAACTCGAATTCAGCAAACTGAGACATCAAGAGTGAATTTCTCTTGTCATCCTTGTTGCCCTCCTGCCATATGAGGGCCATGGTGTCTAGATATCCCATGGTGTCCAAAAAGACATTTGGACCAATCCTCACGCTTGTGGCCATTGTTTAACAATGGTACACAACAAAAGGACTGGCCGGAGGCGCGTCAAAGAGGTTTGCTTGGCTTCTCCAGCGTCCCATCCCGGCGGGCTGGTTCGTGTAGGTCGTAGATGATCTGCGTGTGGGATCATTCGCAGGTAGACACATTTTCAAGATTGCAAAGCAAATTGAGATGTCTTGGAATGGAGTTCTCGCATAGTTCACCACTCACACTTGTAGATAATCATGTGTCGACACCTTCTTTTTGGCCAAGAATGTTTTCCTGACCTTGTTTTCAGGGCTTCAAACACACAAGTGTTCGCTCCTGACACATGCAACAACTGAGCTTTAAGCTTGGCGAGTGCAACTCCACAAGACCAAACAGGAAGTTGAATTCAGACGACGGAGCGCTTTAAGCGCCCCGCGCGCCCCGCACGTGTGGCCCGCGGCCGCTGTTCAAAAGCTGTTGACTCGGTGCGTCCGACCGTGGACAGGGGAAGTCTCGGACTCAGCGTGATGTTTCTTTGCCGTCAAGGTGGATCCGGAGATAATTGAAGTGTTCTTTGTTTCTTCAGTGAGAGAGAAAGACAACAATCCGAAAGAGTACTGGCCTCGGTAGACTCTGGTATATATGCTCTGACTCACCAACAATGGAAGTGGAACATCAGGTTTTGGAAGACCATTTCGTTTGCTTCCGAATAGGGGTGCCATCCACCTTCTTCTTTGATGCACCTTTTTCAGTAACTTCACCAGGGCAGGACGTCGATGACAGGCCTCCTTTCCGCCGGATCTCAAGGAAGTCGGTGAAGTGGCAGCATGGATCTCAGTCACGAGCATAGTCTCATGGCTTCGTCTCATGGATTCTTTCCGATTCCACCTAAGGCTTCCTTTCACATGTCACCGCGTAGCTCATGTGCGTCCGCAATGCTGCTCGGACACCTCCCCCGTTGTGACCCAACGATCCAAACGGCCTCAAACACGAAGCCCCTTCGGTGGTCGGTCTGGCAGCGGAGCTGCTGCCGGTGGTGCACCGGCCCTCACGGTACCCTCACGGTACCCTCACGGTACCCTCACGGTACCCTCACGGCCCCATGGCATCGACCTAGGCCGTGTGGAGAGGGTGGGAGGGGTGGGAGGGGTGGGAGGGGGGGTGGCCAGTTGTGGAGGCCGTGCTCGAAAGGTGAAAGGTGTTTCACGCGCCTCGAAGTGAATGTTGTGGGTGGGTCTTCGGTTGTGGGTGGTCAGGACAGCTCCGAAAAGGCAGGACAGCATCGCCAGTAGGTGAAACGGAGGACCGAAACAAAGCGAACACTTTTGGTAGAAACGCTTGAAACGGAGCCATGTGTGCTCTGCATGCTGGTGTAGATCAGCCACTTGCAGATCAGCCTTCATCCTCAGCAGTTGCTAGATCCAACAACTCCCCGTACCTGAATCTTCCAACTATGCAATTTGGATGCCAACCTTGGCTGGTGCTTTAGATTAAGAGGCAGACATGTTGCACAGTTGGAAGATCCAGGTACAAGTAGTAGTTTTCTTTCAGTAGACGGTCTGCTTTTGAGTCCAACCGGACATTCCTCCAGAACCGGAAACTCCGGAAGCTCCGCCTCGCCCCCCCCATGGAGGTCCTGGGTGTTCCTGCGGGGTTTTCGCAGAGCTTTCTTCGGTCCTTGGGGGGTCCTGAAGACTGACCCTGACGAGGTCCAATGGAACAAAGGGAGGTAGAAGGTAGCAGGTAGACTCTTGATGACTCTTGATGATACTTCAACCCAGCATATGAAATCACAAGAGTCAGTGCATGTGACTGTTCGTTTTGTTCCATCTAAGAGTCATTGCATGTCGCTCCCTCTGAGGAGGAGGAAGGACTCCTCACCTCTGCTCCGCCGCCATCTCCTCCTCTCCGCCGCGTGCCGCGAGACGATCGGCTCGGCAGGGCATGGCGTCCACGGAGCTGCGGCCCGGGCGGAAGAAGGCCCTGGCCTTGGAGGAGCGTGGAACACGCCCGTCCGCGGTGCGGCAAGCGTGGTGGAGCACGGGGGGAGGTCGGAAGGTTCCGTGGAAGGGCCCCGATTTGCCCCGTTCTTCTTTCTTTTTTCCACGGATTCTTCGGATGGAGATCTGAAGATCAGTTGGCATCCAGTGAAAGATGGTCACTCGACAGTGGTGTGGTTTTGTTTTTATTGGGGGGCAGCGTCATGTGGAATAGGTGATGGGGCAAGAGAAACACAGGGTGGCAGGGGGCTGTTGCGTCTGGAAAGAGACATGTGGATCAGGATAATCAGGAACTGTTCTCTTTTCTTCGGTCATTGCTCTGAAAAAACGGCCCATCTGGTGAAGTGGACCATACAGCCCCCCTGCAGCCCCCAGCCTGAGCGATTTGGAGTGTCTCCTTTTCGGAGCCCGGCACGTGCCGGGTCTCCCGGTTTGGTCGCAGCGGTCCCCGTGCGCGTCGTGCGTGCGAGGACACCGAGCTCCGGTCCCTGAGAATTCCCTCGACCGCACACCGGGGCTCCTTGTCGCCCTCGAAGCATTCCTACCTGCCGACCCTACAAGAGCAGGCGGTGGGACGGGGACGGTTGGAGAGAACCGAACCGACGGTTGGAGAGAGAGACCGCGAGACCGGAGCGAGTTCGAGTTCGGGTCGCCCAGGTGGGCGGGGTGAGGGTGAGGAGATGGTTCGCCCAGGTGGTTGGTGTGGGCCACGTCGGTCATGGTGTCTGTCAAAACATAGGGCTTTGGGGTATGAGTGTTTGTCTTGTTGGGGTTTCCTGTTGGACACTGGCATGGCGGTCTTGGCAGGTCTTTTGATTGCTCAATCTCAGTCCAGCGATGCCTTGAGCTGTGGATGTTTGGAAGGATGCGTGCTTGAGCCGACCAAGCGGATGAAGTGGTCGTGGGTGGTGGGCCCGATGGTCTTGGGTGACGTGGAGTGGGGTGGTTTTTAGTGTCTAAGTCAGTGGATGTTCTGGGCACCCCTAATCTTCCATCTCTGCCTTTGGGACGTGAAGAATGAGAAATCCATATGAACCCCCACTCAGCGTAATCAGGGCCTCCTCGCGAAAACAACCACGAAACAACACATGGGTGGGAATTTAGTATAGTGAACCCCCCGGCTCGGGAACCTCCACGGAACTAGGGTGTCGAGCTGTGAGGGAATTAGGCACCCACCCCACATAAAGGTTGCAGGCCATCGCTAGTAGGTTTGAACTAGGTTGCAGGTTGGAGGCCATCGCTAATAGGTTGGAACTAGGTTGGAACTAGCTTGCAGGCCATCGCTAGTAGGTTGGAACTAGGTTGCAGGCCATCGCTAGTAGGTTGGAACTAAGTTGCCGGCCATCCCTAGTAGGTTGGAACTAGGTTGGAGGCCATCGCTAGTAGGTTGGAACTAGGTTGAAGGCCTGGAACTAGGTTGGAGGCCATTCCTAACAGGTTGGAACAAAGTTGCAGGCCATCGCTAGCAGGTTGGAACTAGGTCGGAGGCCATCGCTAGTAGGGTGGAGGCCATCACTAGGAGGGTGGAGGGCATCGCTAGTAGGTTGGAGGCCATCGCTAGTGGAGGCCATCGCTAGTAGGTTGGAGGCCATCGCTAGTAGGGTGGAGGCCATCGCTAGTAGGGTGGAGGCCATCACTAGGAGGGTGGAGGGCATCGCTAGTAGGTTGGAGGCCATCGCTAGTAGGTTGGAGGCCATCGCTAGTAGGGTGGAGGCCATCACTAGGATGGTGGAGGGCATCACTAGTAGGTTGGAACTAGGTTGGAGGCCATCCCTAGTGGGGGCCATCGCTAGTAGGTTGGAGGCCATCACTAGGAGGGTGGAGGGCATCGCTAGTAGGTTGGAGGCCATCACCAGGAGGGTGGAGGCCATCGCTAGTAGGTTGGTGGCCATCGCTAGTAGGGTGGAGGCCATCACTAGGAGGGTGGAGGGCATCACTAGTAGGTTGGAACTAGGTTGGAGGCCATCCCTGGTGGAGGGCATCGCTAGTAGGGTGGAGGCCATCGCTAGGAGGGTGGAGGCCATCACTAGGAGGGTGGAGGCATGTGGAGGCCATCACTAGGAGGGTGGAGGCCATCGCTAGTAGGGTGGAGGCCATCACTAGGAGGGTGGAGGCCATCCCATCAACGAGGTCCAATCCACCCACCCGTTCCCGTCCGGTGGCCTGCCTTGCGCGGGCGCGTTTTTCGCTCGGCGCTCCTCACCGCGAGGCTCGGGAGGATCGGCTGGGACGCCTGGTGGATCCTGTGGGCGGGAGAATCCTGGTGGATCCTGTAGATGTCTGGAGTGTCCAGTCGTACCGAACCTGAGAAGGTCCGATTGGATCCCTAGGGTTTAGACTGTGCCTTTGGATCTGATCGCGCCGTGTCATTCCTTTGAACCCTAGTAGCGTTGGCCTCCAACCTACTTGTTCTGGCCTCCACCTAACAGCGTCCGAACGCTACGTTCGTAGCGTAGTTGTTCCGAGTAGCGATAGCCTCCACCCTACTAGCGATGGCCTCCACCCAATAGCATCCTTGCTCCTAGTAGAAATGAAGGTTGACATGGAAAAGATCATTGAACATCATAACATCATTGATAAAACAACAAGCCGTGAACTAGCCACCAGGGATTTCGGGGTGTTGTTGGAGGGAATATAAGCTGCCCTTTTCATGGTGCTGGAATATATCGAGAAAACCGTGTTTATGTAGTGTTTCCTTTTGGTTCTTACTCAGGACCTGAACTCCCTGTATTTGGAGTCTCACACCAGCTGCGTTCTCACCCCCTGCCAACCAGGGTCTGAAGCGTTCTTGGGGCGTGCAGCTTTTGGGGTGGGATCGGAGAAGCAGGGCCGTGCGGTCTTTCAACACGTGGGTGAAACCCTTTCTGGTTTGAGGTCGATCCACTCCCTGGTACCTTGGAGATTCAGTTGTAGCAGTCTCCCAAAGGCCATCAATTGGTTGAGGATGTTGGTTGATGAGGATTCGTTCGCTCCCAAATCGGGCCTTTGAAGCCAGCAGAAGCAGACGGCCTTTCGTTCAGCATCATGGCACCACCTGATGTTCACCACTTCGACCACCACGCGGCCACCTGATGTGGCGGTCGAACTAGACGATCGACCGGGCGGATGGGCCTATGGATCGAATAGCGTCGGAGTGGGTGGTCGTCACACCCCGGTTCCACTTCCACTTCCCCATGGACCGAACACACGAAGCGCATTCGGACACACACCCGGTGACCTTGATGGCGTGGGAAACGGGTCGCCGCCGCTTCCAAGTTTCCTCGGGATGGTGGCCGGTGAACGAGGCCGGTCGCGATCAGCGCGCAGAAGTTGGTCAACGAGTCCTTGGCCTTGGAGGCTGGGAGATGGGGGTGCAGGGGATGAGGCTGCCCTCAAGTTAGTGTTCATTTTTGACCATAGGGATCTTAACTTAAGTGCCTGTAATTAAGTGTGGGCATAGAGCTGGTGCTGGGTAGATGGCCAAGCCTCCTTTTGGATCGCAGTGTTTAGATCGAAGTGTTCTGGTACTGGAGAGGGGCCATGAATCATGCAATCCCCAAATCATTTTTGCATTTCCCCGGAATTACCATGCATGAAGGAGGGGTCGGAGGGTTGTGGCATGACGAAGTAGGATGCTCAAACTCAGTGACCAGTTGTTGGATGGTGAATTGTGAGTGGGGGACCACCCCCCGACGTCGGTGCTATGTCAATGTGACAACCAGCATCGACGTCGATGGGTTGCCCGAAAGGTGGGGAGGTCAACGTCGACCGTCGACCGAGATACGGGTGATGCCCAGAGGGTGCTCCGAAGTCGACGCTGATCATGGCCTAAAAACAGTGTCAAGAACCTGAATCATGGCCCCAACAGTGTCAACCAGAAAGAAACCGCCTGGGACTCCTAGGTTTCTTTTTTAAAGCTTTTGTGAGCAGCAAAGACATTGAGTGATGCACCGAAAGAACCCTACCGACGATGTGGCATCTCTGGCATCTCTTTCAAGTCAGCCCTTTTTCTCCTCTTCCCCCGGTCTACTGTGTGCCTGGCCACAGGTGCGCGTGGTGGTGGGTGCGCGTTGCGTTCGCGCTTTCGCGACCTGCCTAAACCGCGGCCGCGGGACCGCGGCGAGGCGGAGAAGAAGGGCGGTGGACATCTCCCAGAAGCTCAGGCGGGGGACGTCTTCTTCGCGACCTCGCGGAGGTTCGGACCCCTTCGCGAAGGTCGTTTGGTCGCTTCGCGGAGAGGGGGTGATGGAGGACATATCAAAAAGGGGTTGTGGAAATGGGGTGCCTTTGTCGACAGGACTTGGAGAAACAATTTTGTTGCTTTTCTGAGGTCTGTCATGGTCTGTTTGTCCACCGGAAATAGACACCCCTCGGTTCTGCTAGGTTTGTGAGTCTTTCGAGCCATCCTTTCTATACCAGCACCGATAGGCAGGTCTCCCGTATGTGGTTGGCCTCAGCCAGGTACTGACCGACCTCTCTGCGGATGTCTTGGAGAATGTCAAGGCCGAAGCAGCACCGAACGCACCGGGCCGCATATGCGCCGCGCTGTGTGCGCGCCGTGCTGGGTGGTGATTTCAGCAGCACCGTGTGTCTTGCATCACCTGCGGACATGTACGTCCCAGAATTGGTCTGTCCGTCGTACGTGAAACCACGTGTCGATGAAACGATGACGAGAAAGGCAATTGGCCTGAGAGGAAATTGGCCTTCTGGGTGAGGGGCCCGGAGTCGCACCAATCCAAGAAACATCAGAAACACGAGCCAACTCGACTCGCAATGGAAGACCTTCACCTGAGAAGTTGACTGGTCCCCAACTCGACTCGTGTTCCTCGAGGCCGAATTCGTGGAGAACGGCGGCGCGCTGAACGGCGAGGACTTCGTCCGCGCCATGTTGAGGCCGTGGGACGGGGTCGATGCTGATGGATGGGCGGGTGCGGCGCCTGTGCCTCGGTGTCCGGGAGGAGCGACGGCGGGGGGAACGAGAGGGGAGGAAGTTCGCCTGGACGTTTCGGGGAGGACGGTCGACCAAAATGGGGGCAGCAACGCCCATGGCACCTCTTTTCCCTCAGGTCGAGACCCTTTTTTATCCCTACTACAGGTCTTACGGACCTCATTTGACTGGATCCGGGAACATGCAACACCAGTACTCAATGAGGTCAGTCAGACCAGGTTCAACTTGGCCAAGACGTGGACTTGGAGGGTCTCCAAGGTAGGTCGTGATCCACGATTCGATGGTTCGCATCCGTGGTCTCTCCCCCTTCCATGGACTCCACTCTTACTGCGGTGGGATGGTGAGGGTGACATGGACCTCGTGTTGTGGTCTTCACCATCACATGTGATCCGTCCACCCAACAGCCGGCGTGCGCCGTTTTCGACCGGGGCGCCACACGAACGCCGCCGCGGGAGAAGAAGTCGCCAGGAACTTGGACCTGGACCGGCCCGGCAAATCGGCGCGTCAGGACAAGGAGAGGGGCTTCCCCAGTTTAGCGCATTCGTCTGGAATTCTGGGACTTGCTTGCTAACAGCACGTGGGAAAGGGGGGGTGAGAGATTTTAGGGAGGGCTGCCAGCGGGAAGAACGATAAGACAGGCGGATGTTCGGCAATGGAAACGCCTGCTTTTTGAGATGTCCCAGCTATATCATGGTGTATCTAAACAACCATCATCGTTTTGCCAACCCCACGTGCGTCGCATGACGCACGTGTCATCGTGTCCAACGCCCTGGCAGGAGGGGGATCCAGCGCGCAATGCCGCGGTGAAAGCTGCTGCGGTCATGGAGCGGGGGGAGGGAACTCCTGGGTTTCGCCAGTCCCCAAGCAGAAACCCTTCTGCTTCTTCCATTCGATGGCCTCGCGGAGATGAATGACAATGTGGTGCGGACTGGGGAAACATCCAGAACTGTTCCTGCTTGGGACTGAGGAGGTTTGTGGGGGACAGGAGTTCTGAGTTGGGACACCGGTTTCTACCCTCGTCCCATCCATTGGATCTGCCAGGGGCGCCTCTATCCTCGGAACTGCTGGGGATCGAGTCGTTCAAGCTTCTATCGAAGCTTTTCCTCGGAGTGTACTCTCAATTTCTGGCATATCTGGATGTATTGATTCCATGGTGGGGAGACGTCCTCATGGACCCTATCAGAACATACATCGCAGCGTCCCATCACATGGAACAGATGTTGCTCAAAGCGCAGCAAAAGACCTGGGCACTCACATCCAGTATTGATTTATCCCGTCTCTGAAAGACTCGATCGATTTTGAAAACTCTTCTCCATAGTCCTGCTATTGTAGGGCTGGGTGGTGGCAGGGCTTTAGAGATCAGGGCCTTTGCTTCATGACCAGACATGTGACATGCACTCGTTGGCCTCCTGTCCTTGGTCCTGTGGTCAGCCGTGCAGGACCTCTTCTCCCACATGGATGTGCATGGTGAGAGTTCCGTCACATGGGAGGATGTCTCCAACTACTTCATCGAGCAGGGCATGTCAGGCGAGGTCCGCGCGTCTCCCGGACGTGCCATCCCGGACGCGCCTGGTCAAAGGTTTTCGTCTTCTTTCTTGATTTCCCAAGGCTTCCAACCAACCATTAATAGGCGGGTCATCCCGAATCAACTAAGGATTTTACACTACCGAAGTCTAGGGATTTGCTTTCTTGAAAGGGATGGAGCAGTCGAAGGGATCCTGCAGAATCCCCAGAGTAAGACAAGGGTTTCTTGAAACTGGTCGCAGGGCTGTGCAGTTTCGGCCTGCTTCTGTACCCCTGCACCCCTGCTTCTTCAAGAAGGGCTTTGATCATTCTGAATGGTGTTTTCTCCTTCTCGGAAGTGAGTTGTCTTGGTGGTTGCGGTTCTGCCCAGCGAAACCATCTATCACAAAGCCGAAGACACTCAGCTTTCGGACTCTGCCCAGTGAATCGGCTCGGCCAGATCCGAGAACTCCCTTCTGCCCGGTACCCCGATTCCAACGACTCCAATCGACCAGACTTGCCCCCGACTTGGCGAGCCTGAGACCCCTGCGAACTGGTCGTTTCGTTCCGCTTCTCCGTGGCCTCCCGCGAAACGACCGGCTTCGTTGGTGTCGGTCGACGGTCGATGGTGCGGCGACCGGTGAACGCTTACCGCGCCGGGGCGCTGAGGCGGTGACGAGTTCACGGTGGACAGTATCAAGACCTATGAGGTCAGTCAAGTCAAGGACGTCTCGAAGCACGTGGCTCGGAGCTTCTGCGACCTTCCCGGATGTCCGGGGCGTACCGAGCGAACAACGGAGATGGGGCTGTTCAGCCCAACACATGGATCGATGTGATGGGGGGATCGGTGGTATTCCATCCATTTCTGCATCTAATGGGCATCATGTAGACTGAATTCATTCACAACCCCCCACCTTTGGATTGAAACACCTCTTCCTATGGGGGGCGGCTAGTAATTACAGGTCTAGACCGAGTTCTGGTCCTTTCAGGTGGTCGAAGTCCGACGTCCAAAGGACAGAACCAGGCAACGGTCGACCTGTGCTTCTACCTGGAACCCCAAGCAACTAGAAACAAATGGTTGTTCCAATATGGCAATTGAAATCCTTTACATAGGAAATGGTTGTTTGGGAAAACATCCATTTCTTTCTGGTTGTTTGGGGTTCCAGGTACGACTGTAGCTACCTCTGGCTGGCGACCTCTACGGCCTACCCCCCCCCCCCCAAACCTCGGGGATCAGGCCGAAACCCGACACGAAGTTAAGGCTCGTCGCTCGTCGTCCGATGCATCGTGTTCGATTCTGGTTCTCTCCGATCGAAGTCCGACCTCTTCCACCGGAGGACTCCAGGGCAGGACGTTCCGACTCGAGGCACCCCTTCAGAATTAAAGAGGTCCAACTGACTCCGATCTCTTCTCTTTGGCCACGTCAACCTTGGCGCTCTCAGGGTTTTTGTGGTGCTCTCAGGCTTTCTTCAGGCTTTTTTTGGGGGGATTTACCTTCAGGCTTTTTGGTCCAACCCAGATGAGCTAAGGAGACGCCCGTGGAGAAGTTGGTCTACTTAGAATCGATTGATTCCTTAGCCTCTCGGCCCACACGTGAGTAGAGGGAGTGGGGAGAACCATGGAGAAATCCTACAAGAGTGGGGTCCCCAAATAGATCGTGGAACCGTTTTTCAATACATTTGAAGTGGGGATCAAATCGAACTGCTGGACATGGGGCTCCCAAACCTACACCGACCCACCTGTTCTGGACTGGTCCTTGATCGGCCGTTTCAGACCATTCCAACTGGAAGTGGTGTGTTTGAAAGAGAAGACCGGCAAGAACGCCGTGAAAAGCGCGGCAAACCACGAACAGGACGACTCTTTCTCTTGGAGAGGTTGCTTATGCCAGACCCATAGAAACCACAGAGGCGACCCGCGCCAGATCTTCTGTGCACCTCGGCGAACCACTTCAGTCTGGAAAAACGCAAATGCTTGGGGTGTCACCCCGACCGATGGGACTGGAATCACCGCCACAGGAAGAGCTGTTTTCAATCAAGCCCCTATCTACCAGGGCCTTCAAGGTGACCTCTTTGGAGGCTCTGAGTGACCTCTTTTGGAGGCTCTGAGTGACCTCAGCCACTGGGATCTCAAGGGCGGTCACTTTGAAGGGTCTGGTATATATGTCAATCGGCCAGTGAGAGCTGAGAACTCTTTGAGTTGTGGTCAATCTGAGATTTCTCCTTTGACAGGTCATGGCCAGGAGCATCCTGTCAAGAACGGGGCGCGCGCTATGGACTACCCAGCCCACTTATGGAACTCAGACAGGACAAGGGAGAACACAATCATCTAGGTGGGTACGCAGCACAAGGGCATTACAAGTCAGAGATCATCCAGGTGGATCTAGGAACCCAGACACTCCATGAAAATGACCCATCCATTATAGGTACCTATTCCAGTCCCATAGATGGTTTCCAACAGACCCGCCAAGATCGTCCTCGTGGTCTGTCGATGTGATCAATCCAGCTCTTGTCCACCCATCGGGACCCCCACCCCGGCCGCTCCTCCCGCGCTCCTCTCCGCGGCGCGCCGCGCGCGCCTCCCGCGCGGGGTGCCTACGCCCTGCGCGCGGCGCGACGAGGTGTGTCTCTCGCGGGGCTCGCGGCAGTTCCGGCTCTACGACCCGAAGCGCTGCGTGCTGAAGGACACGGTGCACGGGCACCGTGGCACCGCCGGGCGCTCGGCGGTTTTGGTGGGAAACGGGACAGAGCTGCGGTGTGCGGCGGGAAGTTTGGGGGGAGAAGGTGAGTAGTGGTAGGGGGTGGCAGGTCGAAAGGGGGAGGTCTTCATAAGTCAAGGAAGGAGCAGAACTTGGTGGGGGGGTAACGTGCTTAAATCATCTTCATAGGTCGAGGGGGGGAAGGACATGATGAGGCGAAAGGATGTGATCTTCATTTCTGTGGCTCTTCGAGGTTGGATGTCGGGGTGGTTAATGGACACCCCTTAACCTCGAAGGGGCTATCAATAGACACCCCTCAGAGTGTCCTGGTACAGGTTTTGTATCCCAGTACCAAACAGGTCACAAACAGCTCCTAGGTCTCTGATCGTAAGGTCATGTCTACCAATCCTGAAGTGACCGTCACTGGGAAGGTGCTCTATCTTCAGCTCCGGGAGCTGAACAGAGGGGGGCCCCGAAACCCCCGCATCATGCAGCTTGCATCGGCGGCAGTCGCTCGCATCAGAAACCACACGCACAGCCGGGCTGCGGAACTCGGAACCCAGCTCCGTTCGAGCTCCGGTTCGACATGCTTGGAATCGAGGCGTTTGGAATCTTCGTTTTCGGCCCGTTTTTCTCAAGGCTTGAGCTCCGGTGGCAGTTGGAAGCCCACAGTGGAGCGCCCCTTACGGCACTGAAGCCACACATGTGAGGGATGCAAAGTCTACTTGATGGAACATGCAGTATGCCCCCAAATCATCAAAAACCAACTGCCATGTCGGCTAAACATGGATAAACACAGAGAGCCCAAGTCCCACGCTCGTCCTCGATTTTCGCACAAGTCCTCCCCAATCTGACCTGGCGCCAAGAGACCTGGAGCCCTAGTGCGTCTTCCTCAGCTTCAGGTCATCAATTGCTGCTATGTGGATGCTTGGAGTCAAATCGCCACCACCGCCGCAGAGACTCGGCTTACGAAGCCGAATGGAAAACGCGTGGAACCGGCTTTGATGTTCGGTTTTGGGGTTCCAAGAGGAAGGGAACAACACGGTGTTGGCTGTGTATTTAAATAGGGAGACCTCCCAGGCAACGACACCCTGGAAGAAGGACAAGTCGACCAGTCTATCCATTGGTTGGGTGTCTACGGTGTCTCCCGGACAAATACACCCACCGTCCGAGCACACCCCTTTTGTGTGTTTGCGGATCGAAGAAAGGAAGATGCCTTTCTTTCTTTCTGTCTGTCTTTCTTTCTCTTTCCGCATGCCGTTGAACTCCGCCTTTTCCGCTTCGCCCCGCTCGATGCCCGGAGGACATGACGATCTGCTTCTGGGATTCGCATCTCCAGCTGCGAAACCGCTTAGCTGCCAAGGTGGGCGGGGGCTGAAGCCAAACTCTTGGGGACAGCCGAACTGGGTTTCTGGATTTCGCACACACCACTGGACCTGACCTAAAGGTCTATCCTTCAGAAATAGCATATGCAGCGAATCCAGCAAGCAGCCACTTCTTCAAGAACTCAATCCACTTGATCTCATCCACGGTTTCTCCCGTCGACGGTATACCGGTCTCTGACTCAGCCACGCATGGAGTGGCACGCAAAACTCATGCCCCCGTTGGTGGCTCGTCGGTGGCACGTGGGTTCTCTCGATGCAGTTGTTGCAGACTCGTTTTTCGCTTTAGTTCTTCGTTTTTGTTTTTTCAGGACGTGCAACTTTGTCTGCAGTGGGACAGCCTCTCACGGAGTCTCTTCAGTGGTGCCATTGATGGCACGCTCAGCCGATGGGATCCTTGGCCGGTGTTTTGGGCACTTCTGCCGTGGATTCGTATCGCCACGAGACAATACGATCGCAGACATCGGTATAGAGGAGCAAAAAGACCAGGGTGGGTGGAATCCAGAGGTGACCAGTAAGAAGTTTGCAGAGACATATGGCAGAGATAAATGGAAGACACAAGACTATCTTGAAGCAGAATCTGATGTATGTCAGCAAGCATTGTATGAAAGAAACATGTCAAAACATCTATATATAGAGTAAAGCACCGACAAGTACAACATGAACACAAAGAAGAATATGCCGTTGGTGCACCCACTGAACTTTCTTCAAATATGCGTGTACTGTACCAATCCACCTTTCATGGCTTTGGACACGATCCGGAACATCCTGCCGCTCTCTGCCGCGGTTTCTCAATCCGGGCCGCGCCAGATGTTTCAAACGCTGAGGATCTAAACAGCATGACCTTGGCGGATTTGAGGAAAGGCAATCACAAGAAGGCGCCGTTCGAGCCGCGCGCAGCTCGCGTCGCGCAGCTCGCGTCGCGCAGCTCGCCTCGCGCCGCGCGCTTTCGCCTCGCGCCGCGCTTCGCCTCGCCGAAACGACTCGAGCGACGCGCATGGGCGGAGAAGGGCTCCCCGAGCGGAAGGAGCGGAAGGGACCGACTGGGGAGGACTCTGCAGGGAGGTTTGGTGCCTGAAATATGTGCTGACCGTGCTGATTTTAAAAAAAACACGCATGTTTGGCTTGGAAGCTGCTAGAGGAATGTGTGGGAAGGTGGTATTTGGTTCTTTACAACACCCGGTGAGCCGCTTCCCTCGGATCGTTTTAAAAGTTGACACGACCCATGATTTCTTTACCAGAGCTTGGGAAGAAGGAGTTAGCCAGCCAGGGGAAGACGACCACAAAGTCAGACCAAGTGGCTTTTCATCTCCTGGAGCAGTCATTGTTCTTCGTATTATATCAACACCCTGAAATCATCATGGAAGTGGAGTTCACCACCTGTTTGGTATTCGGACAATAGTCTTCCTTACGCGGCCATTTTCACTTCCACTGATGCTTGCAGGGAGCGGTTTGAGACAAACACGCGGAACACCGCTGGTGTTCGTCCAGTGAGGCTATCAACGACCTTCTCATGGTGCATGATATCAACTTGTTGGCCTCCGCCTCATCGGAAGCTCAGCAGCAGAAAGCTCACATTTTGGAGAGCTTAGGGGAGCTTAGGGGGTGGAAGGGTTCTAGAAGAAGTGCGGGTTGACAAGAGGTTCTTGGGCTGGGTTGGTTGGACATTCCTGTGCAGACAATCTGCACCCAGCTGCCTGCCATGTATCTGAGTCATTCTAAATCCATTGGCTGCCTGCCTTCTTCATGTATCGTGTTTCTCAGTCTACAGCACGATGCAGGATGCCAGATCATGGTGCAGCCGTTCGCTGCAGCAAGGAGAAATACATCAGTTCATTGATGTAACTGGCCTAACTCCCAATTCGACCCCCACATGTTGGCCGCTTCCCATTCGAAGTCCAGTTCGATGATCTCCTGCATTGAAGTAAAGGAAGTTCGGCATCAGAAAGGGCGGAGCCTTTCTGTCCAGAGTCTATGGGAACCTTCAGGGTGTTGGGTCAAAAAGCCAGGGTGTTGGTCAACTCCCTTGTCAATGGCTTGAGGCTTTAGAAGGTTTTACATGCTCCATAGGGGAGCTTTTGTATGAGTCATCCAACATGAGTGGTTTGGGGGTTGAAGATCCAAATCACTAAGCCCACTAGGCGACCGAAGAACCGCCGCAATGCGACCTTGCGACCGAAGATCCGCCGCCTAGGATGGTAGCATCCTGATGTCGCTCAGTCAAAGCATGGACGGATGTCGCTCCGTGTGAGATAGCCGGCTTTCACATCCTCCAGCGTCCGACTGTTACTAGAAGGAATTAGCCTCCAAGCGAATAGCCACACAAGCTTCAATTGCCAGGAGATTGGAAGGTCAAAGGCAATTCAAAGCTATATACAGAGATAAACAGCAGGTCAGCTTGAGGAGTTATAGACCACATGCCATGTTCCAGAGGAAATATGGGTCTCTAGCAGAGATGTCGTCTTGAATATTTCTTTCAGTAATGTGGAAAAGGCTGCAGTAGTGAAAGGGAAAGATGTGCTTCCTTCACACTGGTTCCCAAGCCTGATTATGCCCTGGAAGAGACCCACATGGTTTGTGGAGGAAGCTAGTCTTCCAAAGGTCCAGGCCATCGGGTTCCATGTTAATCCTCCCAGGTGTAGGTGCTTGCTTTCACTGAGGTTTTTTTCCCCAAACAGGTTACTGTTAGGGATTCTCTTTGCCTTTCTAAGAGTGTCCGCCTTGTGTTCCTTCTTGTCTCCCATGTCTCCCAACTTGGGAATGCTTCTTTGTTGTCCCACCTGTTTGGGGTCTAGTTCTTTGTCTCCAAGGTGGCGGGGTAATCCTTTGGGAGGTGGTGCCAATCCGGCGGATCATCCCACCGGAAAGAGCTGTTTCCACTGTCCAGGATGGGGTTTGGCCTAGGGGTTTCCGGATTGGGACCCAGTCACATGGCTTGCTCCATTTTTTCACGTGAGAGGGGGGGAGGCGCTCACCCCCCAAATCAGCGCGGTCTTGGCCGCGCGTGTGACGGGGTTCAGAGGTCAAACGGAGTCACACGTCACATGTGCCGCCCGAGTCACCTCACATCCACAGTTCCGACGGAATGGGACGAACCAAACCATGTGAGGCACTTGTTCCTAGTAGCCTTCTTGTTACTACTAGTAAGGCACTTGTTACTAGTAGCGTGGCACTTGTTACTACTTAAAGATGAACTCCCTCTGGATCCACAGACCGAACCTCGGCTCCGGTGTCGACCACTCTTTTCCGTCCGTGTGGCCCCGAGGGCCGGGCCTCAAAGCGCGATGGCTCGGTGCAGGTGGGACACTGCCACGTTGAAGCCCAAGAAGACCTTCAAAGGCCACAAGAAGGCGGCGCGGCAGGTGCCGCTTTTCTTCGCCACGGCTCTTCAGGGCCGGAGATGGACTTGCCATCACCACCCAGGTGAAGACGGAGGCTGGATGAATCCCATTAAACCAATGACAGGTATATATATATATATGGTTAAGTTAATTATGTATACTGGTTGAAAGAGCATCACTATAATTGTGAGATGTCGGCCTTGCAGGTTGCAGGCCCCATCATCCACGGGTCTCTTTTCGGTTTTTGCATGTTTTAAACACTTTTGGTCTGGTCCCTTAAGACGACTGTTTTCAACATGGTTAGGGTCTGTCCTATTACCTGTAACAGTCACTAAACAATTATCATCATGTTTGAACTGTCGGCCTGCAACCAGGCCCCATCACCATCCACTGGGCCCAGGTAATAGGACCACAACATGGTCCCTTAAAATGCCCATGTTTGTACCCGAAGAATCCTTCAACCTTCCAGGGTCGGACCTTGTCCGACCTTTCGCAGGGGTATACGACCTGGTTCCTATACCCTATGTATTGCTGAAGGGGCCCGGATTCTTACGGAAGAGTCTATATTGCTAGGAGGCCATCGCTATTAGGTGGAGGCCATCGATCGCTATTTAGGAACAAGGGCATCGCCACGTTCGTAGCAAGGACGCTACGTTCGGGGCTCTCTAGGGATTAAGAAGCTACGATCGGAAGAAGCTACGTTCGGTTGGAGGCCAGTTCTCTAAAGTAGAGGCCTAGTCTACTTGGAGGCCTAGTCTACTTTAAAGTAGAAGCCAGTTCTCTAGAGTAGAGGCCAGTTCTCTTAAGCCAGCGACAGTAGGTTGGAGGCCATGTCCATCGTCCTACATCGCTCAGGGCACCTTCTCCTTGGCCTATTCCATGGCTCGGCAACCCAGCCGGACGACCGGACGAGAAGCCTAGCCCGTTGTCCCCAGCACGAAGAGCTCTACTTGGTTGTCCCTAAACAAGCAGAAATTCGTGGATGTGTCCACCCAAAGAAGGGGCTGTGTAAAGGATCTCAAGCAAATTATCGGAACATCCGATATTGCTAGGGGTCTTCAGCCAACTCATGCCCCAGCTGTTTTTTTTACTTGTTTCGTGGGTTTGGCAGGTTCCGAAGCGACAGGTGGCGGGGACGACCACGAGGTCTAGTCACCGAAAACGAGGTCACGACGGGTTCCGGTGGAAAGAACTCAGTTCAACGGTGACAGTGTCTCCCAACTTCCGGTCGACCGGTCTCTCTCTTCCTTCCGGGTGGGTGGAACACCTGGGAGGGTGCCACCGACACGGAAAAACGCCTGATGAACTCATCGGTTGCTCTCCGAACGCAAATCCTGCGTGACACGAACCGACGGAAAGACCCCATTTGCACCCACCCGCGGGAAGACGCCGCTCGGACCGACGGACGAGCGGACCGGGGCCGGTGGCTTTCGTGGAGGGCCGTGGTCACCTCCGTAAGCCATCATCTGGAAGACCGCGACCAAGCCCGGACCAAGCCCGGACCATCCCCCCCTCACCTCTTCACCTCTTCACCTCTTCTGGAGCCCCTCTTTCAACGCGAGTCATAGCCAGATCCGATTCTCTTTGATCACCTCTTTCTTCCGCACCTCGAACTCACCTCTTTCCTCGCATTCTTCCTCCCTCCTTCCCCGCTTCCGTCGTCGCACGGTCCTTTTGCAGTCGAGTTGTTGGACCGAGGATTACCACTGCCTGCTGACCGCGGGATTGGATCAAGAAGCCTTGGCGCTGGCGCTCAGTCGCTGCCGTGTCGGGACCGGGTCGGGACCGGGTCGGGACCGGGACCAGGGTTGGGCAGGTAGGAGCCTGTGAGGAACGTCAAGGGGTGATTGATTGGGAGTGTTGTCATGGAATATACAGGAAGTCGACATGGAGGATGAGTCGATGCGTAGATGATGAGCAGATGATGAGTAGATGGAGCAGATGAGAGGAGATGAGACGATTTTGAGGGGACAGTGGATGAACTCGTCATCAGTTTCTAACTTTCAAGGGCAAGTCGCCGGTGCAGAGGGCTCACGAGTCGAGAGGTACGAAATCCGTGCTCTGTACGATGACCATTTTCCTTGACGATACCTTCAACATGACAGAAAGACAACCTCGGTGGACCTAGAACATGATTGACCTGGTTTTGTAGGCTCAAAACCTTAGTAAACAAATGCTTGTTCGCGATTGATTGGAACCCTCAAATCAATGGTGGGCCAGAAATACTAGGGCAACAGCACTCCGTTACACCCAGGAAGTCCAAAACAAAAAAGCATTTGAATGACCCAAGTTCAGGAATTTCCTTGGCCCCTTGGTGCCCAAAGGTTGTACTGGGGGTCTTCCTATTCGAAAAGCACCATGGACCGTTTTTTTTCTTGTAATTTATTAAGAGTTGGTGTCCGAAGGCTGGATGTGTCCGTGATGCTTTTGTTTAAACCCAATACCATTGGTTCGATATCGTTTCAGACATAAGAGGTTTCGGCTAGTTGGAGTAACACAGTGCTTAAGCTTGGTTGAAGAATGCTTATGAGCTTCTAGCATGCAAGTGGATCCCTTCACTAGGGGCTGGTCAGTCTTGAAACGATATGCCTAACTCGTGAACCTGTGCCAACCCTCTTCATTTGTGCCAATGCGTGCTGGGCGAACCTTTCCACTGGTTTGAACCACCTCCGGTTTGCGACACTCACAGTGTGAACTGCTGCTTGTTTGATGGCTCAAAGGAACAGTCATCGCACGATCTCTTTCTCCCTTTTGCAGAGCTTGACAACCCAAAAGCGCCTTGGGCAACCGAATCAGTGGCCGGACAGGGCTCCGAGTGGAAAGACCGCCCTGTCCGTTCATCGATCGTGATTGGCTTTGGCTTGAGCTGCATGCTCGTTTTGTGATGGGCTTCGGCTGGGCTAGGGCAAAGCCAGTGATGCGAGGCATCAGAACGTTTGACCAATGCTACGTTGAGGGATGCTACGTTGGGGGCGGCTAAACACTTGCTGATTTCACATGCCCATCCGCTGACTTGTGGCACTGGCCCTGGTTTTGGTGGCAACATCCCATTTGCTGAGGGCTTAAGCACCGGCCTGGGTGCTTCGGTTTTGTTTTCTCCAGTGGACTCCAGCATGTTTTCAGAGTGGATCCTCTCAAACCTCTGGGTTGGACGGCCCACTCCGGTGGCCCCACTGCACCGGGTGGCCCCAGTTCACCGAACGCGAAGCCTCGCTGGGCCAAGTCGGTGTGGGAGGGACCCGAAGAGAACGGCGAGAGCGGGCGAATGGGTCCAGAGGGTCGTCCCTGAAAGGGTTTGAAATGATTTGAAGACATGCGGCCCAGTTTTCAGCGAGGTGGTTGCCCAAAGACGATGACTGTGAAGGCGCTGATGCCCGACACTTGGTTGCCCAAAGTCTTTCGACTGGCGCGTTGGTTGGGGAGAGGGTCGACAGGGAAGCACTGTTCCTGCCTGGTGCTGTTGGGCTCGGAGAGAGGTTCAACCTCTTCGCATGATATATACCCAGACGCTGTACGCCATATATGACGATCAGTTGGGGTGGTTTGGGGAGTCAACTGATCGGCATATATTCCATACATGGAGTCTATATTATAGTCATAGAATGTCATAGATGAGTCATAGAGTTGTGTTTGGAACCCGTTCGCCTAACCCGTTGGACCGTTTACAAGATGGTCAAGAGGAGGTTTGTAGCCTCAAATCCACAGCAAAAACAATGATTGTTTGGTATGCGGACAACTAAATCAGACTGGCAGGGTAACGCAGGGGAGCAGCGGTTTCGCTTCTCCAGCACCTATGTTGGTTCCAGTTCAGTCAAGAAGCTGGTCGAAACCACCCAGTGGAAGTCGAGGAGTTCCCTGTAGATGAAGATGACGGGTGACAAGAGACTCTGGCGACGGTCAATTTTCCCTAGACGTCCAGTTCGATGATCTTTGTTTCAGGAAGTTCCTAAAATAGGATCACCAATCATCGACCATTTTCGTTTGGTCGACTGGACTGACTGAGGGTATTGATGATCAAACTGGATGGTCTGGCTGGTGCGACTCGTAGAGAATGAGGGAATGAGCCCCCTGTCTAGAGATTCCTTTGGATCCATTCCCTCATTCCCGAGTCGCACCAGTCAGATGTTGGATGTCTTCCACATCTCCCCAATGATTGCTGCGTCCACATCCTTCCCCAGCAGCCTTTCCCCATCCGATTCTCCGGAGACAAAGGAGCTGAACGACCGACCCGTCTTCCATCTTCCGTCGGGTTCCGCCCGTTCCTGCCGTGGAGGGCGGGAACTGTCTGAAAGACAGGACCCATTCGCAGAAGTTTGCATTGCATGCACCACGAACGAAGCCACCGCCCACCTTCTTCTCACAGCCGGCTGTGAGACTTCCCACGAACACCACCTCAGAACCGCTCAACGGCTCTCAACCAAAACGGCGGAGGCCGGGGAGCAGTTGGCCTCTCTTTGGCAGAAAGGCCCCTCTCCTCTCCATCCATCCCCACCTTCCCATTCGTTCCCCATCTCTCAGGAGGCGAGGGAGGTGCACATCGATGGCGTGCAGGTCGCCGCATGGGGTCTTCCCCGCCCATGGTCTTCGCCTTCAAAGACCTTGGAATGAATGGTCAGATTCAGATGTTCGGGAAAGGAAGGAACGTCTTCTGTTGTGTAGTCCTAACATCCTTCGTCAAAACGACCTTCAACAAGCCTTTCAATCTGCTATGATTCTCAGACTTCCCTATAGTTGGAGCGATGGAGTAAGACCTCATGGATACTGGCTTTCATCAGACCAGATGTCGTACCCAGGTCTTCCCGACCAGCTGAGGTCTCACCGGTAGGGACCGGTAGGGTCTGACCGTGAAGAGGTTGTGACACCCCCGTGAGGAGGTCGTGGGTGAGGGTGTAGGCAAAACCACCACGGATGGCCGCGGATGGCCTGTCCAACTGAGATGGCTTGCACATGGCCCTTCATCCTGAAGGAAAAAAGCAGGGGGAAAAAGTACTTCGCATCTCACCTTTCACCAGTTCCTCAGGTGTCTTTCCTTTGTTTCGTTTTAAGGGTTTCAGGTTTCTCCAGTCGTGGCTTCGCCCCACTACCCCGCGGGCGAGCGATGCGCGCGCTTCTGCAGACCACCCTGCCGTTGCCGCCGGATTTTCTGCAGCGGCAAAATAGCCCTCTCTCTGTCGGGGGCCTGAGTGAGAGGAGTGCCGGGTATGTGGAATGAGAAGCTTCTAGTTACGTTCGTAGCGATGCCCTTGTTACGTTCGTTTGCTTCTTGTTCCGTTCGTAGCAATGCCAGGAGCTAAGCTACGTGTTCGTAGCTTCTTGTTCGTAGGAAGCACAGACGTGTGGGGAGGTGAGTGTTGGAAGGCCATGAGTTGGAAGGCCAGGAGGAAGAGGAAGAAGACGAGGAAGATGAAGAAAAAGAACAAGAAGAACCTAAGAAGCCATTCTCGCATGTTTGGATGATTTTGGATGCCATTCTCGCAAGTCTCAAGTCTGTGACCAAGTCTCAAGTCAGCTTCGGGCTCACAACAACATATGTTGTGTGAACCGGGTCACCGAGCTGCGCCAGGATGAAGAGCTTGATGTTGGATCGTTGTCCCACATCCATGGGCCATGGACATCCAACCTACTACTAGCAGCTTCTTGTTACTAGCAGTAATGGCCTCCAACCCACCAGCGATCGCCTCCAACCTAGCAACCCATATTTTTCTAGCTTATGGGCATCCTTGGGCATTGAGAGATGACATCCTCTCTTTTGATGTCCCAACCACCAGCCCTGATCCGCTCCTCCTTTTTCCGCCCCTGTCTCATCTCCCCTCCCCATGTCTCTCCGTCTGCCGTCCAAGGAACTCTCACGCGTGCGCAGCCCAGCGGCCTCGGTGGCGTCCAAGACGACCAAGGTCGAGGTCACCTGCACCGGAGAAAAGGCGGCGCCTTGGAGGTCTCAGGCGAAGCGCCGACCGGCGGTCGCCACGTCGTGTGGAACGGAATAGGGGGCTGGGGTGAAATAGGGCTGAAATAGGGGCCCGGGTGGCTCCGGTGGGGAGGGAGGCGTCGCTTGGGGTGTGGACTGCTGAAATAGGCCGGGTCGATGGATGAAAGAAAGGCGCCTGAAAGGGCCTTTGGGTGCCTTTGGGGTGGGAGGGACGTACGAGAAGAGGCACAGACGACGTGGGGTGGTCGGTCTAACCATCTCTCAAGAGTTATCTCCACAGACCAGTTCTTCGGTCAGGGGCGGTCATGGCGGTGGCGGTCGGGAGGTCGCTCTCAGGTGAGGGCTTGGTGAACGAATGAGGGCTTGGAATTCCTGGGATGGAGGAATTTCCATCAAGGACACCAACTCCCAATAGAGTCCCTCAAGAAGACTCCCAATGGGTTTCTTGGGCTCGCGTCTCTTCGGCTGCCAGTGCTGCTCGTCTTCGCCCCAAGTGACCCATTGGACTGGAAACTTGGACCTGGTCCTTGCAGGTTTCAAAAGACACCTGCATGTAACACCATGATTGTTACACCTGCATGTAAGGTCCCTTAAGTTGTAACACCATGATTCTTCGGGATCATCACATCAATCGTGCCAGGAACCCAGAAGAGACGGTCCAACGGCGCTTCTTTTTGGGACCGACGGTGTCCCACCGTCTCGACGGTGTCCCACCGTCGACCGTCGATCCGGGCCGAGTCGACTGAGAACAAGCGCCCAGGTGAAGGGCGCCGTAACGTCTACCAGGCGGTTGATGAAGATCGCTGGTCTGGGGCTCTTCCTGGTGATTTTCGCTTTCGCCACTTGGAGTGGGTCCCCTTGGGGTTGGCGTTTTTGAAGGTTGATGGGACGTCCTTTTTGGCAGAATAGCCGAAGAAAGGCTCTGAACGCGGCATTTGGATGTATTTGGAAGCCGTTTCTCTATCTATTTGGGGACCTGATCTTCCCTGATCGAAAATGATGAACATGTTTCCCTTTTGGACAGTCCATCCATCAGCAGTTCCAGGTGGGCCTGACATGGAGGCAAAAAGAAGGGCCGGTGTCCCTGTCACATCACGTATGGCTGGTTCAGTTTTTCCCTGATGTCAGGATGCGCCCCTGGCGGTTTGACGAATCCAGCGGCTTTTCATGGTTTCGTTGCAAGTCTTTGTGGTCCACTGGGGTAATTGCAGAGAGAGAGAGAGAGAGAGAAAAGCACTTCAGTGCAGAAAACACAATGTGTCTGAAGCCACAAAGGGCACGCGCTGGAAGGCATCAGCTCATCGGAAGCCCGTGCCTACAAAAGAAACACCTTTAAAAGAAGCCGTGCCAAGAAATCTGTTGAGGTCTAGAGAGTCTAGAGTCTGGTCCAAAAGGATCGAGACAAAGGATTGCTACGCATGCTGACAGCATCCATGTTTGGTTCTACCCCGCTTGACCATGTGCGTGTCTGTGTTTGGTTTCGTCGCCGTTTCACGATCCGTCCTTTGGGAGGGTGGAACGGAACACCGGCCGTCCGCGCAACGTCCCGAAGAACCAGGAAAACGCGCCCAGGCCTTCTTCGGATGGCCCAGCAACGTGATCGAAAACGACGACACCCACCGGAGCGACCGGAGACGGGGCACCGTAGGAACGACCTGGAACGACCCGTCTGACGTTTCGGGTGAAAGCGATGGGTGTTGGCTTTCATGGCCTCCAACCTGTTCCGCGGCGGAAAGGGTGTTCACCTCGGGAAAACCACTGGAGCGCCAGCATGGCCTCCAACGTAGCCATCGTTCCGAACGTCCGAACGACGGACGTCGTCGGTGGGACGAGAACGAAGAAGAAGCCTCACCCGGAGGACGACGAACACGACCATATATTCAACGAATATAGGTGGGTCATCCCGAAGCAACTGAGGATTTTACACGACAAAAAACCGTTCAACCATTTTTTAGCCTTGGAAGTCTAGGGCTCAGACTCACCCTCCAGCTGGGCGAACCGGGTTGAACTCACCGACCTTTGGAAGGTCATGGCTGAAGGTCCGACGTCGTGTCGTGTGTTGGGTCCGACCCTTTGGAGGAAACAAACTTGTTCTAAGCTATTTGAATCACTTTTCAGATCACGGGGGGGGGGGCCTGGTAGGTCTCTCATCCTGGGTTCATTCCCACCCACCCAGCTGTCAAGGATCTCCAAAGCATATTGCTTGGGTCTGTCCACCTGTAACAGTCAGTGAACAACTGGTAGGAAGAAGCAGAACCCAGACACGACTTGTCTGTGACTGCCGGACTGCCGCACCAGACAGACCACCCCTGGCCGCTTCTCGGCAGTCCGGACTGGCAGTCCCAGACAGGTCGTGTCTGGGGAAATGGTTTATGGTTGGGGACTGGGGAACCCCAGGATGGTCAATCCAACTCCTGGGACGAGTCGCTGTGGGGAACAGCGACTCGTCCGACGGGACGTGTGTGTTCTCTCACGTGGCTTCACCCGAAACCCACCGTTGTCGGTGGCGGATTTGGCCCCCCGACCTCCTCCTCTCCGGCTCGGAGCTCGGAGAGGCCATTCGTGGCGGTTCGGGCAGGAAGATCTTGGCGGCGCTCTTTCTCACGGGGATCACTTTAGTGGCCCTGGAGGATGTCATCAACCTGGACAAGTCTGCCATCATGCTGGTCGCTCGGGGTGCAAGTCGTTGCCCTGCCGGCAGTTGAACGGTGGAAGCGGTGGATTTTGGTGGAGGAAGAGGCCTTGGTGGATGGAGGTGAGCTAGAATAGGAGTTGACGCTGTTGAGGCATTTCATTTGGGCTCCACGTGTGGACAGGATAGAACATAGAACAACACATTGCTGAGACGGACTTCCTTTGGTGGTCGCTTTTTTGTAAGTCGAGGGCTTTAGAGTGCCATTTACAGCCACTCAGCCTGGCCTTTCCATGTGCAGTGGCGTGCACGTGCCTGCGTTCTTTGCGCATGCGCACAGGGAGTGCTTTGACCCAGGTATTGGCATCAGTCATGTGGACCTATCATGCTCCTTGGCATGCAGAGCAGACCAGCTGTTGAGCACGCCCAGAGATATTGATGACGTTTTTATTATTACTATTTTTTAACAAAGCCTTTTTCAAAACTGTTTGAACGTGTCTCTTTGGGACATCCCTGCCTAACTCTTAAACCAGTGAAGCTCAGAAGGGACGAACCGAACCATCCAGATCACTCTCAAAACGTTTCGTTTTCCGCCGCTGAACGAACGACCGGAGTCGTCACCAGGCCGCCGGCTTCCACCCGACGCACTCCCACGAGGACGGACTGAAGAGTCGGTGAAACGGGGGAAGTGCTTCGTCTTGTTCGAAGTCACACGCGCGAAGTTCGGATGGAATAAGCCATGGTTTTTGAAGTAGGACCATGGTTTTTGAAGTGGTTTCTTTCGATGATCGTTCATGTCCTTTTCACCTAAATCGTCCATTCCGTCCTGGTTTGATCGAAGGGGTCTCTCGAAATCGGTGAAGCGGGCAGGTTCACGGGTCTGATGGGGCGCAGACATATTCTCCAACATGTCCCCAGCAGTGCCAAAAGCATCTTTCTGCCTATTTTCTCATTGATTCTTGCCCAGCCTTGATGGTCAAGGTGGGCGATAAATGCTTGCACTGTTGGAAGATCTAGGTATTGACATGGACCTTGAACATCGGCGGAAGACCATTTTCCTCTACAACCCAGTGGTTTGGAGAGTCCGTATTAATCTACAGAGTCTTATCTTTTGTATTCCGACGCCTTCTTGAGACGCCTGACATGACGTGGAACTGCCGTCGAAGCGATGAACCTTTTGTTCCAGAGTGACCTGTCATTCGATGGAAGGTAGGAGACCTTTTGGGCCGTGGTGAGCTGCGTGGACATCTAGGCAATACATGGGAATACCACACAACAAGGACTTGTAATCAAGACTTGTAATCACAACTAGGACTTGTAATACATGGGAATACCACACACCAAGCCACACACCAAGCCAGTCCTTCAAGAGGTTTTTGCCGGACTTCTCATCTCGTGAGGTCGGTCGCATGATGTGTCACGTCGAGACTGGATGTGAATGATGCCCATCACGTCGAGTCGCAGTCGGCCCGTCCAAAGGTCCCTTCTGCTTCAGGCAAGTTCACCAAAAAGCCCATGTAAGACATGAAGATCATCAATTCAGCAGAAGTGCTGGTCTAAAGCAGAAGTGCTGGTCTTCCAATTCTTATAGATTTGCATTCGACTTCTGGTCCTCCCCCAGCTGTCCTCTCGTTCTGATGTCTTTCCTTGCGAAGCTGATGCCGCCCATCTCCATGCTTCGGCCACCCCCCGTGAACCCTCCGCCGCTCAGGGCCATGACGAGTTGCAGCAGCAGCTCGCGAGCCTTGGTGACCAACGTGGGGGACCTGGAAGGTTTGGAGGGAGCGTCGTGCTGGTTTCACGATTGGCCCAAATTCAACCCGAATAGGTAGCGGTTAGTGTCTGACCCCTGATGGCCCCAGAAAGAAGAAGGGAAGGAAGAAAGAAAGGGAAGGAAGGAAGAAAGAAAGAAAGAAAGAAAGAAGGACAGTCTCTGACTGATTTCATTCGTCGAACTCAGTGGTGAACTTGGTGGATTTCTCTCAACAGGAGAAACAACACACAATCTTTTGATTTCATTTGTTCACCCCTTCTCAACGAACCGTCCGTTTTGCAAGACAAAACCATCTGAGGCCTTCGAAAAAACACAAAACACAAAGAGAAAGGCTACGTCTACAACCACCACAGTTGATGTTAATCCTGGGAGCTGTCGTGTGGACGTCATGGTGCTCAGTAGGCTTTCTGCGGTTGTTCGTTGCTGCGGAAGCGACCTGGGGCATCGAGTTCTTAGACTGCGGGTGGTCTTAAGGAAAAAGCGGCATCGAAGCAAGGATCTTGTTTCATGAGAGAAGATATTCCATAATGATTTGTTGTATAGCAATCATTTGAATCAATCACCATGACTCTCCTTTGAATTTTCAATTTCCTTTTTTGCCGGCTAGTGACCACAGCTTGTTGTGAGTCCCAGTTCAAATGTCTTGCAAAAGAATTGGGGAGCTCTTAGTCTTAAGAGATACTGCAGTATGAGATCTGTGGCTCATCTGACTGCCTTTGCAGCCGTCAGAGATTCGATGCTTCATCCTCAACAAACAACAATTGGTTGCGAACCTTTTAGACATCTATAAAACCTATTGCCAGGTCATGCCAGGTCATGCCAGGTTCTATTGCCTATCTCTGGCCGAAGCGGCATCACCTTCATGTCTGACGCCCCGAGCCGGTGTGCCACCGTCCCACCGTTGGGGTGGATTTCGAAGACACCCAGGAAAGGCTTGGCGGATGTGGGCAGCGTGATTCTCTTCCTGCTGCCAGCCATGGGCATCGTGGAATCCATCGAGCTTTTTCTGCGAAAAGAGTTTTTTGGAAGGTGAAACGCAAGGGGAGACGGGAGGCTTTATACGGATCAGAGGATTTAGAGGGTGGCAAAATTGAGGACACTGGAACATTCACAGGTCAGCTGTGAACATGTATCCTGGACGCTTTACACAGCACTAGCGAACTCTGGTGGGACTCCTGCGTAGTTGGGGATGAGGGGTACACTTACAGAGGTCGCCCCTCCAGGCTGGAGAGCCCTAGAGGTTACTTACCGAGGTAAGCGACACGACGACCCTTCCTCGCTAGAAGCCGCTCTCAACCATCGGTCGAAGTCATTTTTGACCCGACTAAGCACCTCCCACATCTTCAAGTGTGTCATACAGAACTCCCACATCTTCAAAAGTGTGTGTGGTTTTGCTCAACACCTTTTCAAGTTCTGTCGGAGGACTGGCAGGTAGTTAGACCTAAAGGAACCCAGCTTTTGCTTCCAGGTGCCACGTGTCCAGGGCGGTGTTCGTGTTCCTCCGTGGACCGGCCCGTGTTCGCGCCGACCCCTGTGTTCGTTTTGGGAGTTTTCCTTTACGGAGCCATTTTCCCGGCAAAGCATCCGAGTGTGGCTCCCCCCATGCTGTACCTCTGAGAAACACATCGCATGGAAGTGGATGGCATGGTCACGGCATGGTCTGCTGGAAGACTACTTCCCTCTTGAAACAGGGGGCGCCATTCACTTCCATACCACTTCAGGCTCTGTGTAGCTTGACATGCCCAGACGTGGTCGAAGGACCATCGGCGTGGGTCTCCCTGGGCTCCAGTGGTTCCGTTCGGAGCACGTGCTTTCAAGCGGAGCCAACCAAGGACCATTTGGACGGCTTTTCGGTGGTGACCGCCTTCATCGTACGTCACACCAAAGACAAGGTGCTAGTGCTAGTCTGACTCCTCGGGACCCGCGCGCAAGCCGCTCACCGTTTTCGGGGTCTTCCAGGATTTGTTGTGACGTCTAAGACGCCAAACCAGCCTGGAGCATCCGTCCCTTCCGGGTGTCCTGGATATAGAGAAGCCGGATTAGCAGCGTAGGACTTGGCTGTGTAGGGTCCGTGTCTAGTGCTCCAGGCATGTCCAGGCTGCAACGCTCCGGATTCGCCTCGTCAGGCTCCGGGTCGCTATAGGGTCGCTGCACGGACACGCCGCTTCCAACGGTTCGTGTCTTGACTTCATGGTTGACGATGTTCTGTAGGTGTGGGTTGGTTTCCAGTCTAGCTGTGATGAAGTGAGGCGTTTTGGTTTCTTTTTCCCTGTGTTTCCAAATTATTGATCACAATTACAGTCCACCAGTTGTTGGATAGGGGATCCCACTTCCTACCGGTACAAGACCGAAAACTGAGACCCTGAGGTAAGTCCTGGTCACCTGGGTCCGATGGTTTTCCTCGTTCGCTGCACCAGTGGTTTTCAGGGGGCGGTCGCCTTTGGACCTAACTCTGGGGGTCGAGGAAGGCAGTTCCATGCTCCAGTGTTCGACGCATGTTCGACTGGACGGATGAAGCAGTTCCATGGAAGTCGGGTGCTTCATGGAGGAAGTCGGGTTGCTCTGTCACATCTTACCTTACCTTAGGGGTAGAACTGAGACATGGAGCAAGAAGGATGGATGCCATCTTCTCCAGGCAGATCGATTGATGCCATTGATTTGCTTTCTCGCCTTCTTTTTGAGCCCCTCGGCTGCTTGGACGTCGCCTCGGGACGACCATGCCCTGGCGGTCGGGTGTTTGGCCAACGCATGCGAAGGACGGTCTCAGTCATGTCACACAAGGCTTTCTGCCTGGGTTTGAGATGAAAGAGGTGGCTTTTCGCACTGATGGGGTTGCAAAGTGGATTTGGGGGGTCAAAGAGTTCCATCGATTTTAGAGGTATTTCTCTTTCACCACAAGGCTCATCTCCAAACCCCCTCCCCACATGAGGCGCTCAACAAATTCAATGATTGAGAGGCCTCCAGGGAGTCCCTTTCTGTTTCTTTCAGTCTCCGTTGGAGCTCCCCGAAGCAGGGTGTCTCATGTGGAAAAGCTTCTCCGTGCCTTCGCTCGGGGTCGAGCGAGGTGTCTCTCTCTGGCACATGTTGCAAAAATTGTGCGTGGAAAGCAGGTGCGGTGATCGACAACCTCACGGCCACCATCGTGTGCGTGAAGATCCTGAAGAGGGTGGTCCCGCACAAACAGGAGCACCGAAGCTATCGAAACCATCTCGAAGCCATCGAAGTCGTGGTGGCAGACCTGCGTTCTTCGGACGACGTGGTTCGGTGGCATGAAGGGGTGCCCGGTTTCCGGATGGCTGGCCGCCAGGCCTCCTGCCCGGAAAGGCGTTTCCTTCTTCAGTGCGGGTTGGGGTTGTTGGGTCGACAAAGGCCGGACCAAGACCTTACGAAACAGATGCGACAAAACAACACCGTCTTTGGAATGCATATATATATATATATATACACCCTGGGAGTCAAAGTGGTCTTTAGGTGACCCGAAAAAGAATATTCTTTATTTCAGTGGGGCAAAATATAGTCGAACTGGACTTCTAGGGTACATACTTTATATTTTTGTGTTTTTAACACGACAAAGCAAACAAGCTGGTCACACCAGGAGTCACTACCTCGGGTTGCCGAACTTGGAGGTAGGATAGGGGATCAGCCCTGTCACATCACATCCACGAGCTCGCCCTGGATGGGGCGAGCCAAAGCACTTGGAGCTCTGTGAGTCCTTTTCAGAGTTGTATAGTATCTCCATCGCGGGCAACTTTCCCATATTCCCTACTAAGCACAGGAACTTCAACAAGTTGGTCAGAGTGAGATCTTCTGTGACAGGGGCACCAAGTCGCCCTCCAAGTCGCCCTCCAGGACTGGCGTCACTCCTGCGGCGGCCTCACAGTGGTGGCGGCCAACGCGGGAGGTGCGAGCGGAGTGGGCGGGAGAAGCGAGGGAGGCTGGGGAGAGGTGTGGGTTTCGGTTGGGGGACATAGGTATGATAACAATGAAACTGATAGATTTTCTATGATGAAATATAAAATATGACATACCAGTAGTTCAGAAGGGTTGACTAGTGTAGGATAGGGTGCCCATGATCCACTCAGTAAGTGACTAAAAACCACTCTTTTGTGACTCCTCTTATAACAATACATGTCCTCAGACTCACATGTTGGGATTCTATTTCTTGTGGCATGAATCCCTACTGTCCTTTGAGGTCGTTTTCTGTTAACAGTCTCTTGTAAAGGAGACCGAACTTGAGTTTGGAAGCTGTGCACTTGACACACCTTTTCTGGCGAAGTCCTGAGGGCTGGGTACAGAGGCGCCCGCATAGACAGATGGTCACTCACCAAGGAGGTGGTTTATTTGGGTATGCTTTGTGAGATTCTATGCACCCCAGGAGAACAAACTACAATAAAGCGAAACAAATGACCACGGGTGGTAAAAATGAGGGGGGCTTCGATTTAAGCTTCGTTGAACCTTCCCCTGATTTTGGACAACAATTCGGGTGTTTGGCCTTCCAACCTGAGCCCTTTCATTCCACCCTCAATCCGCCGACTCAACCTCGTTCCCTTCAGCGAAGGGATGGAGGCGTGGAGTCTTCATTGCCCGACTCAATCGCGTCTCCAGGCGCCTGGAGCCCGATCGGCGACGTCACCACCACGATGCTTTGGATCAGACACAAGATCTCCACCACAGGCGGATGCGACGGAGGGTTGATGAGGAGAGTTGATGAGTGCTCGTCGCGAAGGACCCTATGGAGAGGTTGAAGGACCCCATGAGAGGTTGGATTTCAGTTGGGTACCCCGGTAATGTCCATCACTGAACCTCTCTTGGTGGGTGCACTCAAGGGAATGGCTCTTTGAAGATCTGGGCGGTGCCTCAAGGTCTGGGTAGTTGGAGAGAATCCAAAGCTGCAGGCTCAGTAGTAACAAGAAGCATCAAGAAGCTATATACTAGGAACATCTAGGAACAAAGCTGCAAAGGGCATTGCTACTACTCTCACAGGTCCAAACAGGTTCGAACACCATGCGCTTGCGGGTTCTTGAAGTGAAGAATTACATCAAAGGGCACCAACCCATCCAGAGGAGCACATAAGGTGGTGCGCATTTTCGAAAGAATGACCTCACATGCCTGCATCATCCAGAAGTTACAAGGTGGTGGTGTGGCTCGTCCCATCCAGCGAGTGGATGTGATGTTCACCCCGACTTCCTCCATTCAGCTCGACCTGGAACCGCCCGACCGGGGACTTCTTCCTGTTCCGCTTGGTTTTGGGCACAGTCTTCAAGGCACACCGACACCCGAGCCCACCTCCGCGAGACACATCCTCCACCTCCGCGACCGCCCCGCCATGTCCCCAATCCCTCGTGCCGCGCCGCGCGACTCCGAGGCACCATCACCTGGCTCTTCTTTCCGTCCTTCGTGGCGGGCGTGCTGCCCCTCTTCGGGATTTGGTGGCAGGCCTGGTGCTGCGGACGAGTCGAGTCGACGGCCAACCCGAAGCGGAAGGGGACCTGTTTTGGGCGTTGGGCTGTGCATCGCTGTGCGCCCCAAAGCGCTAAACAGAGGAACCGTGGGTGGGAGTGTCAGGCACCTGAAGATGGAGAAGACTTGGAGTTGGAGAGCGATGATCATGTAGACTCGTAAGTTTTTCTTAATTCATGAAACTTGCCATCAAGGGACGGAAGAGGTGTTACAAATCCATAGATGTGTGGGGTCTGGGGGGCTTCATTCATCAATCGTCTATACAAGGGTCAAAGAAGGGTGTTGTCGACAGTGACTCAGATCTTCGTGGCAAAATTGACGAAAAAGCCTTGCAGCATCACCCATCGCTACGAAGGCGCGCATTGACAATCTGTTCTCCATACCTGGATCTTCCAGCCCTTCTGTGCAACATGTCTGCCGAACTTCATCTCAAAAGCCAGACATTTTGCATGGCTGGCAGACATGTTGCATCGTTGGAAGATCCAGGTTATCACTCATCACCCGGATCTGCTCCTCATAAATTTTCGCACTACCGCCCCGCTTGCCGCGGGTGTTGCGCGCTTGCTTCGAGGCCAAGCGATGTGCGCCCCGGGACAGTGAGGATGAGAAATACAGGTCACCTGGATGTGGAACATGCGAATGTGTATGGTCTTTGGTGGTGGTGAATACGAGGACAACGGCACCAGATGGGTTTCAACATTCACCAGGGTGGTTTCAAATGGGGAAGAAGACCTCTGGGTTTCAACACTTGGAAGAAAGAAAGACACAGAGACACAGTGTCTTTGGCACGGACTTCTTTCGCAACACCCAGACACTCCAGGTCCATACAAGATCTGCCTCCATTGGGTGGTCCCAAGACCAACGGAGAGGCATCGAGGATATATAGGGACGTTGGAGACGATGAGCCTTCTCCCAAGCATCACCATTCAGCAAGCTATATAGATATAGTATACCAGCACCTGTTGGAAGGTCTCTTCTGGTGGCTGAAATGCAGACTTGAAAGTTGCAGGTGGTGATAAGAGATCAGTCGGGTGCTGGTTTTTTAAGAGATCAGTAGTGATCTCAACAGGCGCGTTCGGAGCTCGGGCTGCGATCCATGGAGCGGAACGAGGTGCCGACGTTTTCGGATCGGGACGAGCCACACGACAACCGTTGGCAAAGCGCTTTGAGTCCTCCATTTCAACATGTCTCATCCCAAGGGGCGCCCCTTTGGGGGCTGTCATCGCAGGCATGAAGACTTGGTGGCGACCTGGGAGAGCAAGGTAGCACTGCTGGTCGGACCCTGGGAGAGCAAGACGTGGGTGACTACTGGTTTGAAAAGATAGGACAAAGGTCATTTAGTGGGTTCAGTATCAAAGTCAAATCACATGCAACTGTCAACACTGATTCACCATCTGCACCCGCGCTGGCACATGGTTTGCCCGGTCTTTGCGAAGTTTTGGCCAAACGTGATTCTCGATGGACCTCCCCTCACAAGATCAGTAACGCCTTACTAGCGGCAGAAGTGAGCCATGGGGAGACACCAGGGGCTACCCTCCAAGTGCCCCGAGACGTGTGGCGACGTGACTCGTTGGGCTGACTCGTTTGGCTACGTCTGAATGTCCACATCCCGGTCCCGGCTGCGGCTCCTGGGTCACAAAGGGTTGTTGATATGGAGCCAAGATGATGTGACTAGCAATTCCCATGCGTCGAGATGGCCACCTTCTTGGTTGTTCCAAAGAACAGGGGAGAATCTCATCAAAAACCTTTGTCTGGCAGGCTTCACACGACCATCCAGACGGAACAAACGGATGTTCTCCACCTGAGGAATGCTGTGCATCTTGACGGTGCCAGTGGTGAAGATGGTCACAGGCCTTCGAGTCATGGAAGATGCACATGGACTAATGGATTGGTGTCATTTGGTGTCGATTTTCCTTCTTCCAGGGGGTCTTTCACTGGGAGGTCTCCCCAGTTGAGCTACGGTGACCAAGGACGGTGACCGAGGTGACCACCAAGTGAACACGCTTCGGCGGCGATTCGGCGATCCTTCATAGGCCCCCTGGAGTCGTCGACGGGTCTTTCGCGGGCTTCGACGGGTGGTGATGGTTTTCCCTCCGTGAACACCCCCACCCTGAGAGCACCGCCGTGAACGAGGACTTCCGCGGCGAATCAGGTCGCTTCTCCCCACCGCTTCTCCCGAACGATGTGCCTGACGGCACCGCCTGACGGCAGGTCTGCCGCCTTACCTGGGAATGATGATGGCCCTTGGCACCTTCTGGCTGGTCACCGAGATCACCGAGCTAGGCGCGATGTTTGTCCGGCGTGTTTTTTTCGTTTGTGGGGACTGGGTGGGAGCTGGTAGGGTGGAACAGAGTGACCCCGAAAGGGGGGTCTCAGCACTCTCTTCGAGCTAAGCTAGCTACCCTAGCTGAACTTGCTGGAAGCATCACATCGAACTCTTAAGTCTAAGTTAACTTGGAGCAAAAGCAAGCATCTTTACAAAGCATTTGGACAACAAACGTACCGTCTCTGAGACATCTCCTGGTGCACCATGCTGGAAGACACCGCCCTACAAGGCCTGAACAGTCCAGTTGGGTCAGACAGAAGACCGGTGAAGCCCCCGGTTGTTTGCCACAAACCACGGGGGTTAAGACCAAGCCCTGAAGGGGGGAGCCACAACCCATCTGGGTTTTGGTGTACAACTTGCGAATCAGATTTCTGTGGAGACAGAGGTTCGACACTTGATGTCAAGTTTCAGATGGCCCTCCAAAACAGCTTGTGGTCACTTGAACATGATGTGAGTCCTGTGGTGGGACACCTCCAAAACAGCTTGCGTTCTGACGAAAATCCCTGGACCTTCCTTTGGTCCAAACAACCTTAAGTACCAATTCCTTGGTTTTACAGATTTCGCTTGAGAAACGCGCACCCTCAGAGGCCCTTCCGTCGATTCCCGGACGCCAGGAAAGGTCCGCAGAGGCGACGAGGAGATGGGCGGCGGCTCGGCACGACGACGGGTCATCCGTGGCGAGACGCGACGCGACGGGTGCACCGTCCGAGAAGAGGGCAGAGTTGTTTTCAGGAAAATTCGACCTTCTGATTCTGTGTCAGAAGCCAAAGATTTGGTGCCGACCTGGATCTTATGTCCATATACCAGCACCTTCCAAGTTCGGTGGTTTTTGGACACCCCGAATCACCTCTAAGAGGCTATTCATAGACACCTCTTGGAAGCTCCTGGTACTTATATAAACATATTCAAACAGCTTTATGTCCAGGACGAGCCCGGTTGGAACATCCAAGTGATGTACGTCAGGCAGCCTTGAACTTGTTTCAAAGCCTGGGACTTAACGCCTCGACGGTGCCTGAAAATCCAGGTCAGCTTCGACTAGTCGTAACGAAGAAAAACCTGCCTGTGCTGCAGGGTGCTTGGTGAGGCGGGAAACATCGTCGACGGTAGCGCTTGCGTCTACAAGCAGAGGTCGGCAGATCTAGAGGTACGAAGCCACATGTTGGTATAAGTTGGACGGTGTGATGTGTCCATCAGTTGGGCTCTTCGCCTTCCAAACACTCACATACCCAGACCAACCCCAAACAACCCGACTGGTCCCTCAAAACCACCAGGATTGGTTGCCGGACCCTCCAGAGGATTCGGGTCCCGGCCCCGGTCGAATCCTCACGGAGAGGGTCCATGCTCGCGTCCGGGTGAGTCAAGCCCAGTGGATCCGACTTACCATTATGCTATATAAGGAACCAGGGTTTCTAAGTCTATTATAATAGTTCTTGAAACCACTGGTTACCAGCTATAGTGCTTTGCCTGGATCATTCAAAGAAACGCCGAGGCCAAACGACACGACGCATCACCTGGGGATTTGCCTTTCGGGCGGACGTGACTTCGAACACCAAACAAGTGTTGGATCCACCAGCCCGTGACCCGTAAAACACCTGCGACTCCACCAGATTTGGACCAGGTCGACTGAACTCCTCGAATCAGGCATGGTGGAGCATGGCAAGCACGGCGTCCCAGCGGCTCTTCACAAGGTGCCGGGGTCCGGAACCGTTGTTGGCACCAGCGAGGTGGTTCCCGAAACAACCACCACGATCGGGAAGGGGTGATGGCTGGGAGGTGACATGGTTTTCCACGACTTTTGTGTGGACATACGGCATTGGACTCTTTCCATCTCTTTTCATGCATGAAAAGAAGAATGTCTAATATCATAAATTCTAATTAGATGGTTGAACCTTTTTGTTTCTCACCAACTACGGTGCTATCTACCTGGTGTGCCTGTGTGATCACACCGCCCTAGACCCTCAAGCACCGCAACCACCGCAACCACCAGCACAGCCCTGGCTCGAACCTCCCGCTATGCGGGACATGTAGAAGCCCTAGAGCTAGCCTTCATTGGACCATTAAAGGCACATGGTTGAGTGGGTTTAGTCGTGCAAAATCCTTTGTAGAACCATGGTTGTTTGGTAAAACCTACCAGGACCCTCCTGTCGGGGTGCCCTGTCTGGAAGCCTTTTTCGGTAGTGTGGGGTAGTCCAGCCAGGACACCCAGGTCCAGGAGGGTCCAGGTATGAAATTAGTGGTGGCTTTTTCATCCAAGGAACACATCCCAGCTGCCTCTTCAGGTGGATTTGAGCAGCCTCCTCTTCTTCACGGGGGTCCTGCTCTCCGTCGCGGCGCTGGAATCTGCCGAGGCCGGACTCTGCACCTGACGTTCCACTCCACTCCACTTGAGAAGGAATTGAGAAGGGCAAATTTAACTCCCCTCCGCCTCCGCCCTTCAACTCACGATTCGTGGAGTTTGACGAACCGGTTTTGATAGACCCGAACGGGTGATCCGAGTCTGGTGCCACGTCACCATGATGGGTGGAGGGTCGGTGCTGTTGAGAAGCAGTTCGGCCACATGATCAGGGAGCCAACCGGGTTAGGTATCTTAGGCAATCCGTTTTATCCCAGAAGAAGTGCCCCCCGCCCCTCGGCGGCTTTTGGCACATTTTGGCACATCACGAAAGCTAGCACCAGCTAGCTGGAGTGGTTCTTGCTTTAGCAAGTGAGGGGCTTGAATCCTCGAGAGTGCCGCATCGACGTGTGTATTAGGGGGGACGTGTATTTCCGCTGGCAGGCTGACTCTTCCGGGCAGCACCCCCTGCATGCTTATGTCTTCTTACCTTTCTCGGTCGGATTTCCCCCGCTTCATCCCCGCCCTGCTAGCTTTCGTCACCTACCCTCGGCCTCAAGTGAAGGCAGCAGACCTTTGGGGAGGTTTAGACCTTTCCTCCACCCCAAAATCTTGTGCCTTGTGCAACTGATGTTTGGGTTGTCGGCCAGCAAGAAACGCGCTAGATCCAGCAAGCTACCCGTCCAGCTTCTCCGGCTTCAACTGCTGCAGTCACAGTTTTCAGTGAAATCATGCAATTCGAGAAGGCTGATCTGGATGAACCCCCCGGCTTCGTCAGCAGGTTCTTTCGCGCTACTCGGAGTTCATGAACGCTTCTTGGCGTGATGCATGGGTGGATGGTGGATGCGGCGGGATTTGCACCAACTGAAGACAACGGCATGGAAGCTCTCTTGGGGATTTGAATATGATTGGAAGACTCCACCAGCCAAGCGCCCACACCACCCACCACCCACCGCCAAACCAGGTACAAAAACTGACTTTGTCCGGGGTGGTCGACCGAGGAAGCCACGGGCGGGTCGCCGTTGGCGCTCTCGGCGATGTTGGGCATCTCCTCTGCGGTGGTGGACAACGTGCCGTTGGTCCAGGTGCGGCGGAGGGGAGAGGATGGGAGAGGGTAGGAGAGGATCCACTAGGCCGTGTAGACTAGGCCAGGAAGACAACAGTTGAAAAGCCTCTTCATATGGCCATATGGGGTGTTTTATTCATCAACGGTCTACATTCAGGGAAGTGGTGATCCTCGAACCAGGCCCAGTGAGAACCACTCGCAACCGCTCAGTGCCTCTAGTGTTAGCCTGGAAGAGGATGTCCATGGTGATGATGATGGTCGTCGTGGGTAGTGTTTTTCTATGTTGTTTTTTCTTTAATCTTTGAAATACCTACGTTCTTCATGCTTCTACAGACCATTCTTTGGGCACGAACACCAGCAATTCTAGGGTCTTTCCTTCTTGGCATGTGCCATTTCGATGGTTTTGAACACCCCAACATGCCCCTAACACGCCCCAACACACACTCAAGACACGCGCGCGCAAACTTCGCGCACGCTTCGCGCACGCTTCGCTCCATGTGCTGTGTGAGGCCTCCATTGAGATGTTCCATCAGCCGATGGACGACCCCCTGTGGCAGCTGGTCGCACTCTCCGCCGGCACAGGCGCGGCGTGGCGTGTGCGGCGGGCTACGGGGAGCTAGAGGGACCGATGGGAGCTGGAAGGAGAGTTGGAGGTGGGAAGGAAGCCACACGGAGAGATGGATGTCGAGACCGGATTTTCTCTGGATTCTGTTGAGTTCTGATCAAGGACAGCTGTTTGTTTATCTTTTTTGCATTTGATTTATATATTCGAATTCCGAGAGATCCCCTCTTCAGATTCTTGAAGCGTTTGCATCCAGCCATGAGCATACTGGACCTGCATACCAGGGGGCGGTATATGAACTAGCGGTCGTTTTGGTCCTCAAGCTGGCAAAACTGGGGGGACGCATCTGTGGGGAACTGGGTGCCTCTTTAGGTGTGCTACGATATCAGGTTCAGAGGAGACGGCACTTCGAGCCAGGAGCGACGCAAAGCTTTTCGCCATTTCGCCTTTTTTGGCGAAACAACACGATCTGATGGGTGTCTTGCAGTGTCTCACATGTCAGGCGCTGCAGCATCCGGTCGAAGTCCACTTCGACTGCAAGAACTGCCTGGCCGCCACCTTTGGTTCAGGAAATAGAAGCCAGTGGGAAGTGAGAATGCTGTTGAAGATCATGCAATGAAGCCACAATTGGCTGGTGTGCTGCGAAGCTATGGTTGGATACACAGCGACACTGGCGCGCAATTGTGCCGGCCTTGACACGCCAAGCCCCAGCTGCGTTGTATCCTCCGTGTAGCGGTGTTCCACAAGCGAGTGGCCTTCTATCGACAGTAAAACTGTTAGCGCCAGGCGGCCTCCCAGCATCGGGGCACGCAGTAAGGCTGCACACGAGCTTCATCATCTTATCCATCTAACTGTGGGCAACAGATCAACCGATTTCGTTGCAGCCCTTGCAATGATTCCACAAAGCCAGGGCTTATTGCATTGTTGAACTCGGAAAAACTTCTGCTTTTCAGTCGCTGCTTAGGGCCGTGAGTCTTGACTCAATGACTTTTCGAAGCCAGTTCCACAACAAAATCGTGCGGAACATGTGAGTTCACATCGTCACCAAATACTTTGGCTCGTGGCTCAAGGCAATCCAAATCCAAATCCACATACTTTATACATATTCCGGCCCAGATGCGGGGTCCATGTCACCATGACTAAGTGATGTGTGAGGTTGTAGGTGCCACCCGATGTCTCCAAAAGAGACCCCTTAGAGTGCCGTACTTTGAAGCCAGTCACTATGTCAGTGTTCTCGGATGTCTGCCTGCATTCAGCTTGGCTGGGCAGGTGGTTCCATGCTGGCGGTTGGCAGTGTGGCAGGCGGGTGTTTGGCACGCAAAAATGCTACACATGGTTGGGCACTGGCCGGTTTTGTTCGTCATGCTTTTTGCTCTCCTGCTGTCGCAACCACACATTTCACCCTTTTAGATGTATGAACAGAACCATTTGTTGGATTCTTTTTGGAGATCGCAGTTGGTTCGCCAAACCTAGTTGCCCATCGGGGTCTGGTATACAGCGAAGATCGACCCTACTGAGCGAAACCGACCTGTACGACGTATCTCCCTGGCCCCGAGCGGGACGGAACCGGCACGACAGTCAGTCAGGTGGTTAGGCAACCAACGGGAAACCATGGGAAACCTGGACCTTGCAGCACACCCATTGACCCGTCAACCGTGGGAGGACAACTAGATGAGGACAACTAGTCCGTGAACGGTTTTGCTGTTTAGTATTGTTCGTTCAAACCATTTGTCGACACCAGGGAACAGATTGACAACTGCGAAGATTTTGTCCTATACCACTTGGTATAGGTTGCGGAATTCCTGTCTTTTTGTTTCCAGTTATATATCCCTAGGGCTGCAAGTATTCGAAGGTGGGACTGGGGTGGATGCCAGGAGTCCAAATACCTTCTCAGTACTTGGAGCTCTAGGGTATATAACTACCTGGTTCCAACTACCTGACACCGTGCTCCACCCGCGGCGCGGCAGCCGCAGATGTGCCGGTGCGCCGTCACACGTGACGAAACCTGGCAGGTGTGACGTTGATGGGCCTGGAGCATGTGGGTCTTCTGGCCAACGGGATGGGGATGATGGTCTTCAAGTGGCCTAGACATGTGCAAACTGGACATGGGATCATTCTTTTCTTCCAGATGACTGAAATGCTCCAGTTCTGACTTCTCCACTGACTGGATCACTGAACTCTGCGGTGCTAGCGCTGTTCTCGCCCCACGGGGCACCCCACGGTGCCGCGAGCTGTCCCGCACCTCCTCCCCTCTCCGAGCTGGTCCCCGAACCACGCTGTTCCGGGGGTTCTCCGTACCACGCCCGCCGGCCGGTGCTTCTGGAAGAGGACCGTGCACGACGGGCCCAACTCGTTGGGCGTTTCGCCTCGGGTTTTGGGGGAGTTGGGCTCTTTGGACGCCAGGCCAGGCCCAATCCGACATGTTACATCATACCAGGGGAACCAAACCATGAGAAAAGAAGGGTTTTCACATACAAAAGCCATGCTTTTTGCGGAAAACCCGTTTTTTGATGGTTTGTGAGGCCCCTGGTATTGGGGGGTTGGAGGGGGTCCTACTTCCAACAGAGGTTAAGTGACCGTAAATAAGACCCGTCACCTGGAGCACCCGACTGGGATAGCCTATAGGTAGGGTACCAGTAACAGTTGGTAAATGATTATCGCTATTTTGAAGGAAGGCCTTTACTCACCCGCATCATGTTACTGGCAATGAGATATACCCAACCTATAGGGTTCTTCAACCTCTGTTGGTTGTTGGTCTTTTTATGCCCACAGTGCCTTGGTCGATATTGATCGTTTTTTTCTTTTTTTTCTTTGGACACTCTGATCCAGTGAAAACTGCGTGGTCTATGGAGGAGTTCCAGGATTTTTTGGATCCATTGCGACACAACCTGGCTTGTGCTGGGTCCTTGCTCCGTTCGTAGCGATGCCAGGAGCCCCGTTCATAGCTTCCTTGTTACTAGTAGTAAGGCCAGGAGCCCCGTTCGTAGCGTCCTTGCTCCTTCGTTGAGGATTTTCGGCATCTTCGTCTGACCTTTTGGGGACAAAACCAAAGCCTAACATCCCGAGGGCTGGACGTGTGCAGAGTGTTGTCATGGATGGCATCCTTACTTAAAGGATCTTAAATAGGAACATGGTACCATTGGTGCTAAACCACAAAAATCATTGACCACCCCTGGCATGTTCAAACCAAACCAAATAGATCGATGCCTGCTGGTCACTGAAATCAGACTGTGTTTCAGGAGCACCGGCCAAAAAGCACTCAGGTTTCCTCTGGTACATGCGCCGAATCTCTCCGTGGGCTGCCTTGGGCTTCGCCGCGGGCATGGGCGTCTTGGATAGAAATTGAGATGGGAGAGGGCCGGTAGGCTCGGCATCCATCATCAATTAGGTCGCTACTAGCTTGGAGGCCCGCCCAACGCATCCCCCTCGCATCCGCGGTTCGCGGCGGGAGTGGAGTTCGTACGCTTCTTCTTCTCTCCCCCGAGTGCACGGACCGGATGGAGAGGCGATGGACTGATCCAACTACTAAACGTCCTATGAGGGGTTGGAATGCTTCCTTTCGCTTCGAGACGAAACGGAATCCAACATGAAACCAGCCGCCGAATCCCAGCCGAAGGAAACGGAGCCGCCAGGCGGCTGGCAGTGGACGCCCATGGGCTCCGTGAAGCCTTCGGACCCTTCCGAACGTCCGCACCTGACCGCACCCGGCGTCCGGGGCTCCTTCACCGGTGTCCACCGGCGTTTTCCCGGACGGGTGTCGAGACGGCCGTCCTCACACACCCCACAACGGAAGGATAGGAGCGACGTTTCCAATCCGTCCGGAAAGGACCAGGTCATTGAAATGATTGATCTTGGTATGATGTAGACTCTTGATTACTACACCACCCCACGAATTGAATTGAACATTTTCTTCAAAGGGGGAGACTCTTAATCAAGAGTCTACATGATAGTAAAATCCTTAGTAAAGCAATGGTTGTTCCGGTCTCTAGGCCATTAAAAACATCTTGGTTCGACTGTCTTCTAGGGAAAGCCTTTTCGAACGGTATCCAGGTTTTGCTGCACACATACCTTCGGACTCTGATCGACCGAAGCCAACAACATATACCAAATTGGGTCAGAAGAGCATCGAAAAGCCAGCCTCTTTGGCCCCAGGTGTCTACGCACTCCAGCGCATGATTGTGCTGTAAGGCGCGGGTTTGCGGATCAATCCCCTCTTCTTCGAATGGGGAAGAAGACACCGCACCGCACTGCAGCTCCTACGGTGATGCCTGTTTTGTCGGTTTGGACAAGCCTGAATTTGGCAAGTGTTCAGACACATCGACGTGCGGAAACCTGTTCTTCCAGTAGGTCATTGATGGCAATTGTTGACCATTTCAGTACGCCTTCCTGGCTTTCATGCCTTTCAGAAACCAGCTTATTTGAGCCATTGTCCTTAAGTGGCCCCGGCCAAGTGGCCCGGCTGATGACCTCGTGAGTCCGTTCTGGCGGAACAAGGACGCTACGAACGGGGGAGGTCATCGAACGTAGCAAGGACGCTACCTACCCCCCCTTCACCCACACTCTTGTTTCCCCCACCATGTCCTGACTGCAGCATCCCAAAAGAACGCCTAAAGTTCCGCGATCGCCAGGCCTGTTGGACCATAGGAAGAGTCAGGTTGACCGGTTGCCCGTCCTGGGTTTTTGTAGCCTAGAATCCATAGTAATACAAGATCAAGAGTTTTTTTCGTTGGGGGATTCCGGCTATGGCTATTACTGTATATTCAATGGTGGCCCAGGAATCCCAGGATCTTCCTTTCAGTCTCTGATGCATTTCGGGGTTCCGTGGACGTCAGGAGCTGCGTGATTTTCGCCTTGAGCCTTAAGTCAGCCAGCACGGCAGCTCAGGAAAGACCACCCTTTTGGGGGGAATGGGGAGTTTTTCGGTTCCAGAGCAATGGATACAACATACCCTCATCTTCCAATTATGCAGGCTTTATGCCGGCTGGTGTGTTTTTGGGGTATCAGGGTGACGCCGAACTGACCTCTCCAGCTGGGTCACGCCCGGAAGCTCCGCGGGACTCGCCCTCGGACACCACCGACGCGGTGGAAACCGGGGAGTGGTGAGAGACACCCCCCCACGGAACCCGAGGGCCCAGGGTGGTGTCTGGACTTCTTAAGCTTTCAGATTGGTCGCTCAAACGAAATCTCTCATCCAGGCGTTCGCCGTTGGGCCGTTTTAAGACATGCACTGATACGCAAGGCCGTACAGTTTTGGGTTGAGCCGGTGTCAGCCCATTGGGGTTTTGTTTTGTTTGCAGGGTGTCTCAAGGATGGTCAATTTTTGGGTCTTCGAACAAATGATCATGGTTACGTGGAGTTCAGCACCACCTATTTGTACAGATGAAACCTCGTCTTCCAGGGGCCAGAAAGAAACGGCGGGCCACCACTGGCGACACACCACTTGCGGACCACCTGTGGTCTGGGTGGTCTAATGGGATGCAAACCGAATCCTCGGGCCTTCTCCCTCTTCGCACCTCTCTGGACCGCGGTCCAATAACGCTGCTCCGAACTCCCCGCTCGTCCGGTCGCCCGGGCGTCTCCGTCTCGGATGGAAGACCTTCTGCTTCCCTCGGTTGGGGTTCGGTCCGCCACATTGAACCCGTTCCCCGACCGGTCCGCGGGGCTTGGGCGGGGGAATGGAAGGTCAAGGACGAAGGAGTTTGGGAAGCACTCGGGTTGGGAAGGGCGGTAAGACTTGACGCCAAGCTGATGGAGGCCCCCAACATCTGGGCGCAGAAAGCTAGCATTTGGACCTTGAGGATCATTGAGGGGGGATTTGGGAGTGGACAGACCGGTCAAACCCCATGTTCGGCGGAGCGCCCCCTGTTGCGCGCCGGCCGGGATGACCGGTCCGTCCTTGTTCCGAGGTTGGTCAATGCCTCGGAGCCCCAACATGGGAAACTTTTGGATCCCGGAGCGGAGAGGCATTGACGGGGTGAGCTGCACGCTCGTTTGGTTCTGGTTTTCCACATTTATTCCGAATAATTCAAAGTAGGAAGACTCAATCTTCCTACCTGCATGGGACAGACCTGTCCAGAAACAAAATGGGCAAGTCCTGCCTTGTTGAACGAATAGATCTCGGTCACTCGGTCAGATTTGGATGTTTGCGGAGCTGATTTTCTGCACGCTGGCCATGATGCCCCTAAGTTGACGTGCTCAAGTGATCCCGACCTTTTTTCATCGGGAAGCCAAGGGCATAGGAAAAGGGCTAGTGGCAAGTGCGCAAGTGCACAAGCATCTTGCAGGGACTGGCCCTGTTGTCAGCCGAAGCAAAGAGGTTTGGCAACTGTAGAGATCTGCATTGATCTATACTAGAATCTTCGGGTTGGCATGAGGTCTTAGCGACCAAGAATCTATGTGTCTTTTCTCGTGTCTGCCATGTCTTTCCTGACGTCCCAGAGTTGACATGGTGACACTTTTCAGAACCCAAAGCTTCTAGACCTGTATAGCCACACGCAAAAGCTGTGGGGCCTTTCTTGAGGTCACAAGTTGCCTCCCAGGCGGTGTGCTCTCTTGACAGAGAGCATAGAAACTCGCCAGTGGAAGTCAACTGTTCGAGCTGACATCAGGCTGACATCAGCGTTCGAGGTGATTGAGTGATCGATCACCTTGTGCCGGTGTCAATACCCAAAGATACAACTCTGTGGTCAAAACACGAGACATCTCTGCACGTGTTCTTTTTTCTGGAGGGGGGCCGCCCACGCGGCAGGGCTCGGCATGCGCATTCGGGGCACGGTGGCCACGACCTGTCGCGGAAGGAACTGGTTGTTTTCGATGGAAGTGGGCGAAGACCACCCCATAGAGACATGAAGACATGCTGCACCTGACGAACGACTGGAGTAGAGAGTGCTACTCCTGACTGCAAGAGAGTAAGAATGGACCGTTCGATGAGGACCGACTGCTCGGAAGAGATTTCGAAGAATGCGAACGAAGCGCCGAGCCAGCTCGGTGTCCCACCTCGATCTGCTCCAAACCGGGAACCGGTTCTTGGGAACTGCTTCTCGCACGACGGTGAACGACGCGAACCGATTCCTGAGGTTTGGAACCCCTACGTGGAGCGTGTCCCCATCTTCCGGCTCAAAGGCGACCTGCGCAACATCGGGCGCGGCGAAGTGGGGGAAGTGGGTGTGGCCTCCCAAAGCATCTCGAACGGAGGCTCTTATATCTGAACGCGCAGGAGAGGATGGGGTGGGGTGAAGGAGTCAGGATTTTTGTGTGATTTTTTAACCTTTCCCTGTAGGTCTTACGGACCTCATTGGACTGGATCCGGGAAAATGCCAAGCCAGTACGAAACATGTAACATGAGGTCAGTCAGACCAGGTTTTCCACTTGGCCTGACTGGACTTGGCCTGGGTTTGTTCACCTTGTTTGCGGCAGTCCGGGGGTGCAGAACTGATCCCAAAAGGGACGCGGGTTCATGATGGGCCTGCACTCTCACTTCCCTGGATAGAGTAACAAAACATATTTCTCGCTACGATCTCATCTGCATCGTTCGCTTCGTAGTAGCTCTCCCACGAACCCTGCGAACCGCACGGTTCTTTAATGTTTGACATCTTCAAAATCATACGTTGAGGTCACATAGAACAAAACTGTCCAAGCCGCGCAGGGCCCTCCCTTGGTTTGGGTTCACCCTTGCCCCTTTCTTGGTTCAACTCCCTTGGGTCATGCCTATATGTCGGATATGGATGGATATGGTGGGTCATTTCCGTTGGCATAATCTTCATGATATAGCTGTGGAGCTAGAGCTGCTGGCTGTTGGTTTTGCGTGTGTGTATTCGGTGGCGCCTTGATTGTTGGATGTGTTTTTCTCGGCCTCGCTTCCTCCTTCTGGACAACGGGGTTTGATATAGTCATATATGACAGTGAACCATCAAACATTTGGATCTGAACAGTGCCATCAAATGCCGCTCTGGTCTACTGTGGCCCTGGTCAAGCCTCTGGCGGTGATGACCACGAAATCCGGCAGAAAAAGGATCGCTGCAAACCGGTGGTTGACCATCGCTGCCATGTCCTTTGACGCTAAAAACACCCGTGTTTTCGATCGTTGTCCGCACAACAGGACAACAGGACTATTAAGAGCAATGGGCCTCCACGCGAACTGTAACATATGTTGTTTTGTGGGCCTACAAAACACCATGATGTTTGGATATTGACATCTTTCTTGCGTGCTTCCAAACGCAGCCTCCCAAGATCTCAAAGACGCAGCCTCTCGGGAAAGATTCTGCACCGGATGCATGAAGCTGGCCCTTCGTTTGCAAGAGGTCAGCCTAGGAGAGGTGACCTTGAGTCCCAAGTGCCAACGAAACAAATTGAACCTTTGGTGGCTTTAAGCTTTTATGTCTTGCCCTGAGAGCATTGAAAAGCAATGAAAAACAGTTTAGCATGTCCTAGGTTACTCTGTTGCTGACCATATGTGCAAGTATCTGTTGGTTGAAGGCTTCACTTAGTGTGGTGTTCTATTCAGAGTTCGTCTCACACGGGTCTCAGGGTCTCGAGCGTGGTTCCCATACTTCACAACATCACAACATCACAACTCCTCAGACGCAGACCTGTTTGCTTGTTGTTTTGGCTTGTGGTTTTTGCCCGAATTTTGGAGTAAAAGATGTGTCCTCTCCGTTTCTATTTTTTGATGGTGGGGACCTCAGCATGCACATCCCAAGGTGAAGATCCTTGCTATACACATCTTGCTGTCAACAGGACATCCGGCCTGCACTGATGTTTTCTCTTTGCTCAGCATTCTCAGATGTGAAAAGCTTGGAGGAGCTGCATGGTTAACTAGGTGGTGGTTTTGGATATTTTTACTTTTCACCTGATCTTGGGATGATTTTGCACCACTGATGAATACATTTCAAGTGAGTTGAAGCCACTAACCAGTCGTATAATTCTCCAATTTTCATGATCACTTCATTCAGTCTCGTGCGCCAGAGGAGGGACCGATCCGAACTGTTCCTTTGATGACGGTGCTTTGATTCAGCTGCCTGGCGGTACTCTGAGAAAACACGAATGTCAGACCATTCGTGGCTCAGCCATAGTGCTATGGTGCCATGGTTCGTTTCATCTCCGTTTCATGGCGGTACTCCGAGATGATTGGTCAACACATCTGTGCACCGTTTCATTGCTAACCGTCATCCGTTTGCTTCCTGTCAACACTTCCAATCCGTTACGATCTCGCACCCCAATTCCCAGGCGGTCAACACTGGCCGATCGGATCGTGACGACGGTGCCTCCCGCGACGACCGTGCCTCCCGTGCCTTTGGCTCCAAAAGCTCTGCAGATGGCCATGTCTTTTAGATGTCCATATAAACCACCTGAATTCCGGGGACCGCATGGCATCTACTCTGAAAGACCCCTGAAAGACCCTGTGCGACCGATGCGAGGAACGCCCCCTTTTTTCCTACCGCTTTGGAGATGAGAAACTCATGTACGCCAGCAGATGTTCCACATAGAAGTTTCTTGCCAAATACGACCACAAGATTTGACACAGCGGAGCTGGCGGGCAGAATGACAGAGATGCATTCTCGTGAGAATAGTCTTTGGCCTCAACATTGAGTTTGAAGGGGGGTTGGGTGTTTTATGTTCCCAGTTCGGTGCTTTCCCTTCCCGCACGCTTCCTTCAGCTTCAATCGATTGAGTTTGGTTAGGCAAGCTTTTTGTGTTTAACGTTTCACTGGCAGGTGGAGGAGGGTTCCGTGCGGCTGGAAGACGGCGCAGGTCCGCTACAAGGGCGACTGGAAATCTTTCACAACGGACAGTGGGGAACTGTTTGCAAAGATGATGCTTGGTTGAAGCATTGAAGGAACAACTGGTGGAATCAATCTTGCCTGCCGGCTGTCTAGTTTTTGGAATTGCCCATTCACAATTTCCAAACTTCATGCTCCTTAGGGTTTTGGCCAAGTGGATGCAGCTGTTGTGTGCAGACAGCTTGGATGGTATGGTGGATGGGTTAGCCTTGGCTTCGAAGGCGGGACATTCTTTTGCTCAGCCATGCCTTAACAGCTTATTGTTTCTACTAGCTTCTTGTTACTACTAGTAAGGCACTTGTTACTAGAAGCGATGCACTTGTTCCGAATTGCAAGATGTAGACACACTGGATGATTCCGCATTCTTTGCATCGTTCCTGCGCTCTTCCGCAGGTGGGCCAATTTGGATGAGCCAAGTGGATTGTTCTGGAGTTGAAACAGCCTTAATCCAATGTCCTTTTCCAGGCAGGCGCAGGACTACGCCAGTCAGTCAACCCAACCCTCAGAGTCTCATTCCAGCCTGCTGTTCCAGGCTGGGGCATCCACAGCTGCCAGCAGTCTGACAGTGTTGGCGTTATTTGCGTTCAGGTGCGGTTGATGTTGCAGTTGCAGCATTATGCATACATATATATATAGTCGAGTAGGGCACGCCAGCATTCTTAAAGCAAAAAACAATCACATGTAGCTTTGCGTGTTTGTCGCGTTTTTTTTGCTTTATTTTCACTTGTTCGTTCTTTTTACCCGCTTTATTTTCGCATTTTGTTTTGTTTTTTTACGCTTTTTCCCCAGGAGCGTACAGCGAAACTTGCTGACGGGTAAAAGTTCTCATAGGTGCAGAAGTGGTACCAGGAAAAAAACAAAACAAAACAACAAAGCAAATGGCGTTGCTTTTGCATTTTCAGTTGCTTTTGTCTTGCATTTTGTTTTTCGCGTTTTTATGTTTCACAAAAAATACAGTATTTGATGTTTGGCCATGTATGGCTGCCATTGCTCAACACACATATATAGATTACAAACCTTGAAACAGCGGAATGCTTACAACTGCACCTGTGTAGAGGGAGTGTGCTACTACAGCTCGAGAGCCCACACCAAAAAAACACCCTCCCCCTCTTCTTCCTTCTCCCTTCGCTCCCCTCCATTAGATTGGTTGCCCAAAAATTGCTGCCCTCATGAGATTGGCTGGTTGAGCTCCGGCCCTCTTCTGAACAACCTGTTGCCACCTTCCGCCCCACCCCACCCAAGCGGTTAGAAAGGCTGCTGGTTCACGGAGAATTTGCCTTGTGTTCTAAGGTGATCCTTCAATAGGTGTTCTAAAGTGATTCCTGCAAGTGTGTTCTAAAGTGACCCTGTCGCATGAACAATACTTTTTCAACTGCAGAAAGGTAGAGAAGTTGATTGAACTTAGCTAAGCCAAAATACAAGAAGGCACATAACCTGAACCAGCAAAACGCAAGAAATTAGATGCATTTTACGACACACATGGGCGACCCGAGCCTGCAAATCATAAGTGGTGCGCGTCCACAAACACTAGAACTGGGTGACTTGAACCAGGACATGATTTTCCATTGGATGTTGATGTTGGTGGCCTGAATCAGCAATCTCAGGGATTGTGAGTCAATTCAAAGCGGACACTTGCCAGCATGTACATCAAAATCTGAACAAATCCCAAGGCGACAACCACGACTACCACGACTGCGCCTTTGGCCACCAGCAAGGTATGCTTCCTCCAAAAAACCATAAAAAAAACCATCGCAAGGCCATGTTTTTTTGTTTTTTTCAACCCTTCCGTCTTTTCCAGACCACTGAGGTGATACAGCCCGGAAACATGGAAATCGGGCAAGTGGTGGTCCGCGCCAGGTGGCGCCGCTTTACCTTCACCCGACCCTTGAAAAGAGTCCCTGTGGTGGTGGTGGCCCCCAGGACTAGCGGTCGAGAAGCCGTCACGATCCGTGTGAAGGATGTCAGGACCACCGGTTTCTCTGCGATCATCGCCAAGCCGACCGGGAGCAAGGTGAGATCAGGCGGAGGGGAAGATGGGGAAAAGGCGCGTAAAGCGTAGCAAGGCGTAGTTGTAGCGTAATTCGTAGCAACAAATTCAACGAGACGAGACATGCATTTCTTCAATGGTTTAAGCTTGAGAAACAATTCCTTGAAAAGCCCATCAAGTTCCCTTGTTCTAGCCACTTTCGGTCTCGAGGTTTGAAAGGATATCACAATTTTACGCAAAGTCTTTGGTCTTATTTTCTTGGTACCAAAACTCTCTTACAGATCCCTATAGGTCCCTAGGCCACGATTCAAGTGACTTCACCTTCGACTTTCGACGGCTGATGGAGGTCAGCGCATGAGTGTGACATTCTGGGCCGTTACTACTGGCATAAAGGAATTCGGCAATGATGGATTGGTGCTGCAAGCTGAGCGCACAAACATGCGAAACCTCAAATTTGGCAAGAAATGCAAACCCGATGGCCACTCGACTCAACTAAAGATGTGAGACGTCGATGCGCCATTCGGTTTTTGGGTGAAGCAGGGGGCCATGTCCCGGGGTTCGCGCTGGCCATCAGACCGATGGGCCATTCGACGTGCTAGAACTTGGGTCTGGCTGGTGAACAAAACAGGTCAAGTGGGTCAGAAAAAGCGGTTGTGGGGTTGAGTTGGTGCAGACTGGTGGTTTTCATCCCATAGGTTTCAGAGTGTTGGCAAGCCGCATCGTTCTCAGATGCGCTTTGGATTGGAGCACCGAACTGAGGACTCAAGCCCAGTGACTGGGGAAGAATTGAATTTGGGCAAGCCTTTCAAAATCAGCTCAATGAGCCTCCGGCGGGGCCTCCGGCTCTCTTGACCACCATTCAGACGATAAGGAATGAGAAAGGCTTGCCATCCAACTCGAAGCCGTGGTTGACAGTTGCTTGGACAGATCGGCAGAGAGAAAGAGAGAGAGAGAGAGAACAAGATAGACCAAGCAACACATCGAACTCGGGTGAGTTCGCTGGGCTTGTGGTATCCATTCTCATTCGGCTAAGTCACTCAGGTTGCTGTGAAAGAGGTACGGACAGATCATGCCAAGGCCGAAGCCTCAGACCATTCTATCACAGCCACGCCACGTGGCGCGGCTGTCTCGCTCTGTCTCGCTGTCTCTGTCGCTCTTCCCGTCCCGAGGTCGCCCTCCACATGTCTGAGACGAGTCGCTACGGAAAGGCCCTTCGCACCTTAGGAAGGGACGGAGCACGTTCGCAAGGGAGGCATGATGCCGAGATTCGTTCTCGCTCATCGCTCGAACGAAGGCTACGATCGGGGCGAAACTGGCCATACTACGAACGGAACAATGTTTGCTATTAGACACAATAATTACATAGCTATAGTAGAATTAAAATAGACATCAACATTAGAATTTATTTGGGGTATAGTATATGTATCGTAGTATCGTATCTTCTGGGCACTTCTTCTCACAGAGTGGGGTCGCTGAAAAAAGCATGTTCTTGTTCCACTGCTTCTGCCAAGGAAATCTCCTCACTTGTCTCCTTACTGTCTGCTTGTCTGCTTGTGTGTTCGGCAGCGGAAGACCTGCCGCGGCAGGTCTTCCGTCTCTCCACGTCCTCGGTGTGTCGGAAGAAACGAACAAACACGTCCTCGCGCCACGAGGACGGTGTTAATAGCACCTGGCTCCATCATTTGTTTTTGACCTGTTAGAGACCTGTTTGAGGGTGTTCGTAGATGATCATCGCGTCCAGTGGGAGTACCTGAGAGACGAGTATGTACGAAAAACGCCCGCAAAGCAAGTTCGCCCGCGACTCCTCGTTAAACGGGGCTGTGGCTAATCATAAGAATGAGTAAACCCAAGCCATAAATCTGGGGTCGGGCCCCGGCCCTGGGCGGCGTCAATCAACACTATGTGCGGTTTTAGTCCTGCTCACGGATGGTGCTGAAGTCTCCCTGTTGCGGATTGAAGCAAAAGGCAAACGTTCCTAAAACAGATCTGGTGTTGGGGGCCCGCGGCCCGCCGCCGGGCCGTGGCGGAGACCAGGATGATGCGACCGAAGCCATAAATCCATGGGATGAACCATGTGTGGGGCTGGGGAGCCCGGCGATGCCAATCAACAACATGTACATGGTGCAGATGGGGCGCCTTTTTTGGTGTAGAGAAGTGGGACGTTACCACCACAACTGCGCCAGTCATTTTGACATCACATCAAACACGTTCAAGAAGCAAAGCGACAACAAAAACACATGAACATATTATTTCCTGTTCAAGCATGAAGCTTACCCGTGGGTTTCAGGATGTTGCAGGATACTTCTTCTCGCCTTTGAACACTTCTTTTCTAGACCCCTCGACCTCGCCTTCCTTTCAGATTCTGACCCCCCACTAGTGACTCAAACCTTGGATTACTAGCGATGGCCTCCAACCTACTAGCGATGGCCTGGAGGCCCCTAATGGAGCGGACATTTAGAACTTTAGAACAAAGGAAGTTTAAACACCGCTACGAAGATGGTGTGTTAAAGCTACCAATCTCACCCCTATCGCTGTCTAACTAGAGGCTCAAGTAATTTCACGAGAGAACTGCAAGCTATAGGGGTCTTACTTCCCAATGATTCTCAATGACTGCGTGGCAGAACCGCTGCCGTTGCTGCCTTGTCTCCCACTTGTTTCCGCGCATGTTTGCACACTTTCTGAAAGCCTGTGTGAGGAGCGTTGTGTTTGCTGGGTTGTCTTTGCTGCGTTGTCTCCTAACTTGTCTCCCCAATGGTTTTTGCACTTGTTTCCTTGGATGTCTCCCCACTTGCCCACATCTAAAAAGAGCAGATTTGTGCCACTCACGGGGATGGACCCACTCACGGTGCTCTCATGTTTTTGTTCGTGAACTATGTGTTTTATGTTTTTAGAACGCCGGTGCATTTTTTCCTATTTGTGTCTTAGATGTCGTGTGAAGGGTTCTCAATCTTCACATCCCGTCTTCGATGTCTCTGTCTTCTTGCTTTGACATCACCCGTTGACTCGGAGTCCTTGGTCGGGTGCTTTAGTGCTGCAGGTGACGAAGCGCGAACAAGTGGGCTGGATTGCCGTCAAGCAAGGCATTTACCCTGATTTCTTCTTGTCCACAGGCGAGTTCACGTCATGGAACTTTGAATCTTCAAAGTGAATGTCGTGGCTGAGTTGTGAACAATGCAGTGTATTGCAGCAAGGAACCATTCATTTTTGCTGGTAGACCTGGTAGACCGTGTGTCTGATGTGTTATGTAAGACTCACATACTATGTAAGAATCGACAAGGCACCAGTGGGTGAAAGGCCCTGACATGTTCCAGCCTGTTTGGTCATTTGGCTGGCAGGCCCAACGACGGTCGTGGCTCTGAAGTCCGCCCGTGTGGTGAGCGGCATGGACAACCCTGGAAATCCGGAACTCCCGCTGGGCACCACGCTCCAAGGTGGTATTGCTCTGGCGCTCGTGAGCCAATCGACCCGCCGGGGCGGAAAAGGAGATGATGGCGGATGGGCTCGAGTGTTGGAAGCCACCAGGCAATATGTGAGCGTGGCGATTGATGAAGATCAGACCTGCGACAAGGAGAGGAACCACGGGAGCGAAGAGGTGAGCTTGGTGGTCTTTGGTCGCGCTGGCAGGAACTGAATTTTCACCAGATGGTTTCGGGGGGGGGGGTTTGGAGGAACAGCCATCAACGCCTCCCTGGAATTCCACGGGGGGCTCTGCATCCTTCCGCCGTACAGCTGGATGTTTCACATTGACTGTGTAGCACGGAACATCGCTTGTAAGAGCGATGCCCCTTGTTGAAGAGTTGGTTGTGTTATGGGGAGGGGGATGATAGTTCCGTTCTGTTGCACAGTTCCCTTCCGCTGTTGTTTGGATGCGTTCCGTGCTCAGTGAGAAACTCACGGCGGCGCCGTGAAGCTTTTAACGCCGTGAAATGCTGCGACGCTTCCACGAAGCATGCCTTCGGCGTTCGGCTGCTGAATTACGGCAGACCTGGAGCTCTCAAAAATGCTTTTGCAACGAAGAAGCTCTGAGGAGCGAAAAGAACAGAGCGGCAGCTGGCACTGCAGCTGGCTGAAGTGGGAGATCTAAGATCAAGATTTGGAGAACGACCACATGCAAGAGCAACCTGGGCCATGCTCAAAATCAGCAGACTCCTGCAACTCTTGATGCGCAGACATTTTGCACAAACTCACGGCGCATTGGTCATTTTTTGTGGAACCAAGGGTAGGAAGTGCAACTCATCGCCACTTAGACCGCGAACTTGGCCGCAGGCCACACCCATGCGCTTTGTGGTGTCTCCATTGTGCCTGGCACACCTCAGATCTTATCTGCAGATGTCGGCTGCCCAGCGGTGAGAACGGCTCAGCTCAAGTGGAGGGTCGGGTCGAAGACCTCTTGTTTCGGAAGGTGTTCAGACGGGTACTTGTTAGCACATGTGAGCACCAGAACTTGTGAGCACATGTGAGCACATCTTTTGTCTTTTTCGCGGTCCTTGATTCACACTCAAAGCGACCTGCTCGATCCCATCCACAGCAGTTTCCCTCTCTTGACAAACAAGAAATGCATGAAGAAACCGCAAAAAAAACTCTTCGGAGTTCGTTTCGTTTTTTTCTTTTAACAATGTATTCTTGAGACTTTGGATCTCTTAGACGTCCCAGCCACCCTCAGACTGGTCGTTTTCTCCAGGTGGCGGGGACGTTCAGACTCTGGGACATGAGAAGCTTCCGTTGTGCCTGGGGAGCCCAGCGGAGCCCGGAAACGCCAAGAGCAGCCTCTCTGTGGGAATTTCAAGCGCCCAGTTACGTTTGAGTTGACGGTGAAAGTCTTCACCAGGTTGGAGTTGACGCAGATTCTTCTTTTCGTCTTCAAATTTACGCAGAATTCGCGAGTGGAATTGGCCGCCATTTCCTGTTTGGCTCTGAGGTCCAATCCTTTGGGGGAAACGAGCCACTTGGTGCACATGGCCAAGCGCCGTTGTTCCCGCGGGCCAAGCGCCGTTGTTTTGGATCTAGGGGACCGGTGGGAGTCCAGTTGGCAAGTGGTTTCTGCTTCATGATGGGGCTTTTCCATGGGTTTTCTATTCATTCTTTTTTTCCGGAGGAGGCATGGGGTGCGGAGCTGTTTTGTTCGCCGTCCACGGCTTGCCACGACCTGCCTCTTGCGGGAACACGAAGTGGTGTCCAGACTTTTGGACATTCACCTAGTTGTTAAACTCATTAAAATGATACAAGCATAGACCCCAACAGTTTTTTTCTAAGATAGGACCCCAACAGTAAACTCTTTGGGGAATAAATTCATTATTTCAACATCTTTTTTTGAGTTGCTAATAGCGATGGCCTCCAACCTAATAGCAATGGCCTCCAACCCACGAAAGAGGACTTTGTACTTCTGTAAAGAAGCAGAGAGTCGCTCAAACGGCTGTGGCTTCGGCGGATCCGGAAGCAACAGTTGCTGCTCTCACCACTGCGTGCGTGCGTGCGTCGCATGAGGACCACCCTGAATGATTTGAACACCTTCTGCACCATGCAGCGGATCCCAGGGGATCAATCGAAGCGGTGCGCGAGTCCACGTGAGGAGACCATCATGGTGAGTCGGGGGGGTCGACCTTCAGGCTTCTCATGTTGGTACGCCGGCCACCGAGACCCACATGGAACCTGGAAACCACGGGGTTGAGGAAAAATCATATTCCAGTCTGGTCCATGCCAAGCCCGGTTCCATGGCTTCCATGTCTTGGCCTAGCCTAAGAATCCAGCCCGACCAAGCCGGGTCATGGTGAACCAAAGCCCTGCAGTCTCCAACTCCACGTCCAAGCTGGTGTAAACCTGATATCAGCCTCCGTCTTTGTTCCTAGTAAGGCCAGGAGCCCCGTTCGCAGCGTCCGATCGCTCCTTGCACATGGCATGAGTTGGAGGGCTCCCATTTGGACAACTCACCAGTTTTGACCCACCAAAATCCCACAAAGCTGGTTCCTGGATGACCAAACCCACCGGCTTTTTGGTGATGTGAACGTCGTTTTTCCCACCGAGGCCACCCCACCACCGCGTGGCGGCTGGCGCCAGCCGGGTACGCTGGGTTGGGCGGACTGCTGCCTGGGACCCGTTGGGTTGCGCTACTAGGGGCGCTCCTGGCATTACTACCAGGAACAAGAAGCTATACTAGTATCAAGTGCCTCGCTGGTAGGGAAACTACCAGGCAACTACCAGCGATGCACTTGTTACTAGTAGCTTTTTGTTCCTAGTAGTAATGCCAGGAGGTACTAGTAGCGTCCTTGGGTTTAATGGCTTTCCTTGATAATTAGATTGCTGCAGGATGTGAGCTTGGCTGAGATTTTTGGATGAGGCCTGCAATTTGTGAATGCTCGCTGCTATTAGGTACAGTCAAAACCTGTTGAAAAAAGCAGTTCATTGATGGGGTTTACTGTACTCCCTGTACAAACAGGAGGTTTTTCATCCCCCTGAATTGGTGGCGGTAGCATGGTTGTTTGTTGTCGGGGCACGGGTGGTCTGAATCGGTGGACACCCGAGTCGAGTTCCTGTCTCGGGCTTTCGACTAGAAGCCGACTGTCACGGCCTTTGGAAGACACGAGGAAGGGAGGGAGATTGACCAGGTGAAAAATGGGCTGCGATGGACACCGCGATAGAGATAATGAGAGAGAGAGAGAGAGACCGCAGCTTGGTGGTGGAGGCTTGGAAAGGGGTCGGCAGGCAGTCCTTTGTTTGGGGGACCCCCACGTCCTCCCCGAGCGGTCTCCCTCCTTGTTGGCCGAAAGCCGGTCTCGTGGTCAGTTTGGGGTCTCGGGGTCTCTTGGGGTCCATGTTTCCACTCACGAGCTGACAGGTGATTTTGCACGACTACATGGATGAGTGGGGTGGTGAAAGCGTGACCGACACAGGCGCGCGCGTTAGTTGGGCCGTCGGTCCGAACGGAGCGGTGGAGAGGGTGTTTAGGCCCATCGCGGAGCGAAAGGAGCGAACTCGGACGCGCCTCTGAGCATGTTTTGTTGTCTCATGGATCGTTTAGACCGTAAGTCACACTTTCTGCAGCTGGGCATAGTCGCGTAGACTCTCGCTGGGCAGCCTGACAGCGAAACGGCAGAAGTCCCTCTGCCAGGCCCAAAGCATTGTTAAGACATGCAGAATGTTCATTACCCAGACACTCCATGGATGCCGTATATGCCTACATTGACCCGCCAAATCACCCAATGTAGGCATATATGGCATGCATGGAGTGTCTGGGTTATAATCTAGATCGAGTGATCTCTGACCTGGTCAGCTGTCGAGAAGGCCCTGTTTACTGCAAGAAGAGGCCCTGTACAGTAGTATGTTCTGCTTCTTCTGGATCCACCCCCCACAAACGATCTGGCGATGGGAGCTTGACATCTGGAAGAGAATGCTCACCATACATGGCCTTTCACGGCCTGGGTTGGTTGAATTTTTACTACAGAGAGGTATCGATGGCACCTGGATGTACCTGCAGGGCACCGAGCCCCTCCATGACATTCTACATATGCCCTTCCAATGGGCATCATAACGGCTCTTCTTCCAAGTGGGATTCGCTCTCCAAAGCATGTGCATGAGGGATGATCAAAATGCCAGCGTCTGGATCTGTTGTGCAAGTCCCACTCCTTTTTTTTAAGTCTTATTTTGGGATACACACCAAACAACGCCAAACACATGTTTGTTCCTCACCCATTTCCTCCCAAGTTCCAGTCCTGACTCCATTCCAACAGCCTTCCGCGGGTCATCCGCTTGACCGATCTTCTCTCTTCTGAGCCATTTGGGGTGGCACAGGGAGAACCCCCAAACCTTAAGATTCGGTGACACATTAATTTTATGCGCTGAATCGGTTTTACGAAGGATTTGACACCACGGGTTGACCATAGCAAACCAGGTCAACCATTTTTTCAAATGCTCTAAAACGGAAGGCTGTGGAACAATTCAGCCAGTCACCAAAAAACCACCAGTCTTGGAAGTCTCTAGGGCTCGCAACCCCAACAAAACCACTCTCGGACCGGTCCCCATCGCCTTTCCCGGCGTTTTTGCTGGGGGTCCTCGCTGGTCCTGGGCCACGGCCATCCTGAAGTCGTCCAGCTCCACATGAAAGGGCCTCCAGCTTGAAGCAAAGGAAGTTGCCTTTTTGGGATCACCGAAGGCCTATAGGTCGACCATATTTTATATCTTTAAGTGCAGTCCTGGACTGCCAGGTTACGAAAGCCAGCCTTCGTAGAAGGCGCCAGCTGAGTTGTGCTTGGCGAACCAAGTGAGTAGTTAGGGGGTCTGGGGGGGTGGCCCGCAAAAGGTACACGTAAACTCGGCACATGCTGGGGGAGGAGGGTGGACGGATGGAAGATTTTTTGAGGTTGTGTTGGAGGTAATTTTGAGGGGTGGTGATGCAAGAAATGGAACTTGCATCATTTGCATCATCTGAATGGTAAGGTGTAGTTGGCACCTTGCCAGGTATAGATACCCGGGGTAGCTATAGTGCGGTTACCAGGTATAGTACTTCAAGTTCCCTTTCCATCAACCGCTCGATAACCTTTCCACACACACACACACGGCAACCAGCAGCTTTGAAGTGTCATGCGCGCGATACCTGGGAACAGAATTGTATAACCTGGGTCCGTACAAATGCTATGTTGCTATACCTCTTACACACCTATATATGTTCAATGCAAGAATGAGACTTCAAAGCTGTGGATTGCTCTGCATGTGTAAAGGTCATCGAGCGGTTGACGGAAAGGGAACTTGAAGTACTATACCTGGCAACTGAATTGTAGCTACCCTGGGTATCTATACCTGGCAAGGCGCCAGCTGAGTAAGAAGGGGGGTTCGGGGGGGGTGGCCTGAGAAAGCACACTCGAAAGTAAAAACGCTGGCTTTCGTTTTGCAGCTTCTCAGGTATGAACCCTTTTTCCCAAGGTTGGACCTCATGGATGGGCAGACCTCGTAGACCTCATGGATGGTCCTCGTAGTCGTAGACCTCGTGGACCACGGCGCCACCGAACGACCCCAACTGTTGTCGCACTGCGGGTCGACCCGGCCTTGCCTCGTCCTCGTTTCGCGTCGCGTCGCTCGCGTCGCTGAGGTGGTGTCACCGATGCGCTGTACAACCCGACCGTGGGGGAGTTCTATACCGTCCCATGAACTCGGTTTTGGCGCAGTTCTCGCCGTTTCGTGGGGTTCGTTGGGATGGTGCTGTGCTTTCAGCGGCACCGTGGCACCGGCGAGTGAAAGCTCCCGAATCGAGGATTCTTTGATTTGGCGCTCTTAGGACCCAAAGCTCTGGGACCGGACTGACCAGCTCTCACCGTGGCCAAGAAGACTTGGGACTATGCGCTCAGGAATAGAACATGTTGGAATCCGGATTTGGAGCTGTTTGTGCTCTCAACTTGGCGGCGCCGCTGTTTGGGCCGAACCATTCGACTTTCAGGGGGTTGAACTCCGGAGACACGCGGGCGACCAGGTTTGACGCGACGTGGACAGATCTTTCTCCCATGGTCCAGGTTTGAAGCACCATCACCTGGAACCAACGGCATTTCACTCATTTCTCCCCAAAGAATGGTGCAAAACTTGTGGAATCTGCATATATATATATATATACATACAGTACTCGTTGCATCTTCTGGACATATTGTTCTTCAAAAAATGTATGTCTCGTGTTTTCAAGCCACCTTATATATATATATATATTGACATTTTTACCTAACATCATTTCTTGGCGGACTCTTCTTGTTGCATCTCGCCACCAACCAGCCCCAGCTTCGTGAAAAGCCGGATTAGAGCTGAATCCTGAAACATGACATAAATCCCGTGAGCACCACAATCAGGGCACCAACAAAAATGGTTTCAGTGCACCCGTTGGAAGACGGCTCTGGCATCTTTGTTTACGGCTTTGCCACTCCCTGAGGGTGTGGCAGGGCAAGGTGTGCCTTTTCCAAGCCCTTAGCACAGAATGCTACCCGACCAATTTTTCGGCACTGCTGATTGAGATTCATCCATCCTGCACCAACTCTGGGTGGGAGAGCCTGTGTGCAAATCCTGAGATACTTTGATCTCAAGCTCTGATGTGGTGCCTTTCGAGTTTTGCCTATCCGTGGGCATCATAGTTTTGGTGAGTGTTGCCCTTCGACGGCACAATCCGAATCAATTCACCCAATGTGCAGATCTGTGATTCGACTTGTTTTCCTTTTTACATCTTCTTACCTATCATACTGGCCACCTCACACACGACAACCGTGTTTGGTCTCACAAACCCGGGGTATCCATGTCCAGTTCCTGGACTGTCACGGTCCACGAGTCGTCTTTGAGGTCTCCAAGCAGACGGTCAAGACCTGGAACGCCAACACAGGAGCGGCCGGCCGTCTCAACGCTTCGACCGGCCTGAGACGACCATGTGGGTCTAAAGACTACCGTGCTGTGCATCCGTTTCGCCATGTGGCGAAGCTTTTTGGGGGGCCTGGTGCCCCCAACAATGCCAAAAGGGTGGTCATCCGGGCGCAACTTGAGGAGAAGAGTGTGTCTCTGAAACCGGACTGGTGCAAATAAAGAGAAGCGCCGTGGAGCACATGGCGCGGCCGTTTCGGTCATTCTCGAGCTAAACTGGCAAACCACGAGGTTCGACAGTCAACATCGTCTGACTCTGGGGGAGAGCGTTGGTTGTCGGCTTCACCGAAATCCAGCGGGTCGATCGCTGAATTTGGGCGGAGAAGCTCTGTGAAAAGTAGGGGCCGGATCCGACTGCGGGGGTCATAGTGAGGTCTTGATAGGGGCTAATGTGGCTGATGGGATGAACTTCTGCCATCTTTATTTTCTGTCCCCTATAGTGACCACTTGATTTGGACTGAGAGTTCCGTCAGCTGGCGGTCTTTTTCTCCTCACCTGCTAGAAGAACAGGAGCTCAAGCCGCTGGGCCGTTTCACGTCCCAAAGAAAAGAGATCTCGCTGCGGTCATACGTTGCAGGTGTTTTTGACCAACTGTGATGTATCATGATGGAACGTTTGAAACGTTCCACGTGGATACCTGGATGGCAGCACCCTTCCAGGATCGAAAAGGGAAGATCTGGCAGCACCACTGGTGTACCCTTCCTGGCCCGGTTAGTGATTCGACACCCTCGGTGACCGTGCGACGCACCCAGTGAAAGTCCAGCCGACGGAACGAGGAACGCGAGGAACGAGCGCTCCAGAAAGGCGGTTCACTTTGCCATGTGCCCATTGGGGGATTCAGGAATCCTATACCAGGGCCCCCTAAGGGGTGGTGAATGGACACCCCGAAAGCTCCCTGGTATACAGCTAGTGATGCTCTACCTCTTTGCCCTTCAAAATGCCATGTTTTTCAATTCAGCTGGAGAATCTACCAAGAACCGCCACTTTTTGTGGCCGACACAGGAACCACCGACACGCGGGTCACGAATTATGTGACGCGAGCCGGCGAAGTGACTGAGGCCTCAAGCCGACACGTCACCCTGAGTAGGTTGAGATGTCACCCCGGTTGTAGTCGTTACTTTTCCGTGGGAACAAAAAACGAGGGTCTTCTGTGGGAAAAACATGACCGCCATGCGGAGGAGTGCTCTTCAAGGTCTTGAGAGACATCACACAGGAGGGTCTTCTTGGCCGCCTTCTAGACGGTGAAGGGCGAAGGGCGAAGGGCTTCCATTGTTGGTGCGGGGGTGGTAGGGAGTGGCAGAGACTGGAGGATTTGAGTGGACATGTGCCGGGTCAGTCACCCGAAGATGTAGAAAAAACCTCATCCCCTAAGTTGATTGGACTCCAGTCTTCCGATGTGAATAGGTATGCCAGAGCCAAATGGTGGGTCGGTCAAGGACAGTTCGATGCTTGCATCCGAGCGCACCCCATTTCCCAGACATTACCGAGGGGACTAAAAAAAGAAGATATATATATAGATATATGCCTACAGTGAACCCAGGTCAGCCATCCCAATGTAGGTGTGTCTTGTTTGGGAGGATAAAGAATTGTACCCCAAAAGTCCTTCTTCCTCAAGTTCACGGGCCTGATCTGAGTTGGAATGTGACAGATTCAGAGAATCCTCTTTATTGGTTGTTCCCAGAGCTGGACAGCTTCTTTTCTGGGGTGTCATCCACTTCCATGGACCTCTCCACCAGGGCCAATGGTCTTCGGACAAATGGTCATCCTGACAGGGCCATGCCATCCACATAAACCATGAGGTTGTTCAGGGAGTGTACACTGTACACTTCTCAGGAGTTGACACCACCCACCAGAGAACTACTGGATTACGTCTCGCGTGCTGACCCTCTATCTCCCTGACCCTCTTGCAGGCGGCGCCCATCGGTTCATGGGGCGGTCAGGATGAGATCACGGCGGCCTGCGTGTCGGACAACGGCCGGAAGATCTACCTGGGCGATTCCAAAGGAAGGGCCACTGGGCCAAAGCATGTGGGCGGCAGGCGTGCTGAAAGAGGTCTCAGGTTTTTGACAGGGAGGTCAGTGAAGTGTGCGTTTTTGGGCACATCGTTTTTCACTTGGTCTGCGGTTCTGTCTCTCAAGCTAGACATTTTGAAGCTGTTTTGTTCATGGGTCATCTCGCCAGTGAGATGGACGAAAGTGATCGAAAGTGAGGTGTTGCAGAAAATTCAGCTCCGCAATGATTTCCCGGTTCCACTGCAAAGTGCTGATGTTCAACTTCCTGGCGGCTGCAGTCATGGATAGACAGGGAGTATGGAACAACCATGACCCGGTTCAAAGGTGGGTTTAAAATCTCCTTTCTATCTCATCGACCCGCATTGCCAGCATGGTAAAGTCATGTAAATTCATGATACTTCATCCTATACACTACAAACCGCTCCAAGCTGTCTCAGGCTTTTCTCGGACTGCCGTTCCGTCACCGAAACCGGCGATGCTTTCAGCGGGTCAAGTCGTCCCTCCGGGAGTCTTCCGGTCAGCTGGCAAATGGGGGCAATGGAATGAGTGGAAAATACCCAGGAGTCACATGTCGGGGTGTTTGTTAGTCCCTGTTCTGGGACTCCTGGACCTTGATGTTTCCTCATGGTCGCAGAAAACCCACAGGAATTAAAGCAAGAAAGAGGTGGAGTTGGGACATGCGCCGAGCCTCGATGCTTGAACTTCGACCTCAGTGCGGTGAACTTCTACCTGACTTCTCTGAACAAACTTCTCATCTGCATTCCAACCGCTTCAAAACCCGTGAACCTCCCCAAGAACCGCATCTCAGAAGGCCTAGGCCAAGGCCTAGGCCTGCCGGTCTAGGCCGGCCGTTGCCTTCGGGGCCGAGGTCCAGTCTTTTGGGCTGCAGAACGGTGCGCCCTTGAGCGTCTTCGACCAGCACCCCACGGTCCGCTGGGTCAGTCGGCGCAGTAGCGAGTGTTCTGCTTCCAGATGCCGGTGCGTGAATCTGCACCTGTCTAAGATGGGGCCCTGTGGTAGGTCATGTCATCTACTGGAATGCAGAGTAGGATCTCTCCAATAGCACAGGTTTTGCTTATCACTTCCCACAAGACCGTTGGGTTGATCTCCTTCGTGGTGACGAGTCAGGGCACACCGGGCACTCAGAGCGTTCCAACGCAACTCACGAGCTGGTCAACCCACGCAACTCACTTGTGAAGATTCTGGATGATGATATGGCAAGCCTTGCCTAGTAGATACCCAGGTTGAACCCCCAACGTCCTTTGAAGGGAAACACTTGTCCGGTACTGGACACTCACCAGTGGGTTGCCTCGAAAAAAGAATCACCGGGCACGATTTGGCGTGTAGTCAGTCATCCTTGAGCACCCTCAGGCTAGCCAACGGCCTGACAATAAGACCCTGAGCACCCTCAGCTTGTTTATACAGGGCTTTGCCGGACTAAAATCGAACTTCCTCGCAACTGTCATATCGAAACGTCGGGAAAAAGGCCCACGGGAGCATCTGTGCCGCATCTGGCGACCCGCGGCACCACGTTTAGGGTTTGGTTTAGGGTCCCGGGTGGATCTTCTTCACCTTTTTCGAGGTTCCTTGAAGCAAACCCAAGAAAGAGGACATATCATCTTTGCATGACCCCAAAACAGTTCGATCTGATTGCACCTGTGATTTCTGATCCTGGCTGTAACATGAAAGCGCTTCCTGTTTCAAGCTATTGCGATACCGCTCCCCAGACTGGCCAAACTGGTCCCCTTATTTCTTTTCTTTTTGGGGGGCGGGAGATAAAGCCACAAGTCACAAGAAGGGGCCCACCAATTCGAGCATTCTTTTTCAGGACTTGGTCTCAATATGGGTCTCAATATCTTGTTCATGTCGGTGTTCTTCTTGTCGTGTGGGTGTTTTGTGTTCGCTCTCTTCTCGGATGACCAACGAAAACGGATTGCTCCCTCGATCCCATGGGCGTTCCGTCGATTCATCTCCCGCTGCGTTCGCGTCGCTGCGGGCGAACCCTGCGCAGGACATCTCTTGCCTCACCATCTGGAAGGTCCGCTCGGGTCACGGAGACGAGCACGGGATGGAGCATGCAGCATGGGATGGTCATCAATGGGCAGGACCTATAGGATGAAGTGATGAAGTCCTTGGGCCCTTGGAGTGGAGATGGACATTGGCAGGTCAGGAGCTGATAGCTAAACAGAGCTGTAAACAGAGCTGTTCATCATTGTCCGGTGGCTTTTCGGATGTTCTCTGAAGACACCGCCCTTATGGTTTTAGAGGTTTTGAGACGTCGACGACACCGAGATCATGAAACAGTCAAAAAACGGCTTTGCACCTGGACACTTCAAGAGCGGTGTTTTTGTTTTTGTCATGTGCCCCACAAGCACCTGACCCATTAAAAACCTGGTCCTGAACACCCCTAGACAGCAGGATGCCTTTCCAGCCCCAAAACAGGTTCAACCAGGTCTCACATCAATGATGACAAAACCTGCGTGAAAAGAACCTGGTGAGCTTTCCAGATGGTCCGGCGTCACTCAAAGTCGATGTCGTATTGAAGAGCAGCTCACACCCCAGTGGAGACGCAATGAACATCTCACATGGGATTGTTTTGGGCCGAGTTTGGATCCTTTTCACGTGCGTCTCATGTAACAAACACACCAACTGAGAACCTCACCTCGACCCGATCCAACAGGACACTCTCACCTTCGCCACCCCTTGTGGTGGACCACCAAGCCTTTACCACCTCGCCTTCTCGCCTTCGCCGAACGTGCAGGGGACGAACAAAGTCTTCTCCTCCTCCTGGGATGGGACGGTCGCTCGGAGCTTCTCCCGTCCTCGTGGGTGGCGCGCGCCACGTGCGGCGCGCGGTGGGTGGCGCAGCTGGCAGACTGAGTGAGGGCAGGTACCGTGAGTTTCGGTGCAGGTGAGAGTGATGTTTGACCTTACCCAGACACTCCATGTCTGTCATATGATCAGTTGACCCCTCAAACCACCCAATGTAGGTAAATATGGCATACATGGAGTGTCTGGAAGACATGGATTGAACCACGTGGGTTAATCCCAAAGAATCCATAGTCGGGCCCGACAACTTCGCGTTCGGACCTTCTCCCTCGTTTTTGCAGGGAGAAAACGGACTCCAAAACCTATGTATTGCTGAAGGGACGTGGATTCTTAGGGAAGAGTCTATAGTACTATAGTAGGCTGGAGGCCATCGCCATTAGGTTGGAGGCCATTGAGATCCATCGAGTCTATATTACCCTGTGTGTGGGTTCCACGGAGGGGCCAAAGACTGCTTACCACCTTGGTGGATGCGCTTCACGGTGGTGCAAGACTGGATTGCCAGTGGCCATCGACCTTGCCACCTCTTTTTCGTTCTTTTCACTTGCACTTTTTGTGGTGAGTGATGTATAGTGATGTGTGTTGAGTTATGATTCTGATGGTGCAAATTGAAGTCACTTCCATGCCTTCTAGACCTAAATCTGGTGGCTACTCCATAGTGGCTACTCTCTGAAGGTAGGTTTGAGGTAGAGAGGGGAGGCCCCACTGTGGTGGTGTCGAATAGTCAATCAGGGTGACACCGAGGTAGATCTTCCATTTTGCAGATGGTGTGGGATGTGGGTGACTTTATGCCTTTCCCTATATATAGTTAGTCAAACATAGCTGTGTGCATCATAAATAGCTGAAACGGAGACTAGCCGCCCTCGCTGGTACATTTGCGCAACCATGATTCAGTCCCGAATTTTGATGGCCGAAGTACTTAGACCTCTTCCCAAGTCGCTTTTCATCCACGTCCCACCACCCGGAGCGATAGAGAGACGTTTCGAGACGTTTCGCAGAGAGACGTTTCTCCGCTTCGTTCAGGTGAAGATCCACACCGATGAAGGCTCTCGCTCTCCACAGCTGAAGGCTCGAGCCGAGCCGCCGACCCGAGACAAGCTCGCTGGGCGTCTCGACCCGGGGCGGAGCGGTACCGGGGGTCACGGGGGTCGAGCAGTCGGGAGTCGGATCCGGGACGTCGGATCTGGGACCTGAACTCTATGTATTGGTTCGGGCGATGCTGAAGGGGCGTTTGATGGGAGGTGCATGGGATTTTGAAGGGTTCTCAACTCCGAACCAACAAGAGGCTGAGTGTACCGTTTGATTTCTGGGTTTCTAGGGAGCTTGGGTTTCTGTGTTTTTCTGGGTCGAGCTGAGCTGGGGACTCACGGTGAAGGTAGAGAATGGGAACTGAAGCAGAGAACACCCAAAGCGCATCTCTTCAACCAAAAACAACCAAATGTGTCCATGTGTCCTCGACTGGTCCAAGAAATTTGGGAAGGTGAGTCTGACCTGACTGTCAGATCAGGGGGAGTGAGGATCTGTTGTTTCATGGTTAAAGCTGTCCTTGTGCTCGTTTCCTGCCCTGCATTTCTGCATTTCCCGCTCCAGGAAATTCTATAGCCTACTAGATTTAGGAGACTGGTACAGGAAAGATTCAAGACTTATGTTCAGCTTCTATGTTGGTATTGTTGCTGGTGTACTCCACAGGAGTTCTGCAAGCAAGTCCAGGCGCATGATGCGCATGCATTTCGCTCGTTCCGTTCGCCGTCCCTTCTTTAGGCGGAGTTCAAGAACCACCGGGATGGTGTGACGTGCCGCTTTGGATGAGATTTGGAGGGAGATGATGTGTTTGTGGCCAAACTTTGAATCTGAGAATCAAAAGACTGCCCGAAGTCCAGGATGACTGTGGCAATATATAGTCTTGTGCTTCGTTTTCTTCATTTGAACCATCTTCTCTGCCTAGATGTCAGCGATTCATCACAGATGAGACCCGGTTCGGTACACTTCTGCCGAGCTTCATAGTTCGCCAAGGCTGGTTGGCAGACATGTTGCATAGGTTTTTCAGATCGTGCGGTATGAAATCCAGTCCAAGAACCGAACATTTTCCGAAAGACTCTCATCCCCATACACTCCATGTATGCCATATATGCCTACATTGACCCCTCAAACCACCCCAACTGATCGGCATATATGGCATACATGGAGTGTCTGGGATCTGTGAATCGCTCCTGGCGACATCTCCTCATCTTCGCTTCGTCACTGCGCGGTCTTCCGCCTGTGAACGGCTGATTTGCTGGGTTGGCCGTTCACGGAAGGGTCATTCGTTTTTGATTCATGGCGGGATTTGTTCCAAGGAACCGCAACCCTTTCCACCACCGAAAGCCAACGAACGCTTAACGTCCTTCCTTTTTCCTTGTGGCGTTCGGACGACGCGTTCTGTCGGCGTAACCCGTTCTGTCGACGTAGCCCGGCGCACCGAACGCGTCGGATCCGCCAGCCCTTTCGACTCGCCGAGGCCTTCGGTGTTCGCCCGAGCTGTTGCTCTTCGCCAGCGGCGGCACGGACATGCAGGCGCCGCGGGCGCGCGACGTGGAACGACGCCCGCGGGGAGGACTTCGGGAGGCGACGCCACTTGCGGAGTGCGGCGTCGAGACGCAGAGTGAATCCGAAATGACGTTCTTCTGGAGAGACTAGGAGAATGTAGAGGGACAGGGCCGAGGAGACTAGGAGAACTTCGGTTCGGGAGAAGGCACGCGCAGAGGCGCATGCCATACCCAATATGGTGTAGGATTGAAGGGTGATTCTGACATGTGAGGTGGATTTCCTCGCGACAACCGCATGACATGCTTGAAAGTGGTTTTGCTGGTATATATTTACAACTTACAGTATTAGTCACCATGTTCTAGTTGTTTAGGTATAGATGAGCCCACATGTGACAGGGAACTGAAGTTCATCGAAATTCCATATCCTTTTTCCCCAAGCACTACTCCCAGCAACATCAAATCACAAGTTTTGTATATCCATGTTGGATTTATCTCCGGCAGTTTTGCAAATACTATACCGTCCCCTGGTCAAATGGCCCCCCCACGCGGTCAGAGTTCTTTCCGACAGTGCCGGTCTTCAGACACACTGCACAATCTATGATGTCGGACCGATTGGCCGTTTGGCCCAATGGGTGCTCCATCTTCCCTCCAGTGAGGTCTGTCTAGTAGTAAGGACAGGAGCCCCTAGTAACGTCCTAATTTTCCATCACACAACCCCCTTTCAATACATGAGCAAATCACTGGTCCAAGACCATGGTTTAAACACAGGGTGGACCTGGTGTAGCGTAAAATCCTTAGAAACAAAAAAAATGGTAAAAACAGGCACAAAACCATTAAGTTAATGGTCAGGAAGCCAGGGGACTCTTGATGATTTTTCAACCCCTACGTCGAACGCCAATCTTGATTCATCAAAGGTCTACGTGACCAATCTCCAGCTTTCAAGGTGTTTTGAAATACAAGGCCCTTTGAAAAAAGAAAACACTCAAAGAGCTTCAATGAGCTCGAAGGCTCCTGTTGCTGCTCAGGTGGTGCTTTATGACTTGAAAACCATGAAGTACGAGAACGTCCGGCAGCCGAGAAAAGCACCACCACTGCGCCCAACGCGGCCCAACCACGACATCCGCCGGAAGATCCACGCCATCCACGCGCAGGGCTCCGGAACGGTCGCTCGAGGATTCGGTTGACCGCACGATGGCGGGAACGGTCGGTGCGTTTTCAGGTCCCTGCGAACGGCAGGTCACCGGGGTTTTCGAGGGACGGCCGCTTCTGGGTCCGCGTTTGAAGCCGCTTCAAAGGTCAGGACGGCGGCGCGGCGCGCGGTCCGATCCTGGCTTTTTCTTTCCGATCTTTAATCCCTTGGCATGTTTTTTTTTTGTGTTTTTTTTAATCCCTTGGCTGTGCAGCATGTTCTGGGCAACCCATCCAAAGGATGTTGTTTTTCTCTTTTCGATTCGATGCCGGCGGCGTGAGCACGCAGAGAGTCGAGGGTAGGTGAAGCCCGAAGAAGGCTCCTTTGGTCTGACGTTGCTGCTTCGGTCTAAAGAGGTGACACAACAAATATAGGTCTGACAAAGATTCCACGGTGAGACCACCGACCTTGAAGGCATTTGTGTCCAAGGAAAAGTGACGTCTGTGTTTTGAGATAGGAAAGAAGGACGTTGTTCTTTGTTTTAGCTGGCCACCAGGCCATGTTCCGGGCCACAGCAAACTATAGTATCCTTCACAGGACCGACTTTCGAAAGTAAACATGTATTTTTTCATTTTTTTTCCTAAGACACAGACACATGACACACACATGTATGATTTACCGGATCTCTTCCCCCCAAAATCGGGAAGAACCCTGCCCTGTTGGGAGAGAAAAAAGGCCAACCGACACACCGCATTAGTTCCGCACACACCGATCCAGTTCCGCCGACCCAGGCCCTGGCGCGCTTTCAGCACGTCATCGCCCGGCAACCCCGGGCCGATTCGCGGAGCTGGGGGTTGCGGTAGATGTGGAGCTGGAAGACATGGCAGTGCTTTTGGAAGAAATGTGTCGTTTTACACGAAGCATCCTCAAAGAACCACGACCTTCTGCTGTTTTGTTAGGGGTTTCTTGCTATACCCAGACACGACACATGGAACTGCCAGTGCGGACTGCCGATCAGTTGGCCCCCCTGGCACCACCACACCAACTGATCGGCAGTCCGGACTGGCAGTCCCATGTGTTGTGTTTGGGACACGTTGTGTTACAATCATTGTCAGTATCAGGAACTTCTGTCTTGCTGAGCAATCGTTTTTCGATCTAACATCGGCCTCTTTCGGCGCCAGCCTTGGTCGTCACTTTGTCAAAAGGGTGGTCTTTTTTGTTTTTTTCAGTCGGGGGCCGGGAGTTTTTAAATAGTTTCTGGAGAGGTACGACTTTTAGGGTTAGGGAAGTTCAATCTGTTCAATTCCTCTCGCGTTTTGACCATTTCCCATCACTCTTAGGCTTATTGTCACTACGAACTGTTGGTCTTCAGATTCCTGCGCGGTTGTTGGTCCCACATGAGGGTACGGCCTGGTTCATCTTTTTTCTTTTGCGAGGATATCTAGTTTGTGCTCGGATACATGACAATCATCACCCCTTTGACTCACCCACATGGAGAATAACTTTTGTCTGGAAGCTTCTTGCTACTAGTAGTAAGGTGACTTGTTACTAGTAGCTTCAGCTACTACTAGCAATGCCAGGAGCTACTAGTAGAATCTTGCTAAGATGATGGTTACGATGATTTTCCTTTGCTTTTCCCTCAATTCACGACCACTACACGCTCTGCACCATTGACAACAGAATCGATTGGTGGAGACAGAAGCAACAAACATGCCAACACACTCGGAACGAGTTCATTTATGCAAAAGAAGATTGTTCCCCTACTAACGATTACTAATGCTAGTTCTAGATGACATTGGTTGTGGAGGTGTGCAACATGCACACCTGACTGGTTTTGTCATGTCTAACGACAGAGTCACGTGACACTAAGGACACATGTCTCCAGACTAGGCACCAGACTTCCTGAAAGCACCAGAAATACTCTCGGAACTAACATGGAAATGGAGTTCACCACCTGTTTGTAGTGGATTTCATGGTCTTTTTCGGGGCCATGCCATGGCATCGAACCATGTTAGTTCCAGAAATACGTAGTTCTAGACTCGTTTGGATCCGAGGGTGCCACCAGGTCCTTCTTCATGTCGGTTCCGAGGCCGCGGTGGATTTCTTGCCCAAGCGCTGCTTGCTGATTGTGGCAGACCAGGCAACCAACACGCGTTTGCTATACCACATGGCAAACGAAAAAAAGGGGCCAGAAAACATGACGTATGATGATTTACACATGGCATGAACGGATCCATACCGGTATATTATGCATTTGTTTTCTCATCCTATGTACAAGATCATATATCCTTATCACTGCCCCTTTTCTAAGCGGCGTCGGACGTTTCTTGGTCCAAGTTAGTTTTGTGGTGCAGGAGTCTTTTGAGTAGGATTGGCTTGCAGGCTTCAACGCACGCAACTCAACATCTGGAAGTCCTAGCTTCGCAGCCTTGTTGGTGCTTGCTTGAGCGTGTTTTTTTTTTGGGTCGAACGGATCTTGCCAGATGGTTCGCACCACACAGGCCGAGTGAAACGTTCCGAGGGCCGCGAGACCCGACGCCGTGCCGTGACCACCCGGTGTTTCCTCACCGTTCGCCGACCGAGCAGCGTATACGTTGTTTTGGGCGCCGTTCTTCGTGCGGGCAGGTGCCGAATCAAAGACGAACCGGAGAATCCATACCTGGATCTTCAAGTTGGAAGAAATGCAGAAATTCTGCACAGTTGGAAGATCTAGGTATTCCCTCAAATCCCCCTACGTGAAGCGAATGCTTAGCTCCCGACTCTAGGCCACCGCGAACCCATCCCGCGCCACGAACGCACAGGGTGGACATCTCTCCTTCTGGCGGATGCGGCCGCACCCAGAACAGTGGACTTGCATCTTCCACTTCAGGCGGGCAGCGAGCCGCTTCCGCCGCGCGAGCTTGTGCGCGCAGCTTGGACAGCGCAGCGACGATAGTGTCTTTGCAAGGGGAAAAGAGTCAAAAGGGCCCAAACACAAGTCTTCCCTTTCACATGATAGTAGACTTAAAAAGTGAAGATGTGACTTAACTCCTCCCCTTGGTTCCTTTCTTGGCTCCAAGCGACTTCCAGATGGGCCTTGTCAGACGGATTTCATACAAGAAATGGGTGACACAGGCGCGCGATTCTGCTCCTGGTTTTGACACCCCAAAACTAGAAGATCCACACTTCTTGCACCAGGCACCCGGAGAAAAAAACACGCCGATTTGTAGTTGAAACGTCGCGATTCGCCAGTATAAGTAGCTTGGTATGAATGCTGCACTCTTGAGACTCTGCGTGATTCGCCAGTAAGTTTCTTCACAGCACCAAACCTCACAGCAAATGCACCTGGTCTCTGTCGCACTTCATGGGTTCATCATGCTGCCTAAGGTACCTTTTTCACACAAGACCTTCGCAGTAAGTGCACACCTGTCTCCATCCTGCTTGGTGGTGCTTCTGCAGGCAGTTCCTCACCTCATAGCACAGCTTTTGATGGGAGAGTTGCGGAACCGAGTTCGGCTTGGCAGTTATCCCCCATGTAGCGCCAAGGCCTCTGATACTTTTTCAAAATCCACTTCACACGAGGATGGCTTCGGCGATTTCCTCCCATTTTCTACTCCTGACTTCCTGACTTCCTTGCTTCGGATGGCTTAAGCTGCACACTCCCCCAAAAGAGAGCATGGAAGCGGAAAGACCTGGTTTCTTCGACCACTTCCCTGTTTGCATCCCCCCCGTGGTGGAACACGTCACACCAACGCGACTGGCCATCCACCGTGACCCAGCCAGCGTGCAGGAACCTGCCGATCATCAACGGTGTCCTGCCCAGCGTGACCGAGGCGCCGTGGTCGACCGGTTCGAACGAAGCGCCGTCCGTGGAGAAACGTGGGTTGGCCTGAACCGGAGATCCGGAACCGGCCGAACGGGTGAACGGTGCGATGTCTTTTCGAACCGGCCCGGCAGGTTCGGTCACCGGAACTCCCAAGGTGTTGGGATGGTCCACGGCGCGTGAGACATGAAACATGAGACATGAGACACATGAGGACTCCCTACAACAGACAAGTCTTGCCCCCCCACGGAGTCCTCGAGTCGCTGGGGGTATCCATAGTCCCCAGTAATTTGGAGGCCTAGTTAAAGTTGTCGGTCCATCATCCTCCTGTGGCACGGGCCGTGTTTGCTCTCACGGGAGTTCCCCGGGTGCCAAGGGCGGTTCGACGTCTTGAGGTTCGAGCTTTAGCAGGAACTACTGGAGCTAATTTGTTTGGCACAACAGGTGAGCACCGCAAAAACCCTCCCAAGATGCACTAAGTAAAGGCCTAAGTAAGTATGGAACTTGGGTTGAATCATATGTATTTTGCAGAGCTCAGGGGTTCATTTCTTTGGAGTACTGAGTGGTTGCAGGACAAGCCACCAGCAGGAGTGGAGCAAGAAGGATAGGGTGCCCCCTGTGATAGGTTCTTTTCTCTATCTGCCCTATGGAAGTTCGACGATCTTTTCACCCGCTGAAGTCAAGGATCTTGTTCTCTTCCTTTGATGAGCGAGCGGGTCACCTTCTAAGACCACCCTTCATAGTCTTTGATTCCTCAGGGTCTATGTTCCCTTCGTAGGCTTCTTGCAACGTCCGCCACGCCGGGTCCTCCGGGTGCTGCCCAGATGCCGCCGGCGGCGCCTGCGGTGCCCGCCGGACAGCTCGGGGGCGGACTGGACTACACCAGAAACTCAACGAGGGACACGGCAAAGCACAGGTTTCACTTGGCCAGACTGGACTTGTAGGGCTCCAAGGGTCGTGATCCACGATTAGATGGTTCGCATCTGTGGTCTCTCCACCCCCTTTCATGGGCTATTCTACTCTGTAGCATCATCCAAGGTCCACGACTCATCGTTTCTCTACTTTGGCACCATCAATCCTCCCAGAGCTCTGTCATTCACGGTGCTCAAGGGGGCCGCTTTTCCACGTCCTGTCCTTTTGACCCGCAAGGAAGCGCCTTCTTTTTGGTTTCTTCTTTTTGTTTTCTCTGTCGTCAGAGGGTTCTTAGTAAGTTCCAAGGGTCCAGAGTCCAGCACCCCAAAGGGATCACTCCTTTTTTGTTCTCATCCTTTGGATCCTCCCTGCGACGTCCGGTCCTGCTTTTTCTTTTTTTTCTGAGCGTCAGCGTCCCAAACCTGAACCTTTATTGATTGATATATACCAGGAACACAAGAATAATGTATTGGACTCTTCTATGATTGGCACAAGCCTGGAGCTCTACTGCTGGCAAACCTGGTCCATGGATGTCCATGGCGACAGTCCGGGAGACCAATTCCCTGCATCCCAACGAGGGATCCGATGTCGTCGCTTCACCAAGTGGGTCGGGGCCAGGGGGGTCTCCCTAATTCAAGAGATACAGCATTCTTGTGAACAGGTCATAACGCATCAAGGATTGGGTGAACAAGTCCTGACACGCAGAAAAAGCTGCAGTTCCTGCACGCACATATTGGCGACGACCTTCTGAGCAGCAAACATGAAGCATCACGACCTTCAGATCAACCCTTGGCCGACACCCTTGGCCAATAGATCGAATGGCAATCCCAGCACACACAGCACACACCCTTCTTATTTTAAGCGAAGGCTTTGAGACCACGAGGCCAGGTCGAGGCTATAGGGCCGGCCCATCAGCCGTGGTCAGGACGGTAGGTTTGGAACGCTTGAACGATTGGATCGCGAAGGATTTGAGACCACCGGTGACAGGTCTTGAAGGATCTTTTCCTACATTCTTTGGTTGGGATGGTCCCAACCTTCAGAACATGTCGGAACACCGGCGTTTCGTCACCACTAGATCCACCACTGACCTCCGCCCAGGTCTGCGCTTTGCGCGTCTCTGAAGAGCAGCTCTCACTCCCGTCTGAGGACTCCAGTGGCGGGCGACGCGTGTGGGGTCGTTGGGGGTCGGACGGAGGGTTCCGCGGTTCCCGTCAGGACTGGTGGCACCGGTGGTGACATGGGGCCGAAGGTGAAGCACTGGCTGAAACAGAAACCAGCTCAGCCCATCAGCCATGATCTCACAAGAAGCATGCCCACGGCAAACATTGAGCTGCTTCCGTGGAACATGCCGTCGACGGAAGCAGCTCCCGTTCTTCTTAGTACCTAGAATCTGGAGTGACGTCTAGTTTACCAAGCCACCCGGCAACTGGGCCCGGTGCTTCTCAAAGCAGGGGTCATGTCTGGGCTCCGGGTACCCCAATCTCTAGTAGATGAACGAGTAGGCTTCGGAGCTGCTATGGGAGCCTGGAGTGAGTGGTGCAGTGGCGGAGAGTCTGTTCGTCTTCTCCAATTTTCCCATGTTTGGACTAGGTTTAAGACTCGAATCAGAACACTCTTGAACTGAACAGCCCATGGGTTTGTCATGGTTTGTCAGTGCCCAACTTCCCCAGAACCAGCTGAGGTCCCGGGCGTCCGGCCTTGAGGGGTCAAACAGTAGGCGTCTTGGCCAGGGCCAGGCCATGACTCCATGACCCAGCTCAACACCCACAGCCATGGTCAATACTCGGTCATGATAGAGATTCCTACGATGGGATGGATGTCCATCAATGTCCATCATCTATAGCATATTATATTCATAAGTATTGACCATGGCTTACATGAACTACCATCCGGCCCCCGCCATGACTGCCATGACTAGTCTCGCCGGGAGCGTTTTCTTTTTTTTCCCTCGAAGCCTTGGTTCGAGGAGGGCGGAGAGGAGGAGATCATCGAGCCTCCCTTGATCTACACAGCAGATTCTAAAGGCGGGTCGAACAGGTGAGGAACGAGGCCAAAAAGATTCACCAGCTGCGCTGCTGCGCAAGCTGCTGACAGCTTGAACAACAAGTCAGAGAGCAAAAAATCAGATCATCCACAGTTGATCAAGTTGAATGGCTGAAACATATCTGAGCAGTTCAACTTACATGGATGTGTTCTGACAACACGGTGGAAGAGCTCAAACCAAACTCATCCTCGTCTTTCTTCCACTTTCTTCAATGTCTCCCAACATTTGGCTTCAGGGAACATCCATCTAGATGTCACCCATGCTTGTCACACCACACCCCCCATTTCAGGATGGGAATTTCCAGCTTCTTCATCCCGGGCACTACGCTCCCGCCTACGATGTTTTGAGAACCTCGTAAAACCTCCGATTCGTTTTCACGAGTCTCTCATCGACGCCAGCGACGGGTGGACGGTCTCAGGCGTCCTGCGTGTGTGGACGGTCTCTGCCATGCCACTGGGCCGACGCAGCGACAGCGACGTGGTGCGTGGTCGACTGAACCTCCTGATAGTCCTTGGTTCATAGTCTAGGCTATATTTGAGTTGGAGGCCATAGTTTATACTATAGTCCAGGAATCACTGGGCATTCAGAAGACTGGAATCTTCAGACATTGGAAGAAGAATGTCAGTATCTATAAATCTGCGAACTGTGCAAAATTACAGCCAACCTTGGCTGGTTTTCTAGATGAAAAGGCAAAAGGCATCCTTTTTGCACTGTTGGAAGATCGACAGGTAGATTTGTTCGACCGGGTGCTTTGTTCGATGATTCTTTCGACGCCGTGGACTCTGGACATGGACATCATGACTGAACCTAGCATGAAACGGCATGAGATTCCAGTGCTTCCCTTCGATTCCAACGGCATGATCATTCTATTTTATAATCTCATAGGCTTTGTGAAAGGCCCATACTACATTACCACACCAGGTCAACTATTTTTTTAAGTCGAACTGAGGGCAACTGGGCTTGGTCACCTGCCAAGATTGATTCGAGTTCATGGCTTCTACTGTATATAGTATTTTGTAGCAGACTGGATCATTCAGTCTAGAGCTAGGCACCAATACCAATTGACGGTCGCTGCGGTGTTCTCGTTGGGTGAACCAGATAGAATGAAGAAAGAATATAGGGACCCTCAAAACAATAAGGGTATCATAAGTCTTTCTATTCCTGGACCTGTCTGGATAGAGAAGCCGGATAGCAGTGGGCTGGGTTGTCCAGTCAGGACACCCAGGACGGATGGCATCGGATGGTATGGTTTGTTGCCCAGACTTCATTTGTATGATACACTAACCCTCCCTCCAAACAACTAGGAGCGATCGGACGCTACGAACGGAGCAGTTCGGGCATCGCGACTCGAACGGAGCGTTTCGGGCATCGCGACGGGGCCAGGCTCCTGGCCTTACTACTAGGACCTCCCTCCAGACATGAAAGACGAAGAACGTGCGAAACAGATACGGACGGCCAGAGCAATCAGGTTCTCTGTCGAGGGGGATGCGTGCTGAGGTCTTAAGAATCCAGGTGTAGTGGTTCCCAAATAGATAGTGGCCCTGTTTCCAATTCATTTGGAAAGGGATGTATTCTTTCTATATATTTGGGGATCCATACAGACTCTTGATGATATTTCCAGGTGAATTTACACAAAAAGCTTGACCTTGTAGGACTGAACTTTGAAACGACGCTCTCAAGCTTACAGGGGCAGCGTATGGACTCGGCTTTGGCCCTTTTTCGGTTCGTCCACCTGGGGTTGTCCTCCAACCTCTACGGCCTCGCCTGTCCTTTCTATTGCTCCTCTCCTGGATTTGGTGGACTTTTCGCTGCCTTTCTCTTAGGCTTCCTCGCTGGCCTTGTCACCTCACGGTGCTCAACCTCCATTTGTCCCTCGCTCTCCAGAGCGAACCCTCTCGCGACTTGAGAGGTACTTGCATGAGAGCCACGGCCGAGGGTCCTGAGGTGGTGGAACTTGACATTCAGTTCGCAGGCCTCTCGATCACCGTGAGGGGGCCGCCATCTACAGCTGCTGACTTTGTCCAGCAGATCTCTGGCAACCATTCCGGCTCTACCGCATCTGAGACTCAGCCTGCTTCTCCGTATCAGGCTGCTCCTCTGCCTTCCGCTGCTACTACATCCGGGACCTCCTCTACTACACGATCGCGGCCTACGTCCGTCTTCACTGGAGAGACTCGATCCAGCGTGGAGGCTTCTTTCGATCCTTGTCCGGCCAATTGGATTGGCGCTGCAGGATCAAGGCTCACTGGATCTCGAACCTCACCTACTGATCGAGCACGTAGAGCTTGGAAAGCAGGTCAGTGGGCAAAAGCGGTTCAGCAGGGCAGAGTCTTCCCAACAGGGTGTGGTGTGTCGTTCGTGGCCCTGAAGGAGGCCCTCCTCGCCTCTTCCATACCTCAAGGGACTTCTTCGCCTGCGTGGGCGACCTGGCCCACAGCCATACGATCTGCCACGCATTCCCATCCGAGACGGAGGCACGCATCTACTTTGAGGGAGCTGGAGTTTCTTTCCCGGCCTCTTCGTAGATTCAATGGCGGAAATGGGCAAGTCAGAGTTGCAAGAGGAATTCAGCGTTTTTGTCCTCGAACTCCCAGCCGGAGACACACCAGAGGAAGGCACTACACAGGCGCTGGCTCTGGTGGTACTCAGGAGGAGGAATGGTCTTTTGTTAGCTGTGCTTGTGGGCTACTTCTCGGAGGAGGTGCTTGCAGAAGGGCTCGTAGCTACTTCCGATGCTCAAGTCGGACAATCTATGCCTATGACTCTCCCGGCTGGGGAGATGTTAGATATCAGTTCAGGAGAGCCTCCATCCCCTTTGCAAGATGCAACGGTAGATCTTGTGCTGGTGGATGTGACAGCAGATATTTGGGACCATTTGATTCCCTTCAACTATCAGCACTACGATTTGCAGGCACTGCACACTTTCAATGCAGATCAGCCGCATATGCTTCCTATGGCAAACGAGTTGACCGCTGCAGCATGGGCTTGGATCATGGACCCCAGCTCAGGGGAGAGAGTGGGCTTCTATTCCGCGCAAGAGGAGTTTCCAGGCACACCACCTCGCACTCCGAGGGGAAGGAAGTCTCCAAAAGCAAAAGCAGCACCTGGCACTGGAGGAGGAGAAGGAGAAGCAAAGCCGGATGCCAAGAAGGGCAAACCTACTGTGGCCAGTTTGGCCGCTGTCTTGGAGGGGGTGTCAGCAACCCTCCCTCAGATCATGTCAGAGCTCAAGACCCTCAGGGAGAGAGCAGATCTTATGGAGGGACAGATCACCACCGGGACATCCCGACCATCAGCATTGCGACAGCCTCTTGGCAACTTAGCTACGACTGGATCCTCGGGTGTTGCAAAGGATTTGTCTGGCCTGCTGCAAGAGATGCCACCTCCTCGAAGTTCGTTGACCCGGACCCCTACCAAGGGCAGTGCAGTTTCCTTCGCCACTCACCACTCGGCCATCAAGGATTCCGGGGAGCTCGAGAAGGAGAAGTTGGAGGAGGAGAGAAACCCAGACCTGACTCGGGCTATTTTGGCTCACTCCCAAGCTCTTTCGACATTGGTGACCCAGATGGCTACAGGGGACTTCAGTCTGGACTCTGGACTCTGGGAGCGGTATGGGCAAGGCCGTGCCAAGCTTCAGCAAGAGCTGGCCCTACATCGAGGAACCTTCTTCAATTCGGTCTTCAGCTCCATGGCCCGAAGAATGCAGCCTGCTCAGCCAGCAGACCTCCCTCCTACGGAGCTGGGCCGGCGTGGAGTCACTGCCTCTCTCTATGTGGAGCGCTTCGGTGGCTTCGGACGGTCCCGGGATTTGGGCATATTATGTGGCAGGTGGCGCTGATCCTCGACCACCTTCAGAACGAGAACATGGGGGCTGCGAAAGATGGTGTTGCTCTCCTTGCAGTTTGCCTGGAGCAGGCAGCTCTGGATGCAGGTCGGCTGGACATCGGCCTCCTTCTCTCCCTGTAGGAGGATCCCCCCACAGGGGTTTTCACGAACAGAAGCCTGGCAGGCTACTCGAGGGGGAAAGCATTTGCTCCCTTTGCAGACCAAAAGTGGATCGCCAATGCACTCAGCTACATCAAGGAGCTCGACCTCATTGCCTCAAAGCGTTCAGATGCAACTTCAGGGAGACCTCTAAAAGAAGATGGGGCCACAACAGGGGCCCCAAAGAGAGCCCCGAAGAAGCCGGCAAAGGGAAGCTGGAAGAAACAACAGTCACCCTTTCAGGAGGAGGCAGAGCAGTGATCCCTGGTGCAGATGAGAAGGCTAGTGTGCTGAAGAGGGGAATTTTGGAGCTTGATGCAGTCGAGCTTTCTACAGCTACCTCAACCGTTCCAAAAGTTATGGCTGCTTTTCCGAGATGGATATTGACAGCTCGTACACCTTTTTCTCGTTTCCTTGCACGAAGTTTTCACCTTCATCCTGGGGAGACATCCTCAGATTCCGTGGTATTTCCGCTCCCTCTGGCTGACTTTGGCCTATTTGTGAGAAGCGGCCCCAAGCTGTCAAAAAGGAGGTGGCTCTGCCTCCTGCGGAAGAGAGTGTTGCACATTGTGATAGTTGCTTTGAACTATGTTCACGGAGGTGCAGTACTACAAGATCTCTCTTTGCTTGGGAGACGCCCGAACAAAGTGCAAGCGGCTGCTCATCGGCGGCTATGGGCGTTGATTGCTACGTGTGATTCTCCTGGCGCTGAGTTTGTTTTGGTGCCAGGAAGGTCAGTCCTGAATTCATTGCTCGGCTGTCGGAGCTGGAGTCATTTGTGAGTCGTCCAACGCCTTTGACGATGACCCCTACACTGGTGGACCGAAGGACTACCAGAATGCAAAAGTGGGGGAGATCAGTTGTGACCCCTCCTCCTTGCCTACACAGCCCTACACCTCTTTGTGTGCTTCGAGGCTGAAGTTAGTCGGCACTGGAGCTTGGGATCTCGCTGCTCACCTACAAGATGAACTTTGGCTGCCCTTTGTCGAACCCAAGATTGTGCAGCATGATCTTGGGCCAGACTTTGACAATGGGCCAAACTTGGGTCAAGAGAACAGAGCAGAGAACCTTGCCGTGGCAAAGTTGTGGTCTACCAGGAACCTTCTGACCTTGGTTGAGGACCCACCTTACATGGATTCCTTTACGAGGATTTTCAATGCCTACAAGAATAGTGAGGTCGACCGCCAAATCGGAGATCGGCGACTAGCAAATTCCACGGAGCATTCTATTTGCGGACCTTCACGTTTTCTGCCTGGAGGCTACTTGATTGCGAATATCAGTGTGCCCCCTGGGAAGAGAGCTGTTGGAGCCATCACGGATAGAAAGGACTTCTACCACCAGGCGGCTGCAACAAGAGAGAGAGAGAGGTGACCAATGTCCTCCCTTTTCAGTTCAGCCTAGACACTTTTGCTGGCACCTCGGCTCATCAGGCCTTCATCGACTACAAGAGGGGGCCTATTTCTCGAGAGGCTGCAGGCGATCGTTTTGGGAGAAAGAAGTTACAGAGGTCCGTGCTCGTTGATGAGTCTCTTCCTGTTTACCCTGCCTTTCGGTCCCTCCTCCAAGGGGATCACCTGGGGGTTGAGTTTGCTCTCTTTGCTCATGCAGACCTACTTGCTGAAGAAGGCCTTTTACATGATCATTCACGTATACTTGGAGGGAGGCCTTTCCCATGTGGTGATTTCTATGAGGGCCTGGTCATTGATGATTATTTTGCAATTGGAGTTGAGAGCAGGAGTACAGACCTCGCACTCTCGCAAGCTTCCCTTGCCTTTGACACGGCCATTGCTGCCTACACGAAGGAGGAGGTGCTGGGTTCCCCTGAGAAAGACATCAAGGGCTCTACCCACTTCAAGGTCGTTGGCGCTGAGGTGAACTCCTCTGAGCAGGCACTGTCAAGAAGCCTGGTTTCTGTCGGCGCACCAGCAGAGAAAAGAATTGCATTGGCTGTTCTATCGCTGCGGGTTGCGGCTATGCCGGTCATCTCGTCTGCTTTGGCGGCTAGGCTGGCTGGGAACTGGACTTCAGTCTTGATGTACCGACGATGCCTGACATGCCTCTTGAAGGACATCTACCAGTTTGGAACTTCAAAGCCAAAGTTTTCGAAGGCTGAGGTATATACACTTCCCAGAAAGGTTGCCGATGAGCTGGTGATCTGCTCTGCCCTGGCCTGGGTAGCGTCAGCAAATGTCACTTTGCCTTACTTACCTCAAGTCTTTGCCACCGACGCCTCCCTGCACAAAGGGGCAGTTACTTCAAGAGAAATTCACCCAGACGCTGCTGATTGGCTGTGGCTTGGTGGCGACAAGAAAGGTGGCTATACTATGTTGGAGGAGCACCATCGTGAGCTCCTCATCGCTATCGGGCAACCTCCGGAATGTCAGGACAGCGTTGAGGCCACTGCCCCTGAGAATGCCTTGAACTTCTATTTTGATTTCATCGAGGTATGCGGAGGCTCGGCCGGAGTTTCAAAAGCCTTGGCAAAGAAGGGCTACGTGGTTGCTCCCCCTCTCGACATCAGCGATTTATTGCACTTTGACATCTGCAATCTTCGGCTTTTGGACTGGATCTTGTACATGATCACTCAGAGGAGGCTAAGGGCAGTCATGGTTGAGCCTGTTTGCACTACTTTCTCACCCGCAGCACATCCAGCAGTCTGGTCCTACAAAGTGCCCTTGGGCTATGATCGGAAGTGTCCAAAAACGCTGAGAGGGAACATCATCGCCTTCCGTTGCCTGGTGATTGCCTGGTATTGCAGCACAGTATCAGCTCCAGTTCTTCTGGAACAACCCAGACTCTCTAAGATGGCTTGGCTTTCGGCATGGAGGTTCCTCCTTAGCTGCAAAGGCTTCAGTGAGGCAGTTGTGGCTTCCTGTCAGTTTGGGTTCCCTCATCGCAAAGAATTTCGACTACTTGGGCACGGCATTGACATGAGCTCCTTGGACAGAAGATGCGGGGGAGGACACCGGCATGTCTTTATTGCAGGGAAGCTCACCAAAGCCTCAGCCGAGTACACGCCATTACTTGCGGAGCATTTTGCAGAGCATTTTCACAAAGCATTACAGGGCACTGCCCGAGCTGAAGCTGAGAGCGTGAAGGTCACTGGCATTGAGTCCGTGATTGCAAATGATATACTCTCTACGGGGACTTGGACAGTTGAGGCTGCTTGGCGATGGTCTTTCCCTGCGCGCATCAACATCCTGGAGAGTTGTGCATTTGTCACGCTGTTGAAAATGCTTGCTATTAGAGGAGGAGGATACCGCTTTACAGCTTTGCTGGACTCTCGTGTCGCAAAAGGGGCTATTTCAAAAGGGAGACCTTCAGCCTATGCACTTTCCCCATCATTACGGAGGGCTGCCGCCATCCAGGTGGCTTTTGGACTCTACCCATCTCTGGGTTTTGCACCAACTCGCCTGAATGTTGCAGATGATCCTACCAGAGATCACAGCCTTCGAGAACCTTGCCGCCACTCCCTGCTGGAGCTATGAGGCCAGATCACTGCACGCCTTGGGCTTTTCCCGCTCCGCGGCAAATTGGCTCCGCCTCTACCTGCTCCTTTCAGTCATTGCTGGCAGCGAGGCCGTGAGCACTCAGCTGAACCTCACTGCCTTTGCCCTTCAGCCTTGGATTTCTATCTCCTTGGACTTTCTGGACTTTGCCTTGGTTTTGTCCCTGTCTCTTCTCTCCTATTGGATTTGCATGAGCTTCCGACGCTCCCTGCTTAGGTTTGCAGCGTGGTTTTGGATTTGGCACTCCTGTCTTTTGCCATCCTATCGTCTCTACTGCTCTCCTTTCTGGGGCCGCTCCTCTGCTCATCCCTCAGGTGGACATCCTTTGGACTTCTCCCTTCTGAGGCACTCCGAGTCCATGTTTGACCTAGGAGTAGTTTCCGGTCTTGAAACACAGTCAAGGGCCGCACCTGTTTCTGCTTTCGAGAACAAAAGCCTTCGGTGTTCGCACCGTCTGTCAAGAGACTCCCCCTTTCGCACTTTGCGAAATCATGAGGAAAAGGTTGGCTCAAGGCTATCGTCCAGCCGAGCTCTTCCAATACTCGGCTCTCATTCGGTCCATTGACCAGCCTTTCTTGGCGTTCATCTTCTGAAATCGGTTCCAGGGATTTGTCGGAACCTTTTCAGCCAGTTGGCTGTACTTGGAAACAGGCTTCTCTGCAGCCCTTTGCAGCATCTCAGACACTGCTTCGGCACTTTCAGCAGCACGATCGGCGGCATTTGCTGCCCTCAAAGCGATTCGCGCAGCCTTTTCTGCTTCTGACACGGCCTGAATGGCCTGAGTGCTCGACGACGATGGTTCGTCTTCTTGTCCCTGTCTCCTCGGACTGGACCTTCCTCGCAGGGCTTCCGGCGCAGTTGATCGTCCAGCACCACCACCCTGCCACTTCAGAACCCTCACCATAGAGCTCGTCCGGGTCGTAGTGCTCTTGCTTCGAACCCCTTCTTGTTTTCGAGTCCCCTTTGGCGCCATCTCTTCATTAGCGCTCTCTTCTTCATCTTCTCCTTCTATCTCAGAGAGAAGCTCCTCCTCATAGTCCAGCGACCTGGTAGGTGTTCTTCTCATACTTGGTCGCCTCATATTCATTGATGTAGATCGATCCTCCTCTCCATTCTCCTCTTCTTCAACCATGTGCTCTTTCTTCGATTTCACACACAGTCTGCGGATGCAACACCGCACTGAGCCGCACAGAGTCTTCACCACCCATATTGCCCCAATTATCATCAAAATGATGCCACACGTCCAAAGGGCGTCCACGGATGTAGATGCCTCTTGAGTGCTGGAATGTGGTTCAGCCTGTGCTTCAGCTGCTTTAATCAGCAAACCACCCACCACCAAGGCACGTAGAGCTCCTTGTTGATCAGGTAGTTCATGAGATTGTCCTCCCAAGGCAACCTTGTTCACTTTTGCCTCACTGGATCTCAGGCCAAGGTCTTCCAAGAAACCTGCAAAGCTTTGACCGGCCAGGGGCTTCGTCATGCCATCTGCAACCAGCTCCGTGCCACGTAGATGGTGAAGCTTCCAAGGCCCCCCAGGGTACGAGCTTTGTCCATCCAAAGCTTCCTGAAGCAGGTGGGAGCGAACACGTAGGTGTCTGGTTCGCCATGATGACGTGCTGTTGCCATGGGCCAAGCCAATCGCTGCGGCATTGTCACCATACAGAACTCGCTCCAGGGTGTTCTTGGCATTCAGCTCCTCCCCCCACATAGCACACCAAAGCGCCTCTGTTGCTCTTCCAGCTGTGAGCCCTTCGCAGTAGGACACCAACTCCGATTCTGCCGTGCTGTGGGTGACAAAAGGTTGCGTTGAGCTTTGCCATGCAACCGGAGCTCCTGCCAGGCTCACAACCAAGCCCTGAACGCTGCGATGCCCAGTGCCAGACCCATATGCAATGTCTGCAAACACCTCCAGCAGCTTCTCGTGACGCGCCACCTTCAACTGCCCCCGAGCGCCCCACTTCTGCTTCACCCAGCGAGCATAGTGAAGATCTCCTGGATTGCCCTTGATGTAGGCGAGCAACACGTGGGCCACCTCTATGGCTTTCACGGGATTGCGAGTCACCAGCCTGCTGACCGCCGCCACTCCATACGATAGGTCTGGACGCGACCGAGTCGAGAGCCGGAGGAGAGATCCAGCCAGTGCCTGAGCTTCACGAACTTTGTTTATGTCCACCTCCGGCTGCTGTTCACAATCGGCCTCTCCAAGCTTGAAGTGCGGGAAGGACAAGGATGAACTCACCTTCCAGCGGGCCAAAAGTTCTTGCTCATACTTTTGCTGCGAGATGTGATAGCCATCACCCTCCTCATCCATCGTGACTTCAAACCCACAGAAGTGCACTGGCGTGGTAGGTGACGCCCATTCAACACTAGAAGTTGCCCAGGTGGACTGCAAAGTTGTGAGGGCTGCTGCAATGGCTTCCTCCTCCCCTGACATCAAAATGTCATCAACGTAGACGGACATGAGGCCAGACCAGACTTCCTCCCCCGAGATCGTGTCCGTCTCCTCCAGCCGCCATAGGTTGTCATCGGCCGTCTTGACAAAATAGCCTCGGACATTTCGATCTCCTCGAACTCGAACCCAGCTCAGCGATGGCAGGGTCAGATCGCGGTGTTTCGACCAATCCCGCGGAGAAGTCGTCAGGCCGTACATGGCCAATTTCACCAACCAAACCTCTCCTTCCTTGGCTAAGCCAAGTCTTTTGTAGACATTCGGAATCTCCATTGCAACCAGTTTGCCATCATCTCGACGTGGTGCATTGAGGAATGCCACACGGATGTCCGTGGCTGCCAGACTCCACCCTTTCAATGCCGATGTTCTTAGCAGAGCTCTCACTTGACATCCATCGGCTCCTCCGGCGTAGC